GAGATCTACGCGGGGGCAATGGCTGCACAAGAGCTACGCTGGCTCACCTACCTGCTGACTAACCTAGGAGAGCCGCCTCGTTCTCCTCCAGTTCTGTACGTAGACAACAAGGCCATGTTGGCCTTGTGTCGGGAGCACAGACTGGAGCACAGAACGAAGCACATTGCTCTTCGCTACTTCCTTGCTCGTGAGCTACAGCAGCGTGGTCAGCTGCGCCTTGCTTACGTGGCCTCTCAGGCCAACACTGCTGATATCTTTACCAGGGCACTTCAGCCTTGTGATCATCAGCGCTTTTGTACGATGCTAGGTCTTGTGCCTACTTGGCCTCACTTGCTTACTTCTTGACCTTGCTTGTACTGTGTTCTATATATACCTGCACTTGCTTGTTTACCTCTATATATATGATTCTGCATGTGAACTGGCCTTGTGGCCTTGAACCTGTGCTCGGAATGTGTGGTGACGTTGTGATCCACCCTGAGCTTGCTTTGCTTTGCTTGACTGGTCTTGTGACCCCTTGTTCTCCCCCACTTTGCCTATGGGGGTGTGTCAGACTTATATGCTATAGTCTGTGTAGGCTGTAGTGGGGTAGACAATATGGGGTACAACACTTTTAGGTTTTCCTACTTGTACCCACCTGTTTCCTAGTGCATTCATTCCTTGTTCTTATTCTCACACTTCTTGAAAGCTGCAGGGGCAGGCTGCTCTCCAATCAGCCGTCTTGCGAGAAAGAGCAGAGAGCGGCAGTGCTCGGAGAGAGGGGAGATTCAAGGCCTTGAAGGGGAGCAGCGTGGGGGAGGGGGGAGGATCTACGTAACAGGGATCAGTGGAAATGGAGGAAAGCACAGCTGCAATTTGATAAGCCGGAAATTCACTGAAAACACCGTCAGGAAACCAACGAGCGGGAAGCAATAAGAGCAACCAGAAGAGAGGAGTACCGTTGACAGATTGCAGCTGAGACATCGAGATGGTGTGACGGTTGGGGAGACGTGCCCGGCGGGTGAGGGCGAAGCAGGCGTGGTCAGTCACTCGGTGGTTACTGGAACACACGGAGCAAGAGTGGGACGACATGTTGAGGAGCACCAGGTCCTCCTGGCCCGGAAGCCAGAGAACTGCGGGGATGCGCTCGAAGCCGACATCACCTTCTGCTGCCACAGGCAGACCGAGCAGCTGGGAGTACGCGGAGTCATCATACGGGTCTTTGAGGCGATGAAACAGGCGGATATCCGAAAGCCAAGGCTGCCCATCGTCGGTCACGCCAGCCAGAAGAGTGCTGCATAGGCGTTCAGGAGAGTACCCCAGCGGCACGTTGCGGAGGACCATGTGAGTGTCGCCCCTGGCTCGGGCCATCATGAACTCCAGGTTAGGATCAGAGAACACTTTCACTTCCATCGCGCGGTTATTAGCCAGACGAACAGTAACCGGAAACAGGGAACGGAAAATCCTTGCATCATTAGCAGACAACCAGGAATAGGAGTGCCTGGAGTAGGTACGGCGGGGAAGCCGCAGAGCCTCACCAGCGGCTGATTCGTACGAGGGGATTACACCGTTAAAGGCCTGACCGTTGATGAGAGCCGAGATGCGCGCAAGCACCGCAGCACGAACCTCCTCGGCGGAGGATTCAGGGAAGATCACGTCCACCAAAGACTGCGTGTTCCGCGTGAGCGTGTGCAGGACTGTACCGACCGTCGTATGGTGGCGACGCAAATTCCGAAAGCGAGCGTTAGGAGCAAGGCCGTTGGCCGCACCAGCAGCAGCGTGCTCGGGTTCAGGTTCCGGCTGCACGGGCCGAGAGCGAGAAGCAGGCGCCGGACGAGGCGCAGAAGGAGCATGCGCGCGGCCAAGCGCAGGAGCCGTGGCGTCGAAGCTACCGGAAGAGCTCGCACGGGGGATCGGCGGAGGAGCCGAGGTTGACGCGGAGGCGACCCCAGAGGGGCCAGCAGCCGAGGACTGCCCCTCACCACACAGCTTTTTCGCCGCCGGTTCGCCCGACGGGGACGGTTGAGTACCGACAGGAGCGGAGTACGCGACCTCATAATTGAGCACAGGCAGAGCGCCGTCAGAGAGATCCTCGAGGAATTCTTCCCCAAGATCATCGAGGGTATTGTCACCGACAGGGATCTGACCCTCCGTCATGACGTGGTCGGGGTTATGCTCCGTAGCTATGGGGTGATCGTAAGAGAAACGAGAGGAAGAGTTTATACCAGAGGCATGGGGAGAAGCCCGAAGGCAACGGAGCAGCAGGGGACAGCGCGGAAGGCAAAAGCCCGGATCGCGCAATGAGAGCAAGTGAGCGGCTCGAACGCAAAAAGGTGCCTTGGCAATGGCCGTGCCAACCGTGAGAACATGACTGGGAGCCAGATCGGCTACCCGAGTCGGAAAGGAGCGCATGTGAGAAGCATAGAAACACCAGGCCACCACGAGGGTTTGCGAGCTGGTCGTGAGGTGGAACAGGTAGGCCAGGGTCTGGAGGACGGAGCAGGACCGCCGCAAGGGCCTTGCATGAGAGAATGCACCCAGAGGTGGTCCATCCTGACTCACAAACGGCTTGGGACAGGGAGGTCTTCAGGATAAGATATCAGATTCCTTGATTCGTGCGAAGAACAGCCATCATTTAAGGTCAAGACACAGCCTTTGCTGAAGTGGCGAACTGTGACAGCACAAAAAACCGGAGTTAGCGCAAACAACTTGCAATCCCAACTCACCTTTCCCAGGATGTCGGAGTAGAGAAGGTGAAGAAGAAATCGAGACACCAAGAACCTGCGCACAGGTCCCTCGTTATTGTACAAGAAGCATAGCTTACCTTCAAGAAGATCGTTCCGAAAAGAAAGCCGAACGCAAAAAGCGTTATCATCGTAGCGATCCAAAGGTGTTGAAGGGAAACGAGAGCTGGTGCAAACGAGGACGAGGAGCAGCAGGGAAGCGGAGAGCTTCAGGTGTTACAAGCGGGAAAGCACACACGAAATGGGATGTATGCATTTGACCGCTCTACAAACGGAACCCCGATTCCCTTACGTGGCATTGTTGGCTGCTGGGCGTCAGCCTGACGCGTCAACTTCCGTTCACATGCCGTAGTTACTTCAGTCGTAATACACGCTGGCGAACTGTCAGCGAGAATCTGTTGCAGAACAGCTCTTTCGTGTGTGCTTTCCCGCTTGTAACACCTGAAACTCTTCGCCAACAAAATTCAAAACTTCGGATTCTGCTGTCAATATCTGTGCCCTTTTGTTCGTCTCGCGGAGAACGGGAATATCGAGGGAGCGTCTCCTCAACTCAACCCTGTCGTGATTCGTGAATCGGGAGTCACTGGGATGGGAAGGCTTCCAGATAATTGCTGGAAGCCACAGTTCTTCGTGCGCAGTGCTTCCATTTTGAAGTTTGTAGCCAAACACCTTCAACCTGCAAGACGTCAGGCACAGTCAACGGAATCCCAGCATCGGCCTATTATCAGACTAACGATTATCGGTGCGCTTTAGAACGTGTTAGTTTATCCGGAGATTGGATGACTATAGAATGGCTGGGTGTCGTTCAGAGTCGAACCGGCTGTCGTGGCGCAGGGGATCAGCATTCGCATGACATTTTGTCGTCAGTCAACTCTATGACTCCTTTTTCCGGAATTCTCCGAACGTTTTATCAGCATGAACAATGGGTGTGACAACGGAAGTCGTGAACATATCCAAAGAAGCTCATTGACTGGGTCAGGAAGAGGGTCAGGGAACGGTCGAGGGTCAGGTTTAGCGGCAAATGGAGGAGGAGGAGCGACCGTTCCTCGCCACAACTGGCAGCAGCATCAGCCGTGGCTGCGGCAATCCTGTGCTACGGGGAATGGACTGAGGGAAAACTTCGTATTTTCCACCGCTCCCAGCCGAACGCGATTAGCTGAACATGATCGGTGCGTCTGATTTTCTAATGGCGCGTACTAGTAGCGCGTGACATCGCGACGAACGAGAAAAGACGTGTACCTAGCACGACGCTCCCAGGGTCATCAGACCTGCATCGTCATCAGTTATTCTTCTTATTGTATCAGTCGCAGAGACTGAACGCAATACCGACTCGTCCTAACTTGAATTTGACACCACCTACCGTCCCCCCCCTCCTCCCACCCGTCCCTTTCCCCACTCACCCACCATTTCTCTGGCGTACAGAGGTCGTGGCTCCTTCTCCTTCGCTCCACTTAACAGCGAGCTTCTCAGAATGGCAGAGCAGGTAGGATGCACACATTTGCTGGGACGCAACGGCATCTAAGAGTTTGCTGAGTCGCACTGTATGCGAACCGTGGTGGACTCACTGTGGATTTACCTTAGCTTCTCTCGGTCTAGCCTCCTTCAGGCCACGTTGCTGCTGGGTGGGTCATGCTACTCGGTCGCTTTGATTCTGCAGAGCAGAGCAGGCTAACCGCTCTCCATGTTTCTGATCTTCACGCTTACCGTTCCACCAGAGCACTGATATTTTTTGTATGCAGACTAGGAGAGATGCATGCTGTAACTGTATTCAGTCATACTGGGTCATCCGGTTTGATGTGAATCATGTGATTGATTCTTCAACCTCAACAACGTCTTACACCACACCTAATCTCACCTCACCCCTCCTCCCACCAGGCCATCGCATCCCTGAGCACCGCCAGTAAAACACCCGCTCCCATCGTCTGCAAGCCCGGCACCACGGCCCCTGGAAGGCCATCGCACCCCGCACACACACCACCTGCTCCCCCTCCCTCCTTCCCAAGCCGTCCATTTGTTTCGCAACCCCCGCCTTCGATATCTGACCCAAGAAGTAACTTATCCTTTGTTGATGGGGGAGGGGGAGGAGGAGGAGGAGGAGGAGGAGGAGGAGGAGGAGGAGGAGGAGGAGGAGGAGGAGGAGGAGGAGGAGGGGGATGGGGAGGAGGAGGAGGAGGATTTAGAGGGAGTGTTGGTGAATCTGGGATAAGACCAGGTTTGTCTCATGGAGTGGCAGATGGTGGCTTGGGCTCAGACAGGCCCGGACCGGCAGGTTCGGCCGAGCCTCAGCTGCAGGCTCAGCAGCAGCAGCAGCAGCAGCAGCAGCAGCAGCAGCAGCAGCAGGGTCGGCAGGAGGGTGGGAGTCTGTTTGACGACGATGAGCTGTTCCAGGTGGGTGGTGCTGGCAGCAGGCCCTTGTGCCTGTGCGGCAGGCCCATGCTCCTGTGGTGTGCATGTGGCTCGTGCTCCTGTGTGTATATAGCAGATTCTGAGGCGATAGAGCACTTAGCAGAGGTTTTCCAGGTACACGGTGGTACACGGTGCACTTAGCACATGAGGTATATGATATGCTGTTTGCGTGCTTATGCGCGTGCATATGTGTGTGTGTGTGTGTGTGTGTGTGTGCGCGCGCGCACGCGTTTGCACGTGTGTGTCTGCCTCTGTGTGTGCACGTTGTTGTGGCGTGTCTTCATGTGCGTCTGTGTTTTCAGACGTCTCAAAACTCAACCTTTATCACGTGCATTGAGACGTCTCAGAATTCCACTTCTTATCGCGCGCGCGCGTGTGTGTCTTCCTCTGTGTGTGCACATTGTTGGGCGTGTCTACATATGTGGGGGGACGAACAGGACATAGACGTGGATGAGCTGGTGAGGCAGTCAACCCAGCAACAACAGCACAGCAGCACACCAGACAAGGACAAGGCGCAGCAAGGGAGTATTCCACCAGACAGGCAGCAGCACCAGGGTGTTGCACCACAGGACCAGCGGCAGAATCCCAACAGCACACCAGACAAGGACAAGGCCCAGCAAGGGAATGTTCCACCGGACAAGCAGCAGCACCAGGGTGTTGCACCACAAGACCACCGGCAGAATCCCAACAGCTACGGGCAGGCAGCAACTAACTGGAACACTCCTCCGCCTCTCCCCCCACTGCTGCAGCAACCATGCTCCCATGGCATGCCTGTGAGTGTTGCTGAAATTTCTTAATGGGTGAGTAGCAGGTCACCCCTTTCGATGTAGCAGGTCTGTGAGTTTTATTCATTGGGTCACTTATCGTGTGCTATTTTTGCATCCAGTGCAAATCGTGCCACGTGATGCTGCTATGCACGCCATGTCCTGCCATGCAACGCCAGCCGTGCCATGTCATGCATGCTGTGTCTGTGCACCACTGCCTTCGTCTCTCCATGCCTTCACATGCCATGTGCCTGGCGTTACGCCCCCTCCAGCTTCTCACAACATTGTTTCACCCCATGATCCCTCACGCTCCCCGCATGCGTGCAGCTGGTGCAGTGCCCCTCGCTACAAGAACACATCCAGGAGCGCAAGAACGAGCTGCTAGACGTGTCTAACAGTCTTCGCACCCCCAATGTTTTCCTTCTGTACTCCTCATCCATCCTCCCCGGTCCATACAGCTGGTGCAGTGCCCCTCGCTACAAGCACACATACAGGAGCGCAAGAACGAGCTGCTAGACGTGTCCAACGACCTGCTGGACAACGCGGGGGACATGAGCCCCCGACTGGCAGAAGAGCTCCGACTGCGCAGGTAGTGAGGGGAGGGGAGGGAGGGGAAAGTGATTTGATAATGGGGAGAGTGAGCTGGTAGTGGGGAGATTGTGAAGGTCGAGGGGAGAGCGAGTATGTGCAGGTAGTGTGCTGAAATCGACAGGGACAATGGGGATTCTCTAAAGTAGGCGGGTAAAGCGCTCAGGTAGGGTAAGCTCGGTTGTAAAGAGAGAAGAAAAAATGCTCTGTCTGTGGTATGAGCTTCTGTTGAGGAATGTCCTGGTTACTGCTTCACAACGTCCCTCGTCGCCTGTCGACCCTGGTGCCTTCCGCTCTCAACCTCCTGTCCCGCACCTTCCCCCTCTTCCCCTTCCCTGAACAACCCCCCGCAACCTTTCAGAAAGTCGCTACAGCAAGAGATACAAATCCTGCAGCAGCACTCACAGCAAGGCGCAACCACCTCCCCTCACCTCTCCTCCCCATCACCTGCCATGCACACATCATCACCACCCTCCACCCATCCGTACCGACCTGCCACCCCGTCCTTCACCACGCCTGGCTCTCGTCCCACGCCTTCCACCACCACTGCCTGGAGCACACCTCGCAGAAGCACCCGGTCGTCACCTCCTTCCTCCCGCCCCCCTCCTCCCTCCTCCGCTCTGGGTACTGGGCAAGCAGCAGTCATGGGGGCAGCAGCGGGCGTGGGAACAGCAGCAGGCATGCATGTGGCAGGTGCAATAACCAGAGGGTATGCAGCTGTGAACGGGGCGACGAATGGAGGAGGATACGGAGCAGTGAATGGGGGAGGGTATGGGGGAGCAGGGTATGCAGGAGGAGGAGGAGGAGGAGGAGGAGGAGGAGGAGGAGGAGGAGGAGGAGGAGGAGGAGGAGGAGGAGGAGGAGGAGGGGGGTTCACATCCCCTCCAGGGGGAGGAGGAGGGGGTGAGAATGGCGGGGCGGCGAGGAGAGGGGAGGTGATGCCGGTGTGTCTGTCGGAGGTGCGGTTCAGTGAAGGGTCGGCGGATCCGCAGTGGGCTCGCAAGGACTTTGCATGGACGCGAGAGCTGGAGGTGAGACACGTTGTGGTAGTGAGGTGCAGAAGTCGCAAGGGATGGATTGGCACACCGGCACTGGATCAGTCTCTGGCCGATTCACAAGTCCCCTCTCTCTCCCCGTTGCTCTGTTACCCCTCTCCTCGCTTCGCTCGCTCTCCTCTTTTCCTCCCTTTTGTATCTCTCGTTTCTCTCCTCTCCAATCTTTCTCTCTATCCCCTTCTTCTCTCCACCCCCGTGCACCCACACCCCTCAGGAGAACAACTGGAAGCTGTTTGGCAACCGGTCGTTCCGGGCGAATCAGAGGGAGGTGATGAACGCCACTATGAGCGGCAGAGACGTGTTCGTGCTCATGCCCACAGGCGGGGGGAAGAGCCTCACGTACCAGGTGAGGTGTAGGCAGCAGCAAAAGCTTTTGATCATTTGGTGATGTCAGTGGGAAGGAACGAGACAAACCCCATGCATCCCCACTGCCATCACAGCCTCATGTCTCGCATTCTGGCCTCTTGTCATCTCCCTACACATCTATTCCTTTCCGCTGCTACAATCTTCAAGCATTCTGTCTAACAGTCTGTATATCCCCTTCTGACTGTCTGCATCACATGCTGCTCCCAACACATTCTTCTTGCTCCGTTCCTTTTCTAGCCTTTGCACTTCTCCTCATCCCTTCCTCCACATCACTTCATGTCTATCAGTTTTCAACACCCTTAAATTCCTCGCCACAGCCCCACCCCCTTCTAAAAATCCGCTAATCATTACCTTAACGTTCATGCGCCTCCTCCAATGATATCAAACTTCCCTTCAACTCAGCTCCCTGCAGTGTGCTCGCCAGGAGTCACGCTGGTGGTGTCGCCACTCATCTCTCTCATTTGCGACCAGATCATGCACCTCGAGCAGGTGCGACCAGATCATGCACCTCGAACAGGTGCAACTGCTAACAGGGTAGGTGCATGTGGGGTAGGTGCATGTGGGGTAGGTGTGATCCACCTCGAGCAGGTGCGGGTTTCAATTTCGGTTTTGGGGTGTCATTCTCAATAGGTGCGGATGCTCTTGGTCTGCCGCTAGTTACCCACGCTCTTGTTTCCCTGTGCCTGCACGGAGGTACAGACAGACAACATCCCTGCGGCGTGCCTGAGCAGCCAGAGCTTCTGAAAGCTCCGTCCATCCTGCACAAATCCCATGACCTCCCTGCATCTGTGCACCACTCCCCACTCCTTCTGCACCTGTGTGCACCACACCACACCAGGGCCACCTCCACACTGCACGACAGTACAACATCCCTGCAGCGTGCCTGAGCGCGAGCCAGGATTGGCCGGAGAAGATTCATTTACTGAGATTCCCTTCCCCCGCTTCCTAATACCCCTGCACCTGTGTGCACCGCACCCCACCCACCTCCTCACCACACGGCAGTACAACATCCCTGCGGCCTGTCTGAGCGCCAGCCAGGAGTGGCCAGAGCAGCAGCGCATTCTACAGGAGCTGTGCTCTCCATGCTGCCAGATCAAACTGCTCTATGTCACCCCGGAGAAGATCGCCAGGTGGGAGAATGTGGGGCATAGTGTGGGCAGGCGGGATAGTGTGGGCAGGCGGGATAGTGTGGGCAGGCGGGATAGTGTGGGCAGGCGGGATAGTGTGGGCAGGCGAGATAGTGTGGGCAGGCGGGATAGTTTGGGCAGGCGGGATAGTTTGGGCAGGCGGGATAGTTTGGGCAGGCGGGATAGTTTGGGCAGGCGGGATAGTTTGGGCGGGCGGGATAGTTTGGGCAGGCGGGATAGTTTGGGCGGGCAGGATAGTGTGGTGAACATGTTCAGTTAGACTTTTTGGGGTGTTCGAACGTGCTCTAGTCAGACATGTCCAAGTTCGGCTTTAGCACATCCCTACTCACCCCCTCCTCCCCCTCTTCCCCCGCCGTCGTCCTTTCTTCCTCCGTCTTCCCACCTTCTCCCTCCCTCAACTCTCTGTTTGTTTGTTTTCTTCCGTGAGAGCAGGAGCGACAACCTGTTTCGGCATCTGGAGGGGCTGTACCGGCGAGACCTGTTGGTGCGCATGGTGGTGGACGAGGCACACTGTGTCAGCCAGTGGGGGCATGACTTTCGCCCCGACTACCAGGTGTGCGACTGATGTGAGGTGAAGTGACAAGAGATATGCAAGCGCAAGGGAAGTGAGGTGAAGTGAAGCAACAAGGGTGTGCTAAACCAACCCTCAAACCCGCTACGTAGCTCAGTTGTCCGATGTAACCTGTAACCCTGTGAATGTGACCCTGTGTTGTCATGTACTCGTGTCACGCTGACCTCCCCCTCTTCTTCCCTCTCCTCTTGCTGTTACCCTGCCTGGTCTCCCTCTTCCCGCATCCACCAGGGCCTGGGTGTGCTGAAGAGCAAGTTCCCCTCGGTGCCGCTGATGGCGCTCACAGCCACGGCCACCCATGCAGTGCAGGCGGATGTGGTCAGTGCACTGTGCCTCAAGCAGTGTGTTGTCTTCAAACAGACCTTCAACCGTCCCAACCTCAGGTAAGAGGGGGGGGGGTGGGTGAGGGAGGAGAGTGTGAGATGTTCCTTGGGATGCCTTAAAACATGCAGTGCAGGCGGACGTGGTCAGCGCACTGTGCCTCAAGCAGTGTGTTGTCTTCAAACAGACCTTCAACCGTCCCAACCTCAGGTGAGGCTGAAGGGGAATAATCGTGCAATGAGGTTATCCTTGAGACGATTTAGAACACGGAGTGGAGGGTTATGTGGTCACTGCGCTCTGCCTCATACGGTGTGCGCACACCGTATTGAAGGTCTTATGTGGTCTTGAAGAAGACCTTCAATCAGTCGCCCCAATCAATGACTGGTGCATGGACGACACGACATTGACTCTGTGCGCCCGTGTGCCTCACCCACCCATGCCATGTGCGTCTGTGTCCCCGTTACCGCACCTCACTGCACTGCACTGTGCAGGTACGAGGTGAGGGCGAAGGGGCGGCGGTGCATGGACGACATAGACTCGTTCATCCGCAGCAGCGGGTTCTTCAGGGAGTCGGGCATTGTGTACTGCTTGTCCCGCAACGACTGCGAGAAGACCGCCGAGCAGCTCACTGTGAGTTGAGTTGTGCTCACAGCAAGTCAAGAGTCAGTGTTTCTTCAGGAAGGCATCGTGTAGTGCCTGTCCCGCAACGGCTGCGAGAAGACTGCCGAGCAGCTCACTGTGAGTAGCGCTTGTGTACTGCCTGTCATGCAACGACTGTGAGAAAACCGCGGAGCAGCTCACTGCAAGTGAGTGGCGGTGACAAAAGAGAGGATACGGGAATGTGGATTGTGCTCACATCAAGTCGTACCTGAAGGCTGCTCTAGCACCATGGCATGGCGTGTGGCATGGCATGGCATGGCATGTGGCATGGCATGGTGTGTGGCATGGCGTGTGGCATGGCATGGCATGGCATGGCATGTGGAATGGCAGAAGTTGGGCCACAGAGCGGGATTCTATCATGCCAACATAGCAGCAGGCGAGCGGGCAGACGTGCAGAGGAGGTGGAGCAAGGACGAGATCAATGTCATCTGTGCCACTGTGGCATTTGGCATGGGTGGGTGGGTGTGGGGGTGGGAGTGAGTGAGTGTGGCCTTCGGCAAGGGTCAGTAACAGTTGGTTGGTGGTGCAGTACCTCGCTTTCACTCCACAATATTGTGTGTTCACTTGTTCTGCATCCACGATGCCTTCTGAATTATGGAAACATTTGAAATACTGGCTGGCCCGTTTCCACCCTCCATCCCCCCTCTTTTGGAGTCGACCCAAAAGCATGTTTATTGAGTCGGTTTAGTCGACTCAAAAACATGATGCCTTTTGACTAATGGAAACATTTGGAATGTTGCTTGGCTTGTTGCCACCCTCCATCCCACCTCTCCCATCCGCTCCTCTCCCATCCCTGTCCTTTCAACTTTCCTCTCCCATCCACCAGGTCACCTGTGCACCGCATTTCACCGCACTTCACCATTCTCTGTTTTTCTTTGCCCTTTTCCCCTTCTCCCCCTGTCCCCCTTCACCCCCCTTCTCCCACTCATGGCAGGTATCAACAAGCCTGATGTTCGTTTCGTCATCCACCATTCCCTCCCTAAGAGTATTGAGGGCTACCACCAGGTCAGCCGTGCACCGCACTGCACCACTCTGTGTTGCTCTCTACCACTCGAAATCGGTCACAAAAAGCATTCCGAACTCCCCATCACCTCTCTACTTTTTCTCTTAATCCACGGCATTTCACCGCATGTATTCCTGTAACCCTTCACTGCCGCTGCTTTCGAAAGAAAAGAAGACATTTCATTTCGAGATCTCTGATTGCCTACGAGTTTAGCCCTGCTTGCCAATGCAAAGTCTCTGTGGCGAAGTCGATCTCTCTCTGCTGCCTCACACAATCATTCTGTGGTCTTCCCTTTAACCTCACACAGTCATTCTGTGGTCGTCCCTGTGCTGGGCTGGCAGGAGTCGGGGCGAGCAGGGAGGGACAACCTGCCTGCCACCTGCGTGCTCATGTACAGCTATGGGGATTATGTGAGCTCATTCCTATAAACTTGCGGCTATGGGGATGATTGTTACTTTGTTATTGATGAAACAATTCTTTGATCGTCTGAGCTAGTTTCTTGCTGATACGGCACATGCTTCCGTGGCAATGTCAATTCTGCGATGTATTCTTGAAATCATATCTTTTAACGGCCCCTTTCCCCTTCTCCTCCTCGTCCCCGACCCCAGGCGCGAGTGAAGCACATGCTGCTGCAGGGAGCAGCGGAGGCGGCAGATGGGAGCAATGCCCTTGATTTCCGCTTCTCCTTCATTTCAGTCTCCTTTAACCGCCAGTCCCCTCCCCACTCCCCTCCCCCCCCCCTCTCCTCGTCCCCGACCCCAGGCGCGAGTGAAGCACATGCTGCTGCAGGGGGCAGCGGAGGCGGCAGGTGGGAGGGGCGGAGGGGCAGGGGGGAGAGGGGGCATGGGGCCACAGCAGCAGCTGGAAACGAATCTGGACAACCTTCATCGCATGGTGAGTCAGATGCACTGCATGGTGAGTCAGATGCACTGCATGGTGAGTCAGATGCACTGCAGGATGCGTCATCAGCACCACATGGTGAGTCGCATGGTGAGTCAGCACACTGTTCGCATTTTCCCTTCCCTTCCCCTTTGCCCCCGCCTCCTCTTTCCCCCTGGTTCCACGTTCCTTTTCGCGCCTATCCCTCCTTATCCTTACCCCTTGTTCCCCCTCCCCCCACCAGGTGGCATACTGTGAGAACGATGTGGACTGTCGGCGCACGGTGCAGCTCTCTCATTTCGGGGAGCGCTTTGACCCCGCGCACTGCCGCCGCTCCTGCGACAACTGCTGCCGGGACGTTGCCTCCGCGCCCCGAAACATCACGCGCCTGGCCCTGCGCATCGTGAGTTGGAAGGACTTCTGACTCTGATTCTAGCCCTTTTGAAATTTGAGGCGAACCTGCCTGAGTTTGAGTTTGAGTTTGAGTTTGAGTTTGAGTTTGAGTTTGCGTTTGAGTTTGAGTTTGAGTTTGAGTTTGAGTTTGAGTTTGAGTTTGAGTTTGAGTTTGCATCCTCCTTGCCATCCCTCTGACTCACTCTCGCCTCTCCGCCACTCCCATCCCATGCGCCTCGCCTCTCACCACAGATATCTCTCATTCGTGAGACGGGGGAGCGCCACACCCAGCAGTACATCCTTGACCTCCTGCGCGGCTCTGCCAGTGCCCAGGTACGCATGGATCATCTGCCACTTGTGAGCGATTCTTGAGAATTTTCAAAAGTTATTTTGTGCGGCTCTGCCAGTGCCCAGGTATGCATGGAGCATCTGCCACTTGTGAGCAGGCAGCGTGAGCAGCCAGCCAGCAGTGGCAGTAATCCACTCACACGCCTGCACGGCCGGCCGGGCCCCACCAGCACCGCACCCAGGTGTTTTTGAGACGTCTCAAAAACACCCTCACTTCACGTGGCAGCGTGAGCAGCCAGCCAGCAGTGGCCAGCCAGCCAGCCAGCCAGCCAGCCAGCCAGCCAGCCAGCCAGCCAGCCAGCCAGCAGTGGCAGTAATCCACTCACACGCCTGCACGGCCGGGCCCCACCAGCACCCAGGTGCGGCCTGGATCCTCCGCTCCGCAGTACCCTACCCTCACCTCACCCGCGAGAGGTTCCTTTCTACGATGAAGGGCTTTTGAGGTGCCTCCAGGGGAAGCCACCTTTCCCGGCCTAAAGCATCCCCTTCTTTCCCCACCCAACAGTCCAGGTGAAGCGCAATGGGAGCGCAGCTCTGGCCCAGTGAACGACTTTGACTTTTGAGTCGACTCAAAAGTCGCGCAGCTCTGGCCCAGTGAACGACTTTGACTTTTGAGTCGACTCAAAATTCGCGCAGCTCTGGCCCAGTGAACGACTTTTGAGGCCCCTTAAGCGAACCCACGCCTCCCTCCCCTCCCCTCCCTCCCTCTCCCTCCCCTCCCTTCCCCTCCTCTTTCTCCACTCCCCTCCCCCGCATCTCCCCCTTTCTCCCCCATTCCCACTTCACTACCCCAGGTGAAGTGCAATGGGCACGCAGCTCTGGCACAGCAGATGTCTTTTGAAGCGCCTTTTCCAAGTGTCCTCCCCATCCCTCCTCCCCACCGCTCTCCACTTCACGGCCCAGGTGAAGCGCAATGGGCACGCAGCTCTGGCGCAGCGAATGGCGGAGGAGAATAAGGCGGGTGGCGGGGACGAGGAGGAGGGCGAGGCGGCAGGGGGGTGGAACCGGCGGGACATGGAGCGGGTGGTGCGACACATGGTGTGCGTGGAGGTGGTGCGGGAAGACATAAACAAAAGCGAGGCGTATGGGTCTATCTCCTCAGTGCTGCGAGTGAGTGTAACAACTTCCCTTTTTAGCACACATGCGTGTCACCCTCTGGAGGGGGACATGGAGCGCGAGGTGCAGCACCTGGTGTGTGTGGAGGTGGTGAGGGAAGACATCAGCAAGAGCGAGGCGTATGGGTCCACCTCCTCGCTGCTCCGGGCGAGTGTCTGTCCTGCACTGCCAGCCAAGCATGTGCGTGGCTCTGTTGGGTTGGGATGAATGAATTGCCTGCACATGGCACGCGCGGTTGGCAAAGGGGGACATGGAGCGCGGGAAGGGGACGTAAAGCGTGTGGTTGCCATTGCCTTTCTCATTCATTTCCATCCTCGCTGCTGCTTTCTGCAGGTGAACGACAGCAAGGCAGAGGCGCTATTCTCAGGGAAGCTTCACCTCACTCTCAGGTGCGTGCTCATGCCCACTCCCTGCTGAGTAAACTCAGCTCTTTTCAGTTGGCTCAAGTGACACCTCACTCACTCGCACATGCGCCTGTGCTTCCCGCGGACCCCACAGGCTCTTTTCAGTTGGTTGCTTCCCGCGGACCCCACAGGCTCTTTTCAGTTGGTTGCTTCCCGCGGACCCCACAGGCTCTTTTCAGTTGGTTGCTTCCCGCGGACCCCACAGGCTCTTTTCAGTTGGTTGCTTCCCGCGGACCCCGCACCCCGAGTCAATGCACCCCTGCTTCGCTCACTCCCCTTCCCTGCCCACTCTCCCCCATCCCGTTTCTCTGTGCTTCTCGTATCAGCTCGTCACATCTTTCTTATACTCCCTTTTCGCTTATTGGTCTGGTTTCTTCTTGTCTTTCTAAGAATGGAAATGTCCCATTCAACGCTTCTATGCCTCTGTAACCTCTTATGTCACTCATCTTTCGTCATCTTGCCACACACACTGAACGGTGCTGTGAGGGAGCACCCCTGTACCCATAATGCACCAAGATTCACACACACACACATACTCACAGTTTTGAAACAGATTGCATTCCGGTACGTCACAGCTAGCCAAGTTCCACAAACACACACACTCTTACATTCAAGAGCTTTTCCACCTGCCCATGCCTCTCCCACCACAGCTTCCCCATTCAGAAGCGACCTGACTCCGCACAGGCGTCAATTGGTGCAGGCAGAACCACATCACCTGCTGCTGCCACCGGCATCACCCCCACCGGCAAAGCCGCAGGCAGCAGGGGCAAGAGGCAAGCCAGAACCAGGAAAGGCGCAACCGCTGCTGCTGCCAATGGGTCTACAGCTGGCAGCATGGGAGGAGGGAGTGGCGTGGAGGCAGATTCATGGGCTGATGAGATTGATAATGGTGATGATGGTTCTGGTGATGTGAGATGGTCCGGTGGTGCTGGTAAGAGGGGGTTCTCTTCTGGCGTTGGTGGGGGAGTTGAGCAAACGGAAGGAGCACAAGGAGCAGGGGGAACAGCAGGAGCAGGGAAGGGGTTTCAGCTGATGGCTGCTGCGGCGGCTGCTGCTGTGGACTCGGCTGCGCCCTTTTCGCCACCCAAACAGGCGGCTGATGTGGTGAGCAGAGCTGAGCTGAGATGTGACGGAAGATCTGCTGTGACCTTCACTGTGATTCACACTGCTTGACTGAGAGGGTGACAGGAAGCAGAAACGGCACATTCGAGTGTTTTTTCTTTCTTTCTTTCTTTCTATTCTGATTTTTTTTTTTTCTTTCCCGTGTGCCCCCCTCACTCGTTAATTGTAAATGCCCCACTTTATGCTTATTCAATCAGGCCTTGGATTTTAACTTGAAGGTTGCATGCAACAAAAATAGAATCAAGTGCTGGAACTGTGAAAATCTGTCCTCTCCGTGCACTGCACACTGGCTCTGATTCTTCTCCCCTCCACCCTCCCTCTCTCCCTCTTCTCAGGTGCTGTCAGGGGCGGTGTACAAGGCACTGCACGCGTTGAGGCAGACCCTGGTGCAGGAGTCGGGCAAGAACCTCGCACCCTACCACATCTTCGGGTGAGAGAGCCTGACTGCTTGCTGAATGCGTTTTCGAGGCATAATATAAAAAACGCGTTGAGGCAGACACTGGTGCAGGAGTCGGGCAAGAACCTCGCACCCTACCACATCTTCGGGTGAGTGGAGTGGGGCTGCTTGCCTGCTGCGTGCATCTGGTGCGTTGGTTTTCCTTCCCTTCTCTCCTGCGCTCTGAGCGGCACAGCACGGCAGCAACGTGCCAGTACGCTACACTTGTTCTATCGAGTCTCGTTTTCAGTCGGACCACAGCCTCCTCACCTGTGCTTCTCGTCCACTTGTGCAAGCCAGCTTGTACGTTGAGTCTCAAGCCAGTGTGTCGAGTCTCAAGCCAGCTTGTTGTAGCCACACTATGCTCTCTCCATCCCCCCTCTGCCCTTCTCTTCTCAGCAACGCCCAGTTGGTTTTCTTATCACTCAGCACCTGCCCTGCACGCTCACCTGCTTTTCCCCTCCATTCTTCCCTCACCCCCTCGCTTCATTCCTTCCCCCCTTAACTTGTCTCGCCCCACCCTTTCCCCCCATCACAGCAACGCGCAGCTGGTGCTAATCAGTCAGCGCCTGCCCCGCACTCTCGACGCGTTGCAGGAGATTCCCGGCATTGGCAGGTGGGTGCTTGGGAGCTGGGTGAGCCGAAAACAGTGGCGTTATTCCCAGCATTGTCAGAGGGGTGGGCAGGAGATGGGTGGGCAGAGCTAGCTGTTGTTATGCAGCTGTGAGTGCAGAGTGAATGCAAATGCGCTCAGGTATTCGTGTCCATCATCCTCCCACCTTTCCCTTTTACCATCTTCTTGATGCTTCCCTCTGCACCCCGCGCTCCCACCTCTTTCCCTCTCCCCCCGCTCCCTCCTCTCCCTCCTCTCCCTCCTCTCCCTCCTCTCCCATGTCCCCTCACAGAGTGAAGGTCAACAAGTACGGTGCCCGTGTGCTGGAAACTATTGAGAGGCTCATTGAAGAGCACAACAAGGGGGATGCCGGAGACATCAGCAACGACCGTAACAGCAAACCTCCTGAGTTATCTTCTGACCAACCAACTGATACACGGAATGCACCTGTCAACTCCACTGCGGCTTTTCCAACCCCTGCTAATGTGAATTCTGCTCCAAAGGCGTCGGAAAACCCACAGTTTTTCTCCTCTGACTTGGCTACACTGAAAAGGAGCCTTTGGAGTGAAGGTTCTGGCAATCCGGTGCCCCCTGGTACTGATGGTGAGGGGAAAATGGCTGCTAGCATTGGTGCTGCTGACGGGGGGTATGCAGGAGGGCATGTTAAAGTTGGTTTGTTGGGACGAAGCGCAAAGAGGGCTCGAGCGAGTGACGAAAGCGGAGGGGATTGTATCGAGGTGGTTAATGTGGAGGATGTTGGTGGGGTTGGGGAGGAATGGCGAAGTGGAAGGGAGGTGTTTGGGGATGGTGGTGGGGGAAGTGGAGGGAGGGCCAAGGGTGTTGTTAGTAATGGGGTTGCAGTGAATGGGGCGACGATTGAGATTGATGACAAGGCAGGATCAGATTCATTGTTTTCCGAGTATGTCTTTAGAAAACGATGGAGCTGAGGGCTCAATGTATACAAAGAATGTATGTCATGTAGTTTCATTATAAGCCTGCGATTTCAGCACTCTTTATCCGCGTATTCGTTGAATTCCTGGTTTCCGGCATCCATCAAGCTTTTGCCTCCCATCCAGTTCGATCGCCCTTGGGATTGTCGGACTCGCCAGTTCCGACTTGATCTTCCATCTTGCTTCAAACACTAGATTCTCGGACAGGGACCACACCACAGCGTTTTTCCTCCGAATTATGCCTTTCTCCCAAGCAATGCGACGCGAAGAAACCCGCATCCAAAGAGCCTGTTAGGAGGTTAGGAACGCGTCGCTTTTCACGTTATTTCATCAGCGTCCTGCATTCAATTGCCCCGTTAGGACGGTGTCAATCACTAGCAAAGTTCAAGGATTCTTCAAAGGTATTGCCAGGCACGCCAAACGCACGCTGATCCGAACAGCATTGTACCTATAATCCTTCAGCCATGTGGCTCGTGCCACTGGCAATTATTCTCAGCCTCTCCGTCTTTTACGGCGGAGAATCTGGGCCGGCTCTAACGGCCGCAGATACGCTCCTCCGGCAGAAAACAGCACTATCAGATCGCGTTAGAGTGTCGAGTCGCGAGGAGTTTCACGAACGGCTGATGCTCGAGCCGCTGCCAGATGGCCGCGTGTTGGCGCACTTCGCGTTCGAAAGCCGGCTGCGGGCATCGCGAGGAGCGGGAGGAACGGGAGAGTTGGAAGAAGGTGGAAAGTCCGCGGACACGGTTCTGTTCCCCCCGGCCATCCTGCACCTTGTAAGCCGTGCCGTCATAGTAGAATCCGCGCGCCTTGTCAGCGTTTCGTTGTCCCCGTTGCCTTCCCCCATTTCCGTTTCTGTCCCTCGTCCTCCCTCTCCATCTTCTCGTCCCTTGTGTCGACACACCTTGCTCCCCAAGCACATTCTCCATAGGCACCTCCCCCATCCTCCCTCCTCTCTCCTCTCGTCTTCCTCCTCCCTCCCCTCAAGTCCTGCCTCCCCTCCTCCCGTCTCCCCGCCTCCCCCTCCCCTACTCCCATTACCTCCTCCCGACTTCCCTCTTCCTCTTCCCTATTCCCTCCTCCCCATCCCCCACCAGGTGCAATCGTTAAGTGTGCGCCATTTCTCACTCTCTCTCACACACGGCAACTGGGACGTGCAGCAATGGGGTACCCCCTCCTCCTCCTCCTCCTCCTCCTCCTCCTCCTCCTCTCCCCCCTCTCAACCCTCCTCCCCTCTCCCCCCTCCCCCGCCTCTCTCACACCAAGAGTACGACGTGAGGCCGCCAGGGGCACAGCTGGTCGCATGGATGGGGGGAGAAGGGGGGACAGAGGTGAGAGGAAAGAGGAAACAGTGGGACTCATTTCATGAGCTTTTGAACTGTTGTTAATTTTTTAAACATCTGAAAAAAGAAAAAGAAAAAAAAGAGGTCTTAAACATTCCATGAAGTCTTGGACTGTTGTGACATCATAGTACCTGCATACTTCCTGTCGACATTCTCCCACTCATCCTCATCATCCCTCATCCCTTTTCCCCTCATTCCCGTCTCCCATCTCTATCCCTCTCAACCTTCCCCCTCATGCCAGCTGGATGCCACGTGGCACAACCTCACCGACGCCCTGGCAGGGCTGTTCTGTGCCTCGCTCAACTTCCTGCAGTCCCCCTGCTCCGTCGTCTCCCCCGCTCTTCACTTCCACACCCCATTCCCTCTCCCCGCAAACCACACCCACTCACCATCCCAACCCCTATCCTCCTCCTCCGCCTCCTCCTCGCCACCGCCAAACCAGCCGCCGGGCTTGCACGTGAGGTACGGCAGCATGGCTCGGGAGCCGGTGTGCACGGAGAACCTGACGCCGTGGCTGAAGCTGCTGCCGTGCCGCGACGCGGCAGGCCTCTCGTCTCTCATGGACCGCGGGGCCGTGTTTGGCGGCCGCTACCACTCCATGCACACTGCCGTGTGGACTGACGTGTGCGATGAGGGTAGTGTGGTCGAGGAGGGGAGTGTGGGAGAGGGAGGGAGTGTGTGTGGTGTTGCTGAGAAATCCTCTTCCTCATCCTCTTCATCCTCCTCCGCGACTTCCCCCTACATCTCCCCCGCCACGCCTGCATGTGCCGGTGTGACATGGGCAGTGGTGCTGCACCAGTCGCTCACAGTCGTGCTCGATGCCTCCACTGAGAACGCCCTTGCCGCCGCTGCAGCTGCAGCTGCCACCAAACCCGTCCCCTCTGCTCCTTCCAATTCAGCACGTGCAGCGGCAAAAGAGGGGCTTGATTTGAGTGATGTGCTTCCGTTGCCGCCCGATTGGAGTGTGGGTGCGCTGTTTGGGCGGCAGCTGACGTCAGTGTGTCCCCTTGCCACGTCAACTGATGTGGCAATAAGAGTGCCTTCCGGTCTCCTCTGCCCCGCAGCTCAACTCACTGCTGGTGCAGCAGGAGGTGCTGCCGCTGTTTCTGCCACTGCTGCTACTGTTAACGCTGCTGCTGCCACTGCTGCTGCCTGTAATAGAGGTGACAGTGACGGGAGTGCCTCTAAAGTGGGGTGGACGACTTTTCTCAGGAGCAATGCAGTGTTTGGGCTGGAGGGGAAATGGAGGGTGAGATTTCAGCAGAGAGGTGGTGCTGTGTCGTCAGGGGGGTCGAGTGCAGAAGACATGGGGGGAATGGGGGGCGTGCAGCAAGTGGAAGCAGTGCTGCTGCATCGTGACTTGCGCCGCCATCAAGTTCACGGCTCTATCTCTGCCTCTACCGCTACTGCTGCTGCTGCTGGCAATGGTGTTGACTCAGCGTTGCATGTGGGTGACGTGGCAGCGGTCAGCTCGGCAGGCATTCACTGGAAGCGGCGTGTGGCATGGCAGCGGCGGCCGGCGTTGTTCGTCCTTTCCCGGTTCACCACAGGCACAGGAGACGCCCTGGGGGGGCTGACGTTCCTCATACAGGGAGCAGGGGGAGCAGGGGGTGCTGCACGAGAATGTGGTACTAAAATAAATAATGATTCTTCCAACACAGGGAGCCAAAGTAGGGAGTGTGGAAGCGACACAGGGAGCGACACAGTGAGTGTGTTCCAGGCGGTGCCGTGGTGGCTGAAGCTGTACCTGCACACGCTCTCTCTCTCCTTCGACCACCACCCTGTCAGCCTGAGGGACAGCAGTGCGGTTGTAGCGGCGCGGCTACAGCCGACGAGGGAGAGAGGCGCGCCTGCTGTGCTGGAGCTGCTGCTTCGCGTGCCCAGAGGAGTCTCTCGCGTTACAATCACAGTGCAGTACCGAAAGGTGTGTGTAACACTCACTGCGCCCTCGGAACTGTCACTTTCTACTCTACAATCACACTGCAGTACAGAAAGGTGTGGGTTCTTAGGCGTGTCAAGTCTCATGAGTTATAACCACACTGACGAGGGAGTTTTGAGACGTCTCAACAATCACAGTGCAGTACAGAAAGGTGGGTTCTTAGGCGTGTCAATCAAGTCTCATGTGTTATAACCACACTGACGAGGGAGAAGGCCCCGCCTGCTGTGTTGGAGCTGCTCTTGCGCATGCCCAGGGGAGTGTCTCGCGTTACAATCACAGTGCAGTACAGAAAGGTGCGGTTACTTAGGGGTCTCACTCTCCCGCTCGCCTCTTCCCTCGTCACACCACCTTTCCCACCTCATCTTCCCATCCACCTCGCACCCCCCTGCAGGCCTTTCTGACGGTCTTTGAAACGCCGCCTGATGCCAGCAGGGGAGTCGACCTTCCCGCTGCCCTCCTCACCGTGCCCTCGGTATAGTCACACTCACCGTGCCCTTGGTATAGTCACACTCACCGTGCTCTTGGTATAGTCACACTCACCGTGCCCTTGGTATAGTCACACTCACCGTGCCCTCGGTATTGTCACACTCACTGTGTTCTCGTTGTTGTCACACTCACTGTGCCCTCGGTATTGCCACTCTCACTGTGCCCTCTGTAATTTCACCGTCGCCGTGCCCTCGGTATTTGGTGCCGGTGCCGGTGCCGGTGCCCCTATGGTGGTGGCACCCCTGTGATATCCCCCCTCAGGGGTCGCACCCCTGTGATGGTGCTTTTTGAGATTTTTCAAATGGTGATATTCCCCCTTCCTCCCTCTTGCTCGCTGCAGGACCCACAGGGTCCGAGCCACATGTATGCGCCACCGGTGGTGGTGCCAGTACCACTGCCAGATCTGAGCATTCCATACAATGTCATCACACTCACCTGCACTCTGCTCGCCCTTTTTTCTCCCCCACTTGCCACCACAGGACCCCCAGGGTCCGAGCCACATGTATGCGCCACCGGTGGTGGTGCCAGTGCCGCTGCCCGACCTGAGCATGCCTTACAACGTCATCACACTCACCTGCACTCTGCTCGCCATTGTGCTCGGGTCGCTCTTCAACACTCTGCGATACCGCCCCTCTGCTGCTTCTGGTGAGTTGCCACGTAAGGCGCCACAAACATGCATTGTTGCTTGGTGCAAGCTCAAGTGTTGCTGTAAGTCATCACTCTCACCTGCACTCTGCTCACCATCGTTCTCGGGTCGCTCTTCAAATCCTTGCGCTACCGCCCCTCTGCTGCTGCTGGTGAGTTGCCCTGCTGCCTCTCTTTCCTCAGCACCCTCAAGGCTTGGCCCCTGTGCTGCTGGTGAACCCTCTACGTGTTGACCTTGACATGCACTATTGCTTGGTCAAAGCTCAAGTGTTGCTGTAAGTCATCACTCTCACCTTCACGCTGCTTGCCGTCGTGCTCGGATCACTCTTCAACACTCTGCGCTACCGCCCCTCTGCTGCCAGTGAGTCGCCCTGTAAGGCATCGCTTGTTTACTCCCGTGCTTTTTCGCGACAACCTTTTCATTCGCCATTTTTTTCTGCCAAGGGATAATGGAATTTGACAGATCAAGATACTGGTATTGGTGTTTATGTTTATTGATCTGTCCTCCTTTTAGGTACGTCAAGTGGAACTGAAGCTAATGGCACACCAAGCACTGATAAGGCTCTTGCAAAATCCTTTATGGATCGCTTAAAAGAGAATCGGAAGAAGTTTGCGCTCGTGGTTCTGGCTGTGGTTGCAGCTGGTTGGGCTGCGAGAAACCAGCCCTTCCAATAATATTGGCTTAGTTGTATTGATCCTGTGTAGAAGATTGTTTGTATTATTATGGTTTGTAAAAAAGGTTCTGTCCAGTGCCCAATTACGCCGGATTGTATCGGAATTACTGCTATCGCGTCAATCCTTGCTCAAATTGTGACAACAAAAGAGCAACTGAGGGCGCGTGTAATTTGGTGTAGACGTTCGAAAGAGGGGCGAACTATTTCTGGTAACCCGTTCCGTTACTGTCGCCAAAACATTCGCGAGGGAATTGTGTGTCCTGGTTCAAACTGTGTGAAGGAAGTTGGACACTAAACTGAAGTCGACCAGCGTTCGGATTTTAACGTTTACCTTTTTCCAATCGTGTGTTCTTTGACGCACGCCCGAAATTTTGCGAGGTTCACGACGATGACGAGGGAAAATGTATCGGGCTGCCAATTTCTGGTCCGGTCACGAACTGCACCGCACAACCGGGTAACCTACAGAAGTCTAGCGCGACTTGTAATCTACTGTTTAAAGTTGAACTCTGATATTCGAACTTTGTTGTTCCATGCGCGACTCGGAATTGCTGACGCTGCTCCTCGACCACGAAAAGTCGAGACGGTCGACCTTAGGTCGACCGATTCGAATGTGTAAATTCGAAAAAAGAACATGAACTTCAGCCTGATTTGCAAAAGACACGCGCCCTAAAAACAATTTTCAAAGCAAGGGTGCCCACGCGCTGAGACGAGCGGCTCGTCTCAGCTGCAGCTTATGCGCGCCGAGTTGCGCTGTGAGTTTCACAAGTTGATTAGGCGGTACGCGGTGACTTGACTATGCGCGACGACTTAAAAACTATGGCGTTATCTGGCAAGAGTGTTACGCGTACATCGCGATCGGCGCTGATGCTGGTCGTGGCCTGGGTTGTAGTGGCGGCTACAGCCGTCACATGGGGAATTGACGGGGGAGACTCCTTAGGCGGGGATGGCTATGGCGGCGGAAGGGCGGAAGGCGGGCGAAGGTTATTAGCAGTCAACGGGGAGGAGATTAAAGAGCGTGCTAAAGAGTTGTACGCGGTATAAGCCACCGCCACGGTTTGCGGCGTCTCTACGCAACCCCGGTTTTTTTTATCCACTCTCTCATGCCCCCTCAACCTCCACCTCCCCCTCCCCTTCCTCCTCCCCCCGCCTCCCCCTCCCCCCAATCCCCTGCAACCAAGCCATTCCCACATTCCTTCCCCCGTTCCCTCCCTCTTCCCCCGCCTTCCCTCTGCCTTTTGCGCACTCGTCCCCGTCCCCCAGTCATGGGCGCAGATTTACGGGCTAGACAACGCCTCGTCGCTGCTTCCCCCGCCCTCCCCACTCCCCTTTCCGCCCGCCGTTCCCCCCGCGCCCCACCTGGAGGACTGCTCCGCGCGCACTGCCTGGCGCCGCGCCTCAGAGGCGCGCGGACCAGGGGGGGAGCCGCCCTTATGGGCGCGGGGCCAGGGGGAAGGGGGAAGAAGCGGGGAACCGGTGCGTGGGGGTGCGGTGGGGGGGGCGGAAGGGGGAGGGGAGGGGTGCGGGGAGGGGCCTCTCCCGCCCTGGGTGAGGGGTGCTGACGTGGACAACCTTCCACTGACACGTGTCGCGCAGAGAGACATTTGGGAGAGCCAGCGAATAGGAGCGTCGTGTGAGGGGCGGCGCCTGCTACTGGCTCGCTGGTGGCCGGCTGAACGCCACGACTTGGGGTCTCAGGTGTGTGGTCAGGTGAATTTTCAGGTGAACAAGCAGGTACTTCTTAGGTGGAGTCGCTGATCATCCGTGGATTCTAAGATGAACGATCAGTTGGATCTTCTTTTGGCGGTCAGTTGAATGGTCAGGTGAGTTGTCAGGTGAGTTGTCAGGTCAGGTGCCTTGTCAGGTGGTTCAAGTGGTCAGGTGGAGTCTCATGTGCCTGGGCAGGTTGTGGATAATTGGACAGAGGTCTTGCTGAGGTGGTTTTTCATATAACCTCAGGTGGTATTCTCAGGCAGAAAATCGGGCAGGCAATTAGGCAAGTTGTCCTTTCTGTCCTGTACTGGTGCAGGTGCATCTGGCGGGGGCGTATCTGAGCATAGCTATGGCTCACAATCGCACCTTCGTGCCCTGGCCTGGACAATTCGACCGCGCCCTCCTCCCCGCCTGCCAAGGTGTGTGCCATGGGCTTTAAGGCTTGGGAGTTGCAGTGAGGTGCAGTGAGGTGCGGTGAGGTGCGGTGAGGTGCGTGCCAAGGCGCGTGTTTTGCCCTCCTTTCCTTCCCGTCCCGCCTGCCCTGGGCTCTGGGACATCTCAGTGGGCTTTTGAGTCGACTCAAAAGTTGCCCTGGGCTCTGGGACATCTCACTATCTGCCAAGACGGATGTGTCAGTGTGCTTCGTCCCCGGCACTCCACTCTAGTGCAGTGCGGTGCGGTGCAGTGGAGTGCAGTGCACTTCCCAGTGGCTAAGATATTCCTCTCTCTCCCCCAATATTTCTCTCCCTCCCCCCTTCCCCTTTTCCCCCGTACCTCCCTCCTTTCCTCCCTCCTTCCCCTCCCTCTCTCCCTCCCTCCCTCTATCCCTCTCTCCCTCCCTCCCTCCTTCCCTCCCTCCCTCTATCCCTCTCCCCGTCCCTTCTCCCCAGACCTAGGCCAGCGGGGGTCATGGGAGTGTTATTTCTTCCCCGTCGCCTCGTCTGATTGCACGCAACGAGCGCAGCAGGCCCTGGCAGCGGGTGCCGTGCCGCCCTGCGCCTCTCAGGGCCTCACAGCAGCAGCAGCGTCAGATGCGCCCATTGTGTGTGTGGAGCTGCAAGAGCTGGGAGAGCTGTTCATGGAGCAAGGCAGCGAGGCAGGCAGGTATGTGTGTGTGAGAGCGAATGCGTGAGCATGCGGGAGTGCCGCCATGACTCTTTAGCGGCTTCACAGCAGCAGTGGCGTCGGATGCCCCTGTGGGTGTGTGTGGAGCTGCAGCAGCTAGGAGAGCTGTTCGTGGAGCAGCAGGGCAGTGAGGCGGCCAGGTGTGTCTGAGTGAGTGTGTAGGAGTGTATGTATCCACCCATCATCACGTGCCGGCTTCACAGCAGCAGCGGCGTCAGATAGACATGGTTGTTTACAAGAACAAAACACTGTGGTTACCAAAACGTAGGGGGGGAAACAATCGTGATGACAAGAACAAGCAGGTGGTAGGTGCACAGCTGTACGGGAGTGTGATTATTTGTGATTTCTCGGGACGCACGGTTGTAGGCCAAAAAGTAAGAGTTCGAATCACCAGCTATAAGTTTGGAAGTGAGCTAGGATAATACTCGAAGAATCTGACAGGAAGAGCGTTCGAACTTGACAGATATCCACCGTCCTCTGTTGAGGCGCCTCAGAACTTGACAGATATCCACCGTCCTCTGTCCTCCCACCCACCACTCTGGTGCTGCTCTGATCTTCCGTCCCCCATCCTCCCACCCCCCGACTCACCACCTTTTTTCCTTGCCAACTTGCAGGCTGTGGGCACTGTGAGTACACGTAGCTTTTCCCCCTCCCTCCTCCCCCGTTCCCTACAGGCTGTGGGGTTCTCCCTAACCGGGCACTGTGGGTAGATGTATGCCTCCCCCCTCCTTCCTCCCCCCACGTTTCTTCCCCCTACCTACCTGCAGGCTGTGGGGTTCTGTTTATTTGACCACACCACCCACCGTGGTGCACTGGGGGCAGATGCAAGGCATGTCGACCAATGAGAGCATGGTGAGGCTTGTGGTGTGAGGCATGGTGAGGGCATGGTGAGGGCATGGTGAGGGCATGGTGATGGCATGGTGATGGCATGGTGAGGGCATGGTGAGGGCATGGTGAGGGCATGGTGAGGGCATGGTGAGGGCATGTTGAGGGCATGGTGAGGGCATGGTGAGGGCATGGTGAGGGCATGGTGAGGGCATGGTGAGGGCATGGTGAGAGCATGGTGAGGGCATGGTGAGGGCATGGTGAGGGCATGGTGAGGGCATGGTGAGAGCATGGTGAGGGCATGGTGAGGGCATGGTGAGGGCATGGTGAGGGCATGGTGAGAGCATGGTGAGGGCGTGGTGAGGGCATGGTGAGAGCATGGTGAGGGCATGGTGAGGGCATGGTGAGGGCATGGTGAGGGTATGGTGAGGGCATGGTGAGGGCATGGTGAGGGCATGGTGAAGGCATGGTGAGAGCATTTTGAGGAACGTCTGAGGCAATAACATGATGGATACTAGTGGGCATGAGGCTAGTGGCATGCTTCAATTGTGTCGTGTGGTTAGGAATGTGGGTGGGCTTAGAGGTATAGGGTGGTATGGCATGGCATGACAGTTTATGAGGTACAAGAAAAGCCTGCCAACTACTACTATTTTCCAGCCTCTTTCAGCAAAACGTCCCTCTTTTCCCCTGCCAACTCAGAGCACCACACGCATTCCCCTCCCATCCCACCTCCCATCCCTTGAGACCCACTGGTGGCATGCGCAGGCCACACGCTTCATGCTGCGCTAGCCCTCCGCCCATCTCTCTCTCCCTCCGTACCTCCTGTTAACCCCGTTCACAAATCTTTTGCCGATGCCACAACCGATCTCCCCATCCACCCCATCCCATCCCACCCCACCCCATCCCATCCCACCCCACCCCATCCCATCCCACCCCATCCCACCCCATCCCATCCCACCCCACCCCATCCCACCCCATCCCATCCCACCCCATCCCACCCCATCCCATCCCACCCCATCCCATCCCACCCCATCCCATCCCACCCCATCCCACCCCATCCCATCCCACCCCATCCCACCCCATCCCATCCCATCCCATCCCATCCCATCCCATCCCATCCCATCCCATCCCACCCCATCCCATCCCACCCCATCCCACCCCATCCCATCCCACCCCATCCCACCCCACCCCATCCCATCCCATCCCATCCCATCCCATCCCATCCCATCCCATCCCATCCCATCCCATCCCATCCCATTCCATCCCATCCCATCCCATCCCATCCCATCCCATCCCGTCCCATCCCATCCCCCAACCCACCTCTCATCCAATCAGACCCACTGGTGGCGAGCGCAGGCCACACGCTTCATGCTGCGCTGGCCCTCCGCCCACCTCCCTCCCCCTCCGTCGCTCCTGTTTCCCCCCTCTTTCCCTTCCCTCATTTCCCCATCCCACCCACCTCTCATCCAATCAGACCCACTGGTGGCGTGCGCAGGCCACGCGCTTCATGCTGCGCTGGCCCTCCGCGCATCTCTGCCACGTCACCAACCAGCAGCGCCACGCTGCGTTCGGTATGCTCGTGGCCAATCAGCTCGCAGAGTTCATCCCAACCCAAACCGCCTTCCTGCGTGGCCTCTCAGCCAGCAACGCCATCACAGAGAGTCAATACATGCTGCTCTCCAGCATGGACGATTACTCCTCCTTTCTCCCTCCCCCCACCTTCCCAATCCCCTTCTCAGATGCTTCTTCTTTTTCCTCCTCCTCCTCCTCTTCCTCTGCTTCAGCCCCCTCACCATCTGTCTCCCCAACAGCACAACCACCACTACCCACACCAGAGACAGCACCTGAGGTACCAGCAGCAGCAGCAGCGGAGGTGCCTCAGGGCGAGTCGTCACCCCCTCACGTGCGCTCGCTGCACGCCTGCGTGTGGCCCCAGCGCGGCTTCCCCGCCCCCCCTTGCTCCGCTGCTAGCTGTGCCCCTGCTGCCGACTGCAACACTGGTGAAAGCAGCAGCAGCAGAGAGGAAAGCAGGGAGGTGGGAGCGGAGGAAGCGTACAGGATGGTGGGGGGGGGGTGCACATGCCAGGGGGCATGGTGAGTGTGCATGTGCGGCAGACAGACAAGCGCAGGGAGATGCAACTCGCCTCCTTCCACTCCCACATGTTCCTCTTGCACAGGTGCGCTCTGGTGCAGGTGGGTTGTGGTGCAGGTGGGTTGTGGTGCAGGTGGGTTGTGGTGCAGGTGGGTTCTGGCTCAGGTGGGTTCTGGCCCTGGTGGGTTCTGGCGCAGTTTATATCCAGCTATCCAGCGTTGGCGATATTGCTATCGTTTTCAGTCTCCATGAATCATGAAGTCCTCTACAACAATGCAACTCCTTTCTTCACACCCTTTCCATCTGAGCCCTCGTGTGTGTGTTTGTTTCCCATGCAGACTCAAGCTGTCCCGGCCCGATCTTCAACATGTGTGGCTCAACACGGAAGCACAGGTAACCAAACACCATCATACACTGGTGCATGTGTCGTGTGCCATTGTAGCGAGGTGACTTTTGAGTCAACTCAACAGTCACCTTCAACATGTGTGGCTTAAAACGAAAGCACAGGTACCCAAACACCATCATACACTGGTGCCAGTTCACCCTAACAATATTCCGAGTCATTTTTTTCATAACCATGAAACTGTGGTGTAGTTTGAGTCCACTCAAAACAGAATCAGGATTGCGCAAGGACGTGGATGCAGCGCCCTACACACTCACCCACACTGCCCCATGCTCCCCCCCACCCCCCCCCCCCCCCCCCCCCTCCCCCTCCCCCGCAGTCGGTGATTGATGCCACGTCTCTCTATCCCGATTGGACCTTCTTCTACTCCACTAACACCCGTCAAAGCGACATCTCAGCACCAAAGCAAGAACAACAAGGGGAAGAGGTCCTGCGGGCATATGATAGTGAGCAATCAGTGGCAGTCAGCTTCGCTAGCTTGCTGATTGCTGCACAGTGCGATCTTTTTGTTGGGTCGCTAGGATCAAATTGGAGCCGTCTGATCAACGAGCTCAGATCCACCAATGGCAGACTGTTGGCTGGGTTTCTGGCCCTCAATTTTGGTGAATATTGAGTGCTGTAAGACATTTCATCTATTTCAATGATGTGTTATAAAACTCTCGCTTACTCCCAATGTAGCTTTCCACCTGGTTAGAGTCCAGCTGCAATTTACCAGTACAGGGTGAGGAGGAGAAACTCCAGCAAACATGTGGCGACCCAGGAGTTCACCCATGCTGACCAGCACAGAGCCTGCTTCCTGCGCTTCGAATTTCCGTAACCTGAGTTGATACCTGACCAGATCTGTTCCGGTAACAACCAGCCGCGAGGAGCCAACCTGCGCCAGAAAAGTGCAGTCACATCCGCCCGCCAACATCTACAGTCGCTTGATTCAGCGCGGTTCGGTTCCAATCTCGCGATTCGCGAACTCCCCAGCAAAACCATGAGGCAATTCAAGCCAACCATACACACACCAGCGTAATATAAAATAAGTCCGTCGACACACAAGACACAACACAATCTTTCGTACAACATATTTTAGGTGAAGTTTCACTCTTACGATTTTTACTCCTAGCGTTTTTCTTTCTCTCTAGGCGATTTTAACATTTCTCGACAGCAAGGCAGATCTCAGCGCTTTGGCCTAGATCTTAGAACCATGGCACGGTTGTTACTCGTAGCGTCGCTCGCACTCCTACTGACAGTGGCCTCCGCGGCGCCAAGCGTCGTGACTGGCCCCAACAACCCCGCAGTGTCCCTCGCGGCGGCGCAGGGTGAGAATGGAGTAGCAACGGAGGTGCCTAAGGGCATCGAGCAGGCGGCGGCGGCGGGCAATCTGGACAAGTTTGAGGGGACGACGATCGTGAGTCCGAGCACGGACAGCATGCTGCTGGTGGACGTGAAAGCGGCCGGATGGAACAAAATGAAGTGCCACAAGGACCTCGGCAAGCCCGGGGACGGCGCGTGCACGCCCGCCAACTGCAGCAAGGGCGGCATCCCGGCGAAATGGAAGACGTCGAATCTGCTCAAGAACAAGCTGGGCGTGGAGATGTACGTCAAAGGTAACCCGCTCACGCTCAAGAAGGCATCCCCGCAGACGTGCTGCAACACGTGCGCGTCGTTCAAGAGCTGCACGTACTGGCAGTACATCCCCGATATAACCATCGACGGCAAGAAGACGGACGGCGCGTGCTACCTGGTGCACGACAACATCGACTACTCGTGCGGCGAGCTCACCGCGCAGTACGCCACGGACTCGAAGCCCATCGCGCTGCAGGTGCGCACGGGCGGCGAGTGCAACCCCGCCGCGAACGTCGTCAACGACCCGCATCTGGTGGGCGCGTTCGGGACGCACTTCGACTTCAACGGGCGGCCCGACAAGGCGTTCTGCCTGCTGACGGACCGCGACCTGCACGTGAACATGCTGCTGCGCGGGTACTACTCGGACGACACGGAGAACGCGGCGCTCGTGGTGGACGGCAAGGCCGTGCACACGTGGATCAAGGAGCTCGGGCTCGTGTGGTTCGCGGCCGGCGCGGATCACAAGCTGCGCCTCGCGGCGCGCGGCGGCAAGCAGCAGGAGCGCGGCGAGGGGTTCATGAAGACGATCGAGATCGACGGCGAGGAGATCCCGAGGATGGCCGTCGGCGACGAGGTGAAAACTGAGGGCGGCTTGACGCTGCGATTCGCGGCGCTGGAGAAGGAGGGGCCGTATGACGTGGACTACTACACGCTCGCGATCGACGGGCTCGTGTCGCTCGACCTGCGCCTGCGCGTCGCCAACCCGAAGCTGCAGACGCCGAACGACGCCGAGGCGCACATCAACGTGGGGATTGTCGAGCTGGAGCACACCGACGACGTGCACGGCGTGCTCGGCCAGACGTACCGCCCCGACCACGCCGCGCGCGCCGCAGATTTCCAGCGCCTGATCGCGAATCTGCACCGTCCGATTTCCTCGGACAGCGAGGAGGGCGTGGGGTTCCTGGACGGCACGCCGCGGTCGTACGAGTCGAGCTCGGTGCTCTCCGTGGACTGCGCGCACACCGAGTACCACCGCGCCAAGCAGCTCAGCCCCGTCGAAGAGTTCCCCCGCGAGCCGCTTCACTGAGCCTAGTCGCGCGCGCAATGGGCTCGCGGGATGCGAGTATCCCGTGGTGATTTGGTGGGCTGATTTCCGTAAACGCTAAGCGTGACTCTGTATTGTATACTGGCCCGAAAATGGGCTTATTCTTTTGTTGTAAATGAGCTGTTTGCATTCATTCATAAACACGTCTTCTACTTTTCATAATCGGCCCTCACCACCAGAGTTTTCACGCAGAAGTCAGATCATCACCATGAAACCCCTACTCATCAGTGCACAGCACAGGGTTTTGATGGAAGCAAGGCCTCCATTCCCTACAGGTACTCATTAGTGCGCAAAACAGAGTTAGGAAGAAAAGAAACAGAGTTTTTGTTGCAGAAAGGAGCACTCGTGCAAGAAGCACAACTGTGGTTAGGGGCATGGTCAAGGAGCGGTAGCTTGGTCTAAAATTCATGCACTGTACAAACAATCAAGACTTGAAGACAAGTTGTGTGTGTGTGTGTGGTCACAAGGGCATGGCAACGTTCATGAACTTGCGTTTGCTGAAGGAGAGCCACCACTTGTTGGGCGAGCCATCCGGCAGATACACCAGCTGCAGTAGCCGGTTGCTCGTCTCCTCCCTCACACTCTGCAAATAAGTCCGCAGCGTCTCTGTTGCGAGGACAGAGGGAGAAGAGAGAGGTTGGGGGGAGGGGAGCCGAGCCGAGGTGACTTTAGAGTCGACTGAAAAAGCAGCCGGTTGCTCGTCTCCTCCCTCACTCTGCAAATACGTCCGCAGTGTCTCCGTTGCGGAGAGGAGGGAGGGGAGTGGTTGGGGGGAGGGTAAGGGGGAGGGGGAGGGGGAGGGGGAGGGGTAGGGGGAGGGGGAGGGGGAGGGGGAGGAGAAAAGGGAGGGGGAGATTAAGGGGGAAGGGAGTGGGAGGGGGAGGAAAGGGAGATGGGGGGAGTGAGAAGGTGCAAGTACATCCGCAGTGTCTCTGTTCCGGGGATAGGCGAGGTTGGGGAAAGAGGACTCAGAGTCAAGCGAATGACATTGTGAAAGAAAAGGGCAGAGCTGGGACGAATTCAGAATGAAGACTGAAGCAAACTGACAAAGTGCACGAGCACAATAAAGTGCAACCAGCCACACGAAAAGCAATGTGGCCAGCAAGCCATGCTGATGTAAAGCCTCAGATACACCAGCAGCTTGTCTGCCCAGGTTCGACTGAACTCTTAAAGCCCCAACATAATGAGCTTAGAGCGAACTTTAAAGCCAAGCACCTGCTTCGAGGCGGGTGGAGGGCGTGGCAAAGAAGCCGGCGAGCGGAAAACCAGGGTCCCCTGGGATGGGGAAAGGCTCTAGGCCGAGGTTGATAAGCAGGCGGATTCCCTCGGCCTCGGAGGGGCAGGAGTGGATGCGCTTAAGCGCCATGTTGATGTAGAGCGTGAGGTAGACTAGGAGCTTGTCCGGCCAGTTTAGAATCAGCTCAAAGGCCACGCACCTGCTTCCAGGCGACTGGTTGGTGTTGCAAACAATCCAGCAAGCGGGAATCCCGGGTCTCCCGGAATAGGAAAGGGCTCCAATCCCAGGTTAATCAGCAGTCGGATGCCCTCGGCCTCGGAGGGGCAGGAGTCGATGCGCTTGAGAGCCATGTTGATGTAAAGCGTGAGGTAGACTAGGAGCTTGTCCGCGGGGCCGCGGATGTCAAAGCGGCGGAACAGCACGTTGGCTCTGAAGAGCGTGATCGCCTCGTCCACTATGTCTGACTCCTCTGGGTGCGTGAGGGGGTGGGGTACGGGTGGGTTTGAGTGGGTTTTGGTGGGTGAGCTGACGGAATGAAAGGGCTGGGTTTCACAGCACGTTGGCTCGGAATGAAAGCGATTGCCTCGTCCACTCTGTCCGTCTGGTTGGGGGGGTTGTGTGGTAGGGGTGTGGTTTGTGAGTCAGATTGGTTTGTGACAGTGACTGCCTTGCTGCCACCAATGTCAGTCTGGTTATCAGTGGAGGCCTTGGGCGAAAGATGGTTACCAGTGGAGGCGTTGGGCGAAAGATGGTTACCAGTGGAGGCGTTGGGCGAAAGGTGGTTACCAGTGGAGGCGTTGTGAGTGGGTCCTCTGGCGGTGGCTTTGAGCGGCAGCAAGGGGCAGCCGCATGCAAACTCCACTCCCTCCAAATGCGTGTACGATGAGTGGTACACCTGCAGTTCCCAGGGGTGCAGAGTGGTATGGGGTGAGTGCAGTGCCAGGCATGAGGGGTGCGGAAACATGCGGGGTGCGCCTGCTAGCACTGGTCAACACGCGAATCGTATATCTCTGAGTAAGATGCGGGTGGTACTGCTCGCACTCTACAGGAACACTCTACGGATAGCGACAGGGAGGGAGGAACCACACTCCGCATTCTACAATTTCACTCACCATGTCGACGCCTGATCGGTCGAGACTATCCGCGTTATCCCGATTTCGCTCTTTGGGACAGTCGGCGCGCTTTGAGCTCCTTCACATTGGTCGAAGCGCTTACGGTGACGCTATTAGGGTCACTTATTGAAGGCGGAAGTAGGAAAAGCGAGAAACGGTTATCAACAGCAGGGGGAGGAAGAATAGGAGATGTTGTGGTTGTCACACTTCTTCCCCCTATCGTCTTTTCGTGGACGCAATCTCGGAAGAGGAAATGAGGAAGGAGGGCAGAAAAGAGCCGATGTAAAGGCAGCAGAGCGTGAAAAATAGTAACTTGTCGACGATGAAGCGGATTTGAGAAAGGTTCTGCAGCGAACAAGAAAATGTGAGCCAATACGGAAATGTCAGCCCCGAAAACCTACCGTATGTCAGAAATGTGAGCCACAAGGAGACAAAATATGACTGCAGACGCACAAAAGCCTTAATTGAGCCAGCCGGGAATCGAACCCGGGTCTGCACCGTGCTGATGGCAGGGTGCTATTCTACCTCTTTATTGACACTATAGTAAATGTACAATGGATACAAGGCAAATCCAGAGACCTAGTGTATGGAAAGCAGGCTTATCCTATTGTGAGGCCTACAAATAGGCCTCTGAGATGTTTCAGTGGTCCTCTCCAAAGTAGGCAAAGTCAGCTGCAGAAAGAGAAGTCACCTCGGGTGGTGCGTGGTTAACGCCCTCGGTAAAACGAATTTGTGCACGACGACAAACAGTGCGAGCCTGCTCATGTTGATGGACCAGAGAAATCCGTTTGTAGAAGTTGGTCTCAAACAGCAGGGGAAGAGAATCTGTAGCACCACTCAAGTCGCGGAGTTGTGAAGCCCCTTTTCGGCTGCATTGGCGAAGGAAGTTGTTGAACGATGAGCCGAAGCAACCGAAGGTTTCGATGACAAGGGGAAACAGTTTGACGTCCGGACGGTCATGAAGTGCTGCAGCATAGTGGGTTGTCTTCTCACTTTCACGAGTGGCTGCTGCTGAACCAATCACCGTAGCTGCGTTGGAGTGCGGAAACCCCTTTTGTGGATCAGCAACAGAAACATCTAAGGCCCAGGTGGTACCAGAGCTAATGTCGCGGCATGTGATGTCTGTGCGGCGGCCAGGCAGGAGATGCTGGTCTTCCATCTGCGCAGAGAACCCAAGCTCCAAGGCAATGCGATGAACTTCTCGTTTGATTGCGTCGTGCACCTTTGTAGGCTCGTTGTTGCTAGGGCAGCGAAGGACATGAGAATGGATGGAAGGATCAGTGAACGGGGAGTTGCAGGTGCAGGTGAGTGAAGATGAAAGGTGAGGAAGAGGAAGGCCTAAGCGGATAGCTGCTGCAATGCGCCACTCGGTCTCTGAAAGCTGCATGTGCAGGGAGGATGGAGCCACAGTGAGCCAGTCACCTGCATGCGGGCCCTGCAAAGAGGTTAGACGAGCAAGGCGAAGCGGGGACGTTACTGTGGCTCGAACCTTCTCCAGCAAATCGGCTTCGAGGTGTTGGGAGAGATGAGTAAAGAGTTTAGGAGGGTAGCCTGATTGAAGCACAGGCCATGATGGGAAGCGATCACGAATGTCTTGGGGAAGCATGGTCATGGTAGATGAGATTGAAGGGTCGAGGAGGTTAATGGAGTCCGTGGTGACGTAAGGGCGGAAAAGAGGAGCACCATCAGTGATGAAGTGGGTGGATAGGGTCGAAACTGCCTGCGCCCAGCTGCAAAGGTAACTGAGGGGGGCGATGGATGCAGAGCTGCGAATGCCGAAGCCACCTAAGCGGATAGGGAGCGAGGCTTGGAGGCGGGCCGATGTGGACTGTTCAGAGGTGGGATTCCAGTACTCGGGGCCCAGGAGCTGAGAGAAGTGGCTGAAAATGATGCTGTCCCATGAAGAGAGTAGCTCTTGGATTTCGGGAAAAGGTGCGACAGTTCTGAGGAGGAAAGAAGGCCGGGCAGTGATGCATAAGGAAAGGATCCGTGAGGCAATCTGTGGGTCCTGCAGTTGATGTAGTAAAGGGAGGGAGGTAGTGAAAGAATCGAGCTTGTCACGAACTGTAGAGATGATGTAACCGTCAGAGCCGGTAGGAACGCCGACGACAGTGAGACCGTTTGCAGCGACGGAAATACCCGGGGGCGGAATGCAGTGTTCGGGCAGGTCCATAGGGGCCCATAGAGAGCACTTAGAGGGTTGGACAGTAAGGCCGAGAGAGAGAAGGCGGGAGGTAAGGTCAGTGTATGCGGCAAAGACGTCTAAAGGAGGGCCGACCAAGTAGGTATCATCTGCGTATGAGGTAATGAAAATTGAGGCAGACTGCTGCTGGGTTGGTTGGATGGCTAGCTGCTGTGTTAGGGCGTAAAGGAAAGGGCCACAAGGGTCGCCTTGACGAACACCAGAAGCTGACTGGAATGTGTGGAGAAGGGGGCCGCTGCGGTAGTGGAGAGGTGAAGGGGTGGAGTAGAATAGGCGGAAGAAGGGAATGAGACTGGAGAATGGGGAGCGCCTTAATGCCTCAAACATGGAAACCCGATTGAACGAGTTGAACGCGTTTGCAACGTCCAGTTGAAGCACCACCCAGTCTGGATGAAGGGAGAAGGCGGAGCACACTGCGTGCGACATAATCTTGATCCCGGCCGGAACTGCTACGCCAAATTGAAGGTGAGGAAGGAATGTCTCTCGCATCTGCTGCTTGAAAAGGAGAGTGATGCAGCGTGAAAGGAGGCGTGGTAGCACTTCCCCAATGGCGATGGGACGTACACCACCATGCGGTTTCTGTAGGGCCACGAGGTTCGAAGCGGTGTAGAAAGGCCTGACTGCAGGTGGAAGATCACCCTGCAGCCAGTTCTGGAATACGCGGAGGAGAGAAGGGAGATGCTGCTGGTGAGAGAGAAACGTGTCCCTGAGGTGCTCAATGAACCACCCAGAAGGACCAGCAGCTGTGCCACGAGGGGCGGACTGTAGAGCGGCGTGGAGAACAGGGACGGTTAGCTGTGGTGCGGCTGCAGGAGTGAAGCTGTGTACCCAGTCAGGAATTTCTGCTGCAGCAGGTGGGTGCTTGGAGCCGAGGGCAGCAACCGTTTCTCATGATGGAGGAGCTAGCTCGCCAGCTTCCAGTGCTGCCAGTGACCGGGACCAGTCCCCGCATTTCGCAAACCGCTTCGCACGGTTGAGACGAGCCTGCAGCGCCGTAGAACGTGCCGATGCCATGTGCAGAGGTCTGGCGGCTGGAGTGGCTGCAGCTACGGCCTCACTGAAAAGAGACTGCCAGTCACCATTGATGAAGCGGCGCGCTAAGGAGGCACATGAAGAGGTAAGGGACTGCGTGGGAGCAGCGGCGGATGGTAGGCGCAGCAAGAGACGCGGAAATGCCAAGAGAATGAGGTGTGCAGCGACGTCAGAAGGCTGCTGTGCAAGGCGGCGCAGTGGAATGAGAAGTGCATCGAGAATGAGGAGTCGGATGCGGGAGGGGATTCGGCGGAGAATAGGGCCAGGTGAGACTGCTGGGCTGAAGAAGGAAGGCCAATCCCAGGAAGGAATGGCCTCCCAAGTGGCTTGAGGAATTGCAGGTCGATCTGCGGCTGCAGGCGCCGAGGTTGGGGTTGATGAGCGGGGAGGAGGAGGCCGAGCAGCTTGCTGACGTGTGGCGGTGTTGCGAGAGCAGGCTGGAAGGTGACGGGCCAGCGAACCTGGGTTGGCAAAGGTGCGTCGACATGTGGGGCAAGAATTAGGAGGTAGTGGGTTATCGGAGGTTGATGAGGGCGGGCAGGGTTGCGGGCATGGCTGCGTAGAGTGAGGGGTAGGGGAAGGAAGAGGGAGATCTCGAGAAGGTGAAGCAGCAGTTTCATAGTGTGATAGTGGGTGCGTGTTGTCGGCAGGGGCTGTGGGACCAGGAGCATCCGCTGTAGTCGTCGGAGGAGGTGTTGAGGTGGATGAAGGATGGGCCCGGGAAGTCGAGGGCTGGGGGTGAGAGGTTTAAGGCCGTGTTGAAGACGGAGAATCAGGAAGGGTGCCCTTCAGGACGTGCTGGAGAATCTCCTTTTGTTTTTCCGATACAATTTTCGGGGCTGGTGTTGTCGAAGGTTGCTGGGAATGAGCAGAAGATGGTTTAGGCTTAGGAGTAGGGGGTGGTGCAAGGTTTGATGGGGAGGTCGAAAGAGTCGCAAAGGCAGGAGTTTGTCGCGAACGGGCCGGCGGACGAGGAGAAGTGGGTTCAGAGTCTTGGGTTCCACGACCCCTTTTGCGGCTTGTCATTTTGTTGGGTAGTAGGATCTTGGCATGTGGAGTGAATGTGGAAAGTGAGGAAGCATAAGAAGGAAGCTGGAAAATGAAATGTAGCTGTTAGGTGGTGTAGCGCGAGAGGTCTCGTGAAGCGAGGTTGCGGATGCTGTAGGGGCAGCTGCAAGCGAGGATGCAGACGCGGCGAGGTGGCGGGAAATTTGGGAGGTGGGGAGGGGCGGTGCAGTTGCCAAAGGGAGGGAAGACGCGGAACAGCTGGTCGTGCTGCGGAAGGTGAAAAATGCAGTGTGCTTGTACATACAAGTCTCATAAGAGAGAGGAGAGAGGGGCAGAAGCGAGAGCAATATCGGCGAGAGAGGAGAGAGGGGAGAGAGAGGCGAGAGGGACGAGAGAGGAGTGAGGGACGAGAGAGGAGTGAGGGACGAGAGAGGAGTGAGGGACGAGAGAGGAGTGAGGGGCGAGAGAGGGGAGAGAGGGGAGAGAGGGGAGAGAGGAGAAAGAGGAGAGAGATGAGAGGAGGGCAAGAGAGCAGAGAGAGGAGAGAGGAGAAAGGGGAGAGAGGAGAGAGTGGCGAGAGAGCAGAGAAAGGAGAGAGAGGAGAGAGGGAGCGTAGTACCTTGTCCGGCCCATCCGTTATCCTCTCAAATCTTGGCATCATGAAACAGACACATCAAGAATCACTACGCTTCCCACTTCTGAATGTCTGAACAAATCCATCCAACACAATAATTTCACAACAGCATTATCAATCACTACATTCCCGCGATCTACTTAGCACCAGCCTTCCCAGTGAGCCCCATCTCAACGCGCCTGATCTCAAAGATGAGCATGCGCCACATCTTGAGCACAAACATCTCCGCCTCCTCGTCCAGTATCGGCTCCAGCAGCCCCAGCAGCGCCGCCCCGCCCACGTGCTGCTGCGTCTTGGAGAGAATGAAGTCCACCAGGGTGGGCTCCTCCTCCCCCAGGAACTCCTGGATCTTCCGCGCCACCCACGGCCGCATGCGCTGGTGAAGCGCGCTCTGAGGGAGGAGCGTTGGGGTAATTGGGGGGAAGGAAAGCGTTCGGCAGTGGAAAAGGGGGGAAAGGATTAGGCTTTAACGCGTCTCAAGAGCCCTCGTCCAGTATCGGCTACAGCAGGGTGAGCAGTGCCGCCCCGCCCACATGCTGCTGCGTCTCGGAGAGAATGAAGTCGACGAGCGTGGGCTCCTCCTCCCCCAGGAACTCCTGGATCTTCCGCGCCACCCACGGCCGCATGCGCTGGTGCAGGGCGCTGTGAGGGACAAGTGTTGGGGCAAGGCGTGGGGGGAAGGAACACATGTGAAGAAGAGGAACACATGTGAAGAAGAGGAACACATGTGAAGAAGAGGAACACATGTGAAGAAGAGGAACACATGTGAAGAAGAGGAACACATGTGAAGAAGAGGAACACATGTGAAGAAGAGGAACACATGTGAAGAAGAGGAACACATGTGAAGAAGAGGAACACATGTGAAGAAGAGGAACACATGTGAAGAAGAGGAACACATGTGAAGAAGAGGAACACATGTGAAGAAGAGGAACACATGTGAAGAAGAGGAACACATGTGAAGAAGAGGAACACATGTGAAGAAGAGGAACACATGTGAAGAAGAGGAACACATGTGAAGAAGAGGAACACATGTGAAGAAGAGGAACACATGTGAAGAAGAGGAACACATGTGAAGAAGAGGAACACATGTGAAGAAGAGGAACACATGTGAAGAAGAGGAACACATGTGAAGAAGAGGAACACATGTGAAGAAGAGGAACACATGTGAAGAAGAGGAACACATGTGAAGAAGAGGAACACATGTGAAGAAGAGGAACACATGTGAAGAAGAGGAACACATGTGAAGAAGAGGAACACATGTGAAGAAGAGGAACACATGTGAAGAAGAGGAACACATGTGAAGAAGAGGAACACATGTGAAGAAGAGGAACACATGTGAAGAAGAGGAACACATGTGAAGAAGAGGAACACATGTGAAGAAGAGGAACACATGTGAAGAAGAGGAACACATGTGAAGAAGAGGAACACATGTGAAGAAGAGGAACACATGTGAAGAAGAGGAACACATGTGAAGAAGAGGAACACATGTGAAGAAGAGGAACACATGTGAAGAAGAGGAACACATGTGAAGAAGAGGAACACATGTGAAGAAGAGGAACACATGTGAAGAAGAGGAACACATGTGAAGAAGAGGAACACATGTGAAGAAGAGGAACACATGTGAAGAAGAGGAAACACATGTGAAGAAGAGGAACACATGTGACGAAGAGGAACACATGTGAAGAAGAGGAACACATGTGAAGAAGAGGAACACATGTGAAGAAGAGGAACACATGTGAAGAAGAGGAACACATGTGAAGAAGAGGAAACACATGTGAAGAAGAGGAACACATGTGAAGAAGAGGAACACATGTGAAGAAGAGGAAACACATGTGAAGAAGAGGAACACATGTGAAGAAGAGGAACACATGTGAAGAAGAGGAACACATGTGAAGAAGAGGAACACATGTGAAGAAGAGGAACACATGTGAAGAAGAGGAACACATGTGAAGAAGAGGAACACATGTGAAGAAGAGGAACACATGTGAAGAAGAGGAACACATGTGAAGAAGAGGAACACATGTGAAGAAGAGGAACACATGTGAAGAAGAGGAACACATGTGAAGAAGAGGAACACATGTGAAGAAGAGGAACACATGTGAAGAAGAGGAACACATGTGAAGAAGAGGAACACATGTGAAGAAGAGGAACACATGTGAAGAAGAGGAACACATGTGAAGAAGAGGAACACATGTGAAGAAGAGGAACACATGTGAAGAAGAGGAACACATGTGAAGAAGAGGAACACATGTGAAGAAGAGGAACACATGTGAAGAAGAGGAACACATGTGAAGAAGAGGAACACATGTGAAGAAGAGGAACACATGTGAAGAAGAGGAACACATGTGAAGAAGAGGAACACATGTGAAGAAGAGGAACACATGTGAAGAGAGGAACACATGTGAAGAAGAGGAACACATGTGAAGAAGAGGAACACATGTGAAGAAGAGGAACACATGTGAAGAAGAGGAACACATGTGAAGAAGAGGAACACATGTGAAGAAGAGGAACACATGTGAAGAAGAGGAACACATGTGAAGAAGAGGAACACATGTGAAGAAGAGGAACACATGTGAAGAAGAGGAACACATGTGAAGAAGAGGAACACATGTGAAGAAGAGGAACACATGTGAAGAAGAGGAACACATGTGAAGAAGAGGAACACATGTGAAGAAGAGGAACACATGTGAAGAAGAGGAACACATGTGAAGAAGAGGAACACATGTGAAGAATGAGGAACACATGTGAGAGAGAACACTGTGAAGAAGGGAACACATGTGAAGAAGAGGAACACATGTGAAGAAGAGGAACACATGTGAAGAAGAGGAACACATGTGACGAAGGAGGAACACATGTGAAGAAGAGGAACCACATGTGAAGAAGAGGAACACATGTGAAGAAGAGGAACACATGTGAAGAAGAGGAACACATGTGAAGAAGAGGAACACATGTGAAGAAGAGGAACACATGTGAAGAAGAGGAACACATGTGAAGAAGAGGAACACATGTGAAGAAGAGGAACACATGTGAAGAAGAGGAACACATGTGAAGAAGAGGAACACATGTGAAGAAGAGGAACACATGTGAAGAAGAGGAACACATGTGAAGAAGAGGAACACATGTGAAGAAGAGGAACACATGTGAAGAAGAGGAACACATGTGAAGAAGAGGAACACATGTGAAGAAGAGGAACACATGTGAAGAAGAGGAACACATGTGAAGAAGAGGAACACATGTGAAGAAGAGGAACACATGTGAAGAAGAGGAACACATGTGAAGAAGAGGAACACATGTGAAGAAGAGGAACACATGTGAAGAAGAGGAACACATGTGAAGAAGAGGAACACATGTGAAGAAGAGGAAAATGTGAAGAAGAGGAACACATGTGAAGAAGAGGAACACATGTGAAGAAGAGGAACACATGTGAAGAAGAGGAACACATGTGAAGAAGAGGAACCTGTGAGAGAGGAACACATGCGTGAAGAAGAGGAACACATGTGAAGAAGAGGAACACATGTGAAGAAGAGGAACACATGTGAAGAAGAGGAACACATGGAAGAAGAGGAACACATGTGAAGAAGAGGAACACATGTGAAGAAGAGGAACACATGTGAAGAAGAGGAACACATGTGAAGAAGAGGAACACATGTGAGAAGAGGAACACATGTGAAGAAGAGGAACACATGTGAAGAAGAGGAACACATGTGAAGAAGAGGAACACATGTGAAGAAGAGGAACACATGTGAAGAAGGAGGAACACATGTGAAGAAGAGGAACACATGTGAAGAAGAGGAACACATGTGAAGAAGAGGAACACATGTGAAGAAGAGGAACACATGTGAAGAAGAGGAACACATGTGAAGAAGAGGAACACATGTGAAGAAGAGGAACACATGTGGAAGAAGAGGAACACATGTGAAGAAGAGGAACACATGTGAAGAAGAGGAACACATGTGAAGAAGAGGAACACATGTGAAGAAGAGGAACACATGTGAAGAAGAGGAACACATGTGAAGAAGAGGAACACATGTGAAGAAGAGGAACACATGTGAAGAAGAGGAACACATGTGAAGAAGAGGAACACATGTGAAGAAGAGGAACACATGTGAAGAAGAGGAACACATGTGAAGAAGAGGAACACATGTGAAGAAGAGGAACACATGTGAAGAAGAGGAACACATGTGAAGAAGAGGAACACATGTGAAGAAGAGGAAACACATGTGAAGAAGAGGAACACATGTGAAGAAGAGGAACACATGTGAAGAAGAGGAACACATGTGAAGAAGAGGAACACATGTGAAGAAGAGGAAACACATGTGAAGAAGAGGAACACATGTGAAGAAGAGGAACACATGTGAAGAAGAGGAACACATGTGAAGAAGAGGAACACATGTGAAGAAGAGGAACACATGTGAAGAAGAGGAACACATGTGAAGAAGAGGAACACATGTGAAGAAGAGGAACACATGTGAAGAAGAGGAACACATGGAGAAGAGGAACACATGTGAAGAAGAGGAACACATGTGAAGAAGAGGAACACATGGAACACATGTGAAGAAGAGGAACACATGTGAAGAAGAGGAACACATGTGAAGAAGATGAACACATGTGAAGAAGAGGAACACATGTGAAGAAGAGGAAACACATGTGAAGAAGAGGACAACATGTGAAGGAAGAGGAAACACATGTTGAAGAACACATGAAGAGGAACACATGTGAAGAAGAGGAACACATAGTTGAAGAAGAGGAACACATGTGAAGAAGAGGAACAACAATTTGTTGAAGAATAGAGGAACACATCGTGTAAGAAGAGGAACAATGTGAAGAAGCGGAACACATTGTGAAGAAGAGGAACACATCGTGAAGTAAGAGGCACCACCTGTGAAGAAGTTGAGGAACACATGTGAAGAAGAGGAACACATGTGAAGAAGAGGAACACATGTGAAGAAGAGGAACACATGTGAAGAAGAGGAACACATGTGAAGAAGAAGGAACACATGTTGGAAGACGAGGAACCACATGTGAAGAAGAGGAACACATGTGAAGAAGAGGAACACATGGTGAAGAAGAGGAACCACATGTGAAGCAGAGGAACACATGTGAAGAAGAGGAACACATGTGAAGAAGAGGAACACATGTGAAGAAGAGGAACACATGTGAAGAAGAGGAACACATGTGAAGAAGAGGAACACATGTGAAGAAGAGGAACACATGTGAAGAAGAGGAACACATGTGAAGAAGAGGAACACATGTGAAGAAGAGGAACACATGTGAAGAAGAGGAACACATGTGAAGAAGAGGAACACATGTGAAGAAGAGGAACACATGTGAAGAAGAGGAACACATGTGAAGAAGAGGAACACATGTGAAGAAGAAGGAACACATGTGAAGAAGAGGAACACATGTGAAGAAGAGGAACACATGTGAAGAAGAGGAAACACATGTGAAGAAGAGGAACACATGTGAAGAAGAGGAACACATGTGAAGAAGAGGAACACATGTGAAGAAGAGGAACACATGTGAAGAAGAGGAACACATGTGAAGAAGAAGGAACACATGTGAAGAAGAGGAACACATGTGAAGAAGAGGAACACATGTGAAGAAGAGGAACACATGTGAAGAAGAGGAACACATGTGAAGAAGAGGAACACATGTGAAGAAGAGGAACACATGTGAAGAAGAGGAACACATGTGAAGAAGAGGAACACATGTGAAGAAGAGGAACACATGTGAAGAAGAGGAACACATGTGAAGAAGAGGAACACATGTGAAGAAGAGGAACACATGTGAAGAAGAGGAACACATGTGAAGAAGAGGAACACATGTGAAGAAGAGGAACACATGTGAAGAAGAGGAAACACATGTGAAGAAGAGGAACACATGTGAAGAAGAGGAACACATGTGAAGAAGAGGAACACATGTGAAGAAGAGGAACACATGTGAAGAAGAGGAACACATGTGAAGAAGAGGAACACACATGTGAAGAAGAGGAACACATGTGAAGAAGAGGAACACATGTGAAGAAGAGGAACACATGTGAAGAAGAGGAACACATGTGAAGAAGAGGAACACATGTGAAGAAGAGGAACACATGTGAAGAAGAGGAACACATGTGAAGAAGAGGAACACATGTGAAGAAGAGGAACACATGTGAAGAAGAGGAACACATGTGAAGAAGAGGAACACATGTGAAGAAGAGGAACACATGTGAAGAAGAGGAACACATGTGAAGAAGAGGAACACATGTGAAGAAGAGGAACACATGTGAAGAAGAGGAACACATGTGAAGAAGAGGAACACATGTGAAGAAGAGGAACACATGTGAAGAAGAGGAACACATGTGAAGAAGAGGAACACATGTGAAGAAGAGGAACACATGTGAAGAAGAGGAACACATGTGAAGAAGAGGAACACATGTGAAGAAGAGGAACACATGTGAAGAAGAGGAACACATGTGAAGAAGAGGAACACATGTGAAGAAGAGGAACACATGTGAAGAAGAGGAACACATGTGAAGAAGAGGAACACATGTGAAGAAGAGGAACACATGTGAAGAAGAGGAACACATGTGAAGAAGAGGAACACATGTGAAGAAGAGGAACACATGTGAAGAGAGGCACACATGTGAAGATGAGGAAACACATGTGAAGAAGAGGAACACATTGTGAAGAAGAGGAACACATGTGAAGAAGAGGAACACATGTGAAGAAGAGGAACACATGTGAAGAAGAGGAACACATGTGAAGAAGGGAACACATGTGAAGAAGAGGAACACATGTGAAGAAGAGGAACACATGTGAAGAAGAGGAAACACATGTGAAGAAGAGGAACACATGTGAAGAAGAGGAAACACATGTGAAGAAGAGGAACACATGTGAAGAAGAGGAACACATGTGAAGAAGAGGAAACACATGTGAAGAAGAGGAACACATGTGAAGAAGAGGAACACATGTGAAGAAGAGGAACACATGTGAAGAAGAGGAACACATGTGAAGAAGAGGAACACATGTGAAGAAGAGGAACACATGTGAAGAAGAGGAACACATGTGAAGAAGAGGAACACATGTGAAGAAGAGGAAACACATGTGAAGAAGAGGAACACATGTGAAGAAGAGGAACACATGTGAAGAAGAGGAACACATGTGAAGAAGAGGAACACATGTGAAGAAGAGGAACACATGTGAAGAAGAGGAACACATGTGAAGAAGAGGAACACATGTGAAGAAGAGGAACACATGTGAAGAAGAGGAACACATGTGAAGAAGAGGAACACATGTGAAGAAGAGGAACACATGTGAAGAAGAGGAACACATGTGAAGAAGAGGAACACATGTGAAGAAGAGGAACACATGTGAAGAAGAGGAACACATGTGAAGAAGAGGAACACATGTGAAGAAGAGGAACACATGTGAAGAAGAGGAACACATGTGAAGAAGAGGAACACATGTGAAGAAGAGGAACACATGTGAAGAAGAGGAACACATGTGAAGAAGAGGAACACATGTGAAGAAGAGGAACACATGTGAAGAAGAGGAACACATGTGAAGAAGAGGAACACATGTGAAGAAGAGGAACACATGTGAAGAAGAGGAACACATGTGAAGAAGAGGAACACATGTGAAGAAGAGGAACACATGTGAAGAAGAGGAACACATGTGAAGAAGAGGAACACATGTGAAGAAGAGGAACACATGTGAAGAAGAGGAAACACATGTGAAGAAGAGGAAACACATGTGAAGAAGAGGAACACATGTGAAGAAAGAGGAACACATGTGAAGAAGAGGAACACATGTGAAGAAGAGGAACACATGTGAAGAAGAGGAACACATGTGAAGAAGAGGAACACATGTGAAGAAGAGGAAACACATGTGAAGAAGAGGAACACATGTGAAGAAGAGGAACACATGTGAAGAAGAGGAACACATGTGAAGAAGAGGAACACATGTGAAGAAGAGGAACACATGTGAAGAAGAGGAACACATGTGAAGAAGAGGAACACATGTGAAGAAGAGGAAACACATGTGAAGAAGAGTGAACACATGTGAAGAAGAGGAACACATGTGAAGAAGAGGAACACATGTGAAGAAGAGGAACACATGTGAAGAAGAGGAACACATGTGAAGAAGAGGAACACATGTGAAGAAGAGGAACACATGTGAAGAAGAGGAACACATGTGAAGAAGAGGAACACATGTGAAGAAGAGGAACACATGTGAAGAAGAGGAACACATGTGAAGAAGAGGAACACATGTGAAGAAGAGGAACACATGTGAAGAAGAGGAACACATGTGAAGAAGAGGAACACATGTGAAGAAGAGGAACACATGTGAAGAAGAGGAACACATGTGAAGAAGAGGAACACATGTGAAGAAGAGGAACACATGTGAAGAAGAGGAACACATGTGAAGAAGAGGAACAATGTGAAGAAGAGAACACATGTGAAGAAGAGGAACACATGTGAAGAAGAGGAACACATGTGAAGAAGAGGAACACATGTAGAAGAAGAGGAACACATGTGAAGAAGAGGAACACATGTGAAGAAGAGGAACACATGTGAAGAAGAGGAACACATGTGAAGAAGAGGAACACATGTGAAGAAGAGGAACACATGTGAAGAAGAGGAACACATGTGAAGAAGAGGAACACATGTGAAGAAGAGGAACACATGTGAAGAAGAGGAACACATGTGAAGAAGAGGAACACATGTGAAGAAGAGGAACACATGTGAAGAAGAGGAACACATGTGAAGAAGAGGAACACATGTGAAGAAGAGGAACACATGTGAAGAAGAGGAACACATGTGAAGAAGAGGAACATACATGTGAAGAAGAGGAACACATGTGAAGAAGAGGAACACATGTGAAGAAGAGGAAACACATGTGAAGAAGAGGAACACATGTGAAGAAGAGGAACACATGTGAAGAGAGGAACACATGTGAAGAAGAGGAACACATGTGAAGAAGAGGAACACATGTGAAGAAGAGGAACACATGTGAAGAAGAGGAACACATGTGAAGAAGAGGAACACATGTGAAGAAGAGGAACACATGTGAAGAAGAGGAACACATGTGAAGAAGAGGAACACATGTGAAGAAGAGGAACACATGTGAAGAAGAGGAACACATGTGAAGAAGAGGAACACATGTGAAGAGAGGAACACATGTGAAGAAGAGGAACACATGTGAAGAAGAGGACACACATGTGAAGAAGAGGAACACATGTGAAGAAGAGGAACACATGTGAAGAAGAGGAACACATGTGAAGAAGAGGAACACATGTGAAGAAGAGGAACACATGTGAAGAAGAGGAACACATGTGAAGAAGAGGAACACATGTGAAGAAGAGGAACACATGTGAAGAAGAGGAACACATGTGAAGGAAAGGAACACATGTGAAGAAGAGGAACACATGTGAAGAAGAGGAACACATGTGAAGAGAGGAACACATGTGAAGAAGAGGAACACATGTGAAGAAGAGGAACACATGTGAAGAAGAGGAACACATGTGAAGAAGAGGAACACATGTGAAGAAGAGGAACACATGTGAAGAAGAGGAACACATGTGAAGAAGAGGAACACATGTGAAGAAGAGGAACACATGTGAAGAAGAGGAACACATGTGAAGAAGAGGAACACATGTGAAGAAGAGGAACACATGTGAAGAAGAGGAACACATGTGAAGAAGAGGAACACATGTGAAGAAGAGGAACACATGTGAAGAAGAGGAACACATGTGAAGAAGAGGAACACATGTGAAGAAGAGGAACACATGTGAAGAAGAGGAAACACATGTGAAGAAGAGGAACACATGTGAAGAAGAGGAACACATGTGAAGAAGAGGAACACATGTGAAGAAGAGGAACACATGTGAAGAAGAGGAACACATGTGAAGAAGAGGAACACATGTGAAGAAGAGGAACACATGTGAAGAAGAGGAACCACATGTGAAGAAGAGGAACACATGTGAAGAAGAGGAACACATGTGAAGAAGAGGAACACATGTGAAGAAGAGGAACACATGTGAAGAAGAGGAACACATGTGAAGAAGAGGAACACATGTGAAGAGAGGAAACACATGTGAAGAAGAGGAACACATGTGAAGAAGAGGAACACATGTGAAGAAGAGGAACACATGTGAAGAAGAGGAACACATGTGAAGAAGAGGAACACATGTGAAGAAGAGGAAACACATGTGAAGAAGAGGAACACATGTGAAGAAGAGGAACACATGTGAAGAAGAGGAACACATGTGAAGAAGAGGAACACATGTGAAGAAGAGGAACACATGTGAAGAAGAGGAACACATGTGAAGAAGAGGAACACATGTGAAGAAGAGGAACACATGTGAAGAAGAGGAACACATGTGAAGAAGAGGAACACATGTGAAGAAGAGGAAACACATGTGAAGAAGAGGAACACATGTGAAGAAGAGGAACACATGTGAAGAAGAGGAACACATGTGAAGAAGAGGAACACATGTGAAGAAGAGGAACACATGTGAAGAAGAGGAACACATGTGAAGAAGAGGAACACATGTGAAGAAGAGGAACACATGTGAAGAAGAGGAACACATGTGAAGAAGAGGAACACATGTGAAGAAGAGGAACACATGTGAAGAAGAGGAACACATGTGAAGAAGAGGAACACATGTGAAGAAGAGGAACACATGTGAAGAAGAGGAACACATGTGAAGAAGAGGAACACATGTGAAGAAGAGGAACACATGTGAAGAAGAGGAACACATGTGAAGAAGAGGAACACATGTGAAGAAGAGGAACACATGTGAAGAAGAGGAACACATGTGAAGAAGAGGAACACATGTGAAGAAGAGGAACACATGTGAAGAAGAGGAACACATGTGAAGAAGAGGAACACATGTGAAGAAGAGGAACACATGTGAAGAAGAGGAACACATGTGAAGAAGAGGAACACATGTGAAGAAGAGGAACACATGTGAAGAAGAGGAACACATGTGAAGAAGAGGAACACATGTGAAGAAGAGGAACACATGTGAAGAAGAGGAACACATGTGAAGAAGAGGAACACATGTGAAGAAGAGGAACACATGTGAAGAAGAGGAACACAGTGAAGAAGAGGAACCTGTGAAGAAAGGAACACATGTGAAGAAGAGGAACACATGTGAAGAAGAGGAACACCTGTGAAGAAGAGGAACACATGTGAAGAAGAGGAACACATGTGAGAAGAGGAACACATGTGAAGAAGAGGACACATGTGAACGAAGAGAACACATGTGAAGAAGAGGAACACATGTGAAGAAGAGGAACACATGTGAAGAAGAGGAACACATGGTGAAGAAGAGGAACACATGTGCAGAGAGGAACCACATGTGAAGAAGAGGAACACATGTGAGAAGAGGAACACATGTGAAGAAGAGGAACACATGTGAAGAAGAGGAACACATGTGAAGAAGAGGAACACATGTGAAGAAGAGGAACACATGTGAAGAAGAGGAACACATGTGAAGAAGAGGAACACATGTGAAGAAGAGGAACACATGTGAAGAAGAGGAACACATGTGAAGAAGAGGAACACATGTGAAGAAGAGGAACACATGTGAAGAAGAGGAACACATGTGAAGAAGAGGAACACATGTGAAGAAGAGGAACACATGTGAAGAAGAGGAACACATGTGAAGAAGAGGAACACATGTGAAGAAGAGGAACACATGTGAAGAAGAGGAACACATGTGAAGAAGAGGAACACATGTGAAGAAGAGGAACACATGTGAAGAAGAGGAACACATGTGAAGAAGAGGAACACATGTGAAGAAGAGGAACACATGTGAAGAAGAGGAACACATGTGAAGAAGAGGAACACATGTGAAGAAGAGGAACACATGTGAAGAAGAGGAACACATGTGAAGAAGAGGAACACATGTGAAGAAGAGGAACACATGTGAAGAAGAGGAACACATGTGAAGAAGAGGAACACATGTGAAGAAGAGGAACACATGTGAAGAAGAGGAACACATGTGAAGAAGAGGAACACATGTGAAGAAGAGGAACACATGTGAAGAAGAGGAACACATGTGAAGAAGAGGAACACATGTGAAGAAGAGGAACACATGTGAAGAAGAGGAACACATGTGAAGAAGAGGAACACATGTGAAGAAGAGGAAACATGTGAAGAAGAGGAACACATGTGAAGAAGAGGAACACATGTGAAGAAGAGGAAACACATGTGAAGAAGAGGAACACATGTGAAGAAGAGGAACACATGTGAAGAAGAGGAACACATGTGAAGAAGAGGAACACATGTGAAGAAGAGGAACACATGTGAAGAAGAGGAACACATGTGAAGAAGAGGAACACATGTGAAGAAGAGGAACACATGTGAAGAAGAGGAACACATGTGAAGAAGAGGAACACATGTGAAGAAGAGGAACACATGTGAAGAAGAGGAACACATGTGAAGAAGAGGAACACATGTGAAGAAGAGGAACACATGTGAAGAAGAGGAACACATGTGAAGAAGAGGAACACATGTGAAGAAGAGGAACACATGTGAAGAAGAGGAACACATGTGAGAAGAGGAACACATGTGAAGAAGAGGAACACATGTGAAGAAGAGGAACACATGTGAAGAAGAGGAACACATGTGAAGAAGAGGAACACATGTGAAGAAGAGGAACACATGTGAAGAAGAGGAACACATGTGAAGAAGAGGAACACATGTGAAGAAGAGGAACACATGTGAGTAAGAGGACTACATGTGAAGAAGAGGAACACATGTGAAGAAGAGGAACACATGTGAAGAAGAGGAACACATGTGAAGAAGAGGAACACATGTGAAGAAGAGGAACACATGTGAAGAAGAGGAACACATGTGAAGAAGAGGAACACATGTGAAGAAGAGGAAACACATGTGAAGAAGAGGAACACATGTGAAGAAGAGGAACACATGTGAAGAAGAGGAACACATGTGAAGAAGAGGAACACATGTGAAGAAGAGGAACACATGTGAAGAAGAGGAAACACATGTGAAGAAGAGGAACACATGTGAAGAAGAGGAACACATGTGAAGAAGAGGAACACCTGTGAAGAAGAGGAACACATGTGAAGAAGAGGAACACATGTGAAGAAGAGGAACACATGTGAAGAAGAGGAACACATGTGAAGAAGAGGAACACATGTGAAGAAGAGGAACACATGTGAAGAAGAGGAACACATGTGAAGAAGAGGAACACATGTGAAGAAGAGGAACACATGTGAAGAAGAGGAAAACAATGTGAAGAAGAGGAACACATGTGAAGAAGAGGAACACATGTGAAGAAGAGGAACACATGTGAAGAAGAGGAACACATGTGAAGAAGAGGAACACATGTGAAGAAGAGGAACACATGTGAAGAAGAGGAACACATGTGAAGAAGTAGAACACATGTGAAGAAGAGGAACACCATGTGAAGAAGAGGAACACATGTGAAGAAGAGGAACACATGTGAAGAAGAGGAACACATGTGAAGAAGAGGAACACATGTGAAGAAGAGGACACATGTGAAGAAGAGGAACACATGTGAAGAAGAGGAACACATGTGAAGAAGAGGAACACATGTGAAGAAGAGGAACACATGTGAATAGAGACACTGTGAGAAGGAACACATGTGAAGAAGAGGAAAACACATGTGAAGAAGAGGAACACAATGTGAAGAAGAGGAACACATGTGAAGAAGAGGAAACACATGTGAAGAAGAGGAACACATGTGAAGAAGAGGAACACATGTGAAGAAGAGGAAACACATGTGAAGAAGAGGAACACATGTGAAGAAGAGGAACACATGTGAAGAAGAGGAACACATGTGAAGAAGAGGAACACATGTGAAGAAGAGGAACACATGTGGAAGAAGAGGAACACATGTGAAGAAGAGGAACACATGTGAAGAAGAGGAACACATGTGAAAGAAGAGGAACACATGTGAAGAAGAGGAACACATGTGAAGAAGAGGAACACATGTGAAAGAAGAGGAACACATGTGAAGAAGAGGAACACATGTGAAGAATAGGAACACATGTGAAGAAGAGGAACACATGTGAAGAAGAGGAACACATGTGAAGAAGAGGAACACATGTGAAGAAGAGGAACACATGTGAAGAAGAAGGAAACACATGTGAAGAAGAGGAACACATGTGAAGAAGAGGAACACATGTGAAGAAGAGGAACACAATGTGAAGAAGAGGAACACATGTGAAGAAGAGGAAACACATGTCGAAGATTAGAGGAACACATGTGAAGAAGAGGAACACATGTGAAGAAGAGGAACACATGTGAAGAAGAGGAACACATGTGAAGAAGAGGAACACATGTGAAGAAGAGGAACACAATGTGAAGAAGAGGAACACATGTGAAGAAGAGGAACACATGTGAAGAAGAGGAACACATGTGAAGAAGAGGAACAACATGTGAAGAAGAGGAACACATGTGAAGAAGAGGACACACATGTGAAGAAGAGGAACACATGTGAGAAGAGGAACACATGTGAAGAAGAGGAAACACATGTGAAGAAGGACACATGTGAAGAAGAGGAACACATGTGAAGAAGAGGAACACATGTGAAGAAGAGGAACACATGTGAAGAAGAGGAACACATGTGAAGAAGAGGAACACATGTGAAGAAGAGGAACACATGTGAAGAAGAGGAACACATGTGAAGAAGAGGAACACATGTGAAGAAGAGGAACACATGTGAAGAAGAGGAACACATGTGAAGAAGAGGAACACATGTGAAGAAGAGGAACACATGTGAAGAAGAGGAACACATGTGAAGAAGAGGAACACATGTGAAGAAGAGGAACACATGTGAAGAAGAGGAACACATGTGAAGAAGAGGAACACATGTGAAGAAGAGGAACACATGTGAAGAAGAGGAACACATGTGAAGAAGAGGAACACATGTGAAGAAGAGGAACACATGTGAAGAAGAGGAACACATGTGAAGAAGAGGAACACATGTGAAGAAGAGGAACACATGTGAAGAAGAGGAACACATGTGAAGAAGAGGAACACATGTGAAGAAGAGGAACACATGTGAAGAAGAGGAACACATGTGAAGAAGAGGAACACATGTGAAGAAGAGGAACACATGTGAAGAAGAGGAACACATGTGAAGAAGAGGAACACATGTGAAGAAGAGGAACACATGTGAAGAAGAGGAACACATGTGAAGAAGAGGAACACATGTGAAGAAGAGGAACACATGTGAAGAAGAGGAACACATGTGAAGAAGAGGAACACATGTGAAGAAGAGGAACACATGTGAAGAAGAGGAACACATGTGAAGAAGAGGAACACATGTGAAGAAGAGGAACACATGTGAAGAAGAGGAACACATGTGAAGAAGAGGAAACACATGTGAAGAAGAGGAACACATGTGAAGAAGAGGAACATGTGAAGAGAGGAACACATGTGAAGAAGAGGAACACATGTGAAGAAGAGGAACACATGTGAAGAAGAGGAACACATGTGAAGAAGAGGAACACATGTGAAGAAGAGGAACACATGTGAAGAAGAGGAACACATGTGAAGAAGAGGAACACATGTGAAGAAGAGGAACACATGTGAAGAAGAGGAACACATGTGAAGAAGAGGAACACATGTGAAGAAGAGGAACACATGTGAAGAAGAGGAACACATGTGAAGAAGAGGAACACATGTGAAGAAGAGGAACACATGTGAAGAAGAGGAACACATGTGAAGAAGAGGAACACATGTGAAGAAGAGGAACACATGTGAAGAAGAGGAACACATGTGAAGAAGAGGAACACATGTGAAGAAGAGGAACACATGTGAAGAAGAGGAACACATGTGAAGAAGAGGAACACATGTGAAGAAGAGGAACACATGTGAAGAAGAGGAACACATGTGAAGAAGAGGAACACATGTGAAGAAGAGGAACACATGTGAAGAAGAGGAACACATGTGAAGAAGAGGAACACATGTGAAGAAGAGGAACACATGTGAAGAAGAGGAACACATGTGAAGAAGAGGAACACATGTGAAGAAGAGGAACACATGTGAAGAAGAGGAACACATGTGAAGAAGAGGAACACATGTGAAGAAGAGGAACACATGTGAAGAAGAGGAACACATGTGAAGAAGAGGAACACATGTGAAGAAGAGGAACACATGTGAAGAAGAGGAACACATGTGAAGAAGAGGAACACATGTGAAGAAGAGGAACACATGTGAAGAAGAGGAACACATGTGAAGAAGAGGAACACATGTGAAGAAGAGGAACACATGTGAAGAAGAGGAACACATGTGAAGAAGAGGAACACATGTGAAGAAGAGGAACACATGTGAAGAAGAGGAACACATGTGAAGAAGAGGAACACATGTGAAGAAGAGGAACACATGTGAAGAAGAGGAACACATGTGAAGAAGAGGAACACATGTGAAGAAGAGGAACACATGTGAAGAAGAGGAACACATGTGAAGAAGAGGAACACATGTGAAGAAGAGGAACACATGTGAAGAAGAGGAACACATGTGAAGAAGAGGAACACATGTGAAGAAGAGGAACACATGTGAAGAAGAGGAACACATGTGAAGAAGAGGAACACATGTGAAGAAGAGGAACACATGTGAAGAAGAGGAACACATGTGAATGAAAGAGGAACACATGTGAAGAAGAGGAAACACATAGTGAAGAAGAGGAACACATGTGAAGAAGAGGAACACATGTGAAGAAGAGGAACACATGTGAAGAAGAGGAACACATGTGAAGAAGAGGAACACATGTGAGAAGAGGAAACACATGTGAAGAAGAGGAACACATGTGAAGAAGAGGAACACATGTGAAGAAGAGGAAACACATGTGAAGAAGAGGAACACATGTGAAGAAGAGGAACACATGTGAAGAAGAGGAACACATGTGAAGAAGAGGAACACATGTGAAGAAGAGGAACACATGTGAAGAAGAGGAAACACTATGTGAAGACAGAGGAACACATGTGAAGAAGAGGAACACATGTGAAGAAGAGGAACACATGTAAGAAGAGGAACACATGTGAAGAAGAGGAACACATGTGAAGAAGAGGACACACATGTGAAGAAGAGGAACACATGTGAAGAAGAGGAACACATGTGAAGAAGAGGAACACATGTGAAAGAAGAGGAACACATGTGAAGAAGAGGAACACATGTGAAGAAGAGGAACACATGTGAAGAAGAGGAACACATGTGAAGAAGAGGAACACATGTGAAGAAGAGGAACACATGTGAAGAAGAGGAACACATGTGAAGAAGAGGAACACATGTGAAGAAGAGGAACACATGTGAAGAAGAGGAACACATGTGAAGAAGAGGAACACATGTGAAGAAGAGGAACAATGTGAAGAGAGGAACACATGTGAAGAAGAGGAACACATGTGAAGAAGAGGAACACATGTGAAGAAGAGGAACACATGTGAAGAAGAGGAACACATGTGAAGAAGAGGAAACACATGTGAAGAAGAGGAACACATGTGAAGAAGAGGAACACATGTGAAGAAGAGGAACACATGTGAAGAAGAGGAACACATGTGAAGAAGAGGAAACACATGTGAAGAAGAGGAACACATGTGAAGAAGAGGAACACATGTGAGAAGAGGAAGACAATGTGAAGAAGAGAACAATGTGAAGAAGAGGAACACATGTGAAGAAGAGGAACACATGTGAAGAAGAGGAACACATGTGAAGAAGAGGAACACATGTGAAGAAGAGGAACACATGTGAAGAAGAGGAACACATGTGAAGAAGAGGAACACATGTGAAGAAGAGGAACACATGTGAAGAAGAGGAACACATGTGAAGAAGAGGAACACATGTGAAGAAGAGGAACACATGTGAAGAAGAGGAACACATGTGAAGAAGAGGAACACATGTGAAGAAGAGGAACACATGTGAAGAAGAGGAACACATGTGAAGAAGAGGAACACATGTGAAGAAGAGGAACACATGTGAAGAAGAGGAACACATGTGAAGAAGAGGAACACATGTGAAGAAGAGGAACACATGTGAAGAAGAGGAACACATGTGAAGAAGAGGAACACATGTGAAGAAGAGGAACACATGTGAAGAAGAGGAACACATGTGAAGAAGAGGAACACATGTGAAGAAGAGGAACACATGTGAAGAAGAGGAACACATGTGAAGAAGAGGAACACATGTGAAGAAGAGGAACACATGTGAAGAAGAGGAACACATGTGAAGAAGAGGAACACATGTGAAGAAGAGGAACACATGTGAAGAAGAGGAACACATGTGAATGAAGAGGAACACATGTGAAGAAGAGGAACACATGTGAAGAAGAGGAACACATGTGAAGAGAGGAACACATGTGAAGAAGAGGAACACATGTGAAGAAGAGGAACACATGTGAAGAAGAGGAACACATGTGAAGAAGAGGAACACATGTGAAGAAGAGGAAACACATGTGAAGAAGAGGAACACATGTGAAGAAGAGGAACACATGTGAAGAAGAGGAACACATGTGAAGAAGAGGAACACATGTGAAGAAGAGGAAACACATGTGAAGAAGAGGAACACATGTGAAGAAGAGGAACACATGTGAAGAAGAGGAACACATGTGAAGAAGAGGAACACATGTGAAGAAGAGGAACACATGTGAAGAAGAGGAACACATGTGAAGAAGAGGAACACATGTGAAGAAGAGGAACACATGTGAAGAAGAGGAACACATGTGAAGAGAGGAACACATGTTGAAGAAGAGGAACACATGTTTTGTGAAGAAGAGGAACACATGTGAAGAAGAGGAACACAATGTGAAGAAGAGGAACACATGTGAAGAAGAGGAACACATGTGAAGAAGAGGAACACATGTGAAGAAGAGGAACACATGTGAAGAAGAGGAACACATGTGAAGAAGAGGAACACATGTGAAGAAGAGGAACACATGTGAAGAAGAGGAACACATGTGAAGAAGAGGAACACATGTGAAGAAGAGGAACACATGTGAAGAAGAGGAACACATGTGAAGAAGAGGAACACATGTGAAGAAGAGGAACACATGTGAAGAAGAGGAACACATGTGAAGAAGAGGAACACATGTGAAGAAGAGGAACACATGTGAAGAAGAGGAACACATGTGAAGAAGAGGAACAACATGTGAAGAAGAGGAACACATGTGAAGAAGAGGAACACATGTGAAGAAGAGGAACACATGTGAAGAAGAGGAACACATGTGAAGAAGAGGAACACATGTGAAGAAGAGGAACACATGTGAAGAAGAGGAACACATGTGAAGAAGAGGAAACACATGTGAAGAAGAGGAACACATGTGAAGAAGAGGAACACATTGTGAAGAAGAGGAACACATGTGAAGAAGAGGAACACATGTGAAGAAGAGGAACACATGTGAAGAAGAGGAACACATGTGAAGAAGAGGAACACATGTGAAGAAGAGGAACACATGTGAAGAAGAGGAACACATGTGAAGAAGAGGGAACACATGTGAAGAAGAGGAACACATGTGAAGAAGAGGAACACATGTGAAGAAGAGGGAACACATGTGAAGAAGAGGAACACATGTGAAGAGAGGAACACATGTGAAGAAGAGGAAACACATGTGAAGAAGAGGAACACATGTGAAGAAGAGGAACACATGTGAAGAAGAGGAACACATGTGAAGAAGAGGAACACATGTGAAGAAGAGGAACACATGTGAAGAAGAGGAACACATGGTAAGAAGAGGAACACATGTGAAGAAGAGGAACACATGTGAAGAAGAGGAACACATGTGAAGAAGAGGAACACATGTGAAGAAGAGGAACACATGTGAAGAAGAGGAACACATGTGAAGAAGAGGAACACATGTGAAGAAGAGGAACACATGTCGAAGAAGAGGAACACATGTGAAGAAGAGGAACACATGTGAAGAAGAGGAACACATGTGAAGAAGAGGAACACATGTGAAGAAGAGGAACACATGTGAAGAAGAGGAACACATGTGAAGAAGAGGAACACATGTGTAAGAAGAGGAACACATGTGAAGAAGAGGAACACATGCTGAAGAAGAGGAACACATGTGAAGAAGAGGAACACATGTGAAGAAGAGGAACACATGTGAAGAAGAGGAACACATGTGAAGAAGAGGAACACATGTGAAGAAGAGGAACACATGTGAAGAAGAGGAACACATGTGAAGAAGAGGAACACATGTGAAGAAGAGGAACACATGTGAAGAAGAGGAACACATGTGAAGAAGAGGAACACATGTGAAGAAGAGGAACACATGTGAAGAAGAGGAACACATGTGAAGAAGAGGAACACATGTGAAGAAGAGGAACACATGTGAAGAAGAGGAACACATGTGAAGAAGAGGAACACATGTGAAGAAGAGGAACACATGTGAAGAAGAGGAACACATGTGAAGAAGAGGAACACATGTGAAGAAGAGGAACACATGTGAAGAAGAGGAACACATGTGAAGAAGAGGAACACATGTGAAGAAGAGGAACACATGTGAAGAAGAGGAACACATGTGAAGAAGAGGAACACATGTGAAGAAGAGGAACACATGTGAAGAAGAGGAACACATGTGAAGAAGAGGAACACATGTGAAGAAGAGGAACACATGTGAAGAAGAGGAACACAATGTGAAGAAGAGGAACACATGTGAAGAAGAGGAACACATGTGAAGAAGAGGAACACATGTGAAGAAGAGGAACACATGTGAAGAAGAGGAAACACATGTGAAGAAGAGGAAACACATGTGAAGAAGAGGAACACATGTGAAGAAGAGGAACACATGTGAAGAAGAGGAACACATTTGAAGATGTGAGAAGAAGAGGAAACACATGTGAAGAAGAGGAACACATGTGAAGAAGAGGAAACACATGTTTAAGAAGAGGGAACACATGTGAAGAAGGGAACACATGTGAAGAAGAGGAACCACATGTGAAGAAGAGGAACACATGGTGAAGACCGAGGAACACACGTGAAGAGAGAACACATGTGAAGAAGAGGAACACATGTGAAGAAGAGGAACACATGTGAAGAAGAGGAAACACATTGTGAAGAAGAGGAACACATGTGAAGAAGAGGAACCACATGTGAGAAGAGGAACACATGTGAAGAAGAGGAAACACATGTGAAGAAGAGGAACACATGTGAAGAAGAGGAACACAGGTGAAGAAGAGGAACACATGTGAAGAAGATGGAACACATGTGAAGAAGAGGAACACATGTGAAGAAGAGGAACACATGTGAAGAAGAGGGAACACATGTGAAGAAGAGGAACAACATGTGAAGAAGAGGAACACATGTGAAGAAGAGGAACACATGTGTAAGAAGAGGAACACATGTGAAGAAGAGGAACAACATGTGAAGAAGAGGAAACACATGTGAAGAAGAGGAACACATGTGAAGAAGAGGAAAACATGTGAAGAAGAGGAACACATGTGAAGAAGAGGAACACATGTGAAGAAGAGGAACACATGTGAAGAAGAGGAACACATGTGAAGGAAGAGGAACACATGTGAAGAAGAGGAACAACATGTGAAGAAGAGGAACAACATGTGAAGAAGAGGAACACATGTGAAGAAGAGGAACACATGTGAAGGAAGAGGGAACACATGTGAAGAAGAGGAACACATGTGAAGAAGAGGAAACACATGTGAAGAAGAGGAACACATGTGAAGAAGAGGAACAAATGTGAAGAAGAGGAACACATGTGAAGAAGAGGAACACATGTGAAGAAGAGGAAACACATGTGAAGAAGAGGAACACATGTGAAGAAGAGGAACACATGTGTAAGAAGAGGAACACATGTGAAGAAGAGGAACACATGTGAAGAAGAGGAACACATGTGAAGAAGAGGAACACATGTGAAAGAAGGAGGAACACATGTGAAGAAGAGGAACACATGTGAAGAAGAGGAACACATGTGAAGAAGAGGAACACAGTGAAGAAGAGGAACACATGTGAAGAAGAGGAACACATGTGAAGAAGAGGAACACATGTGAAGAAGAGGAACACATGTGAAGAAGAGGAACACATGTGAAGAAGAGGAACACATGTGAAGAAGAGGAACACATGTGAAGAAGAGGAACACATGTGAAGAAGAGGAACACATGTGAAGAAGAGGAACACATGTGAAGAAGAGGAACACATGTGAAGAAGAGGAACACATGTGAAGAAGAGGAACACATGTGAAGAAGAGGAACACATGTGAAGAAGAGGAACACATGTGAAGAAGAGGAACACATGTGAAGAAGAGGAACACATGTGAAGAAGAGGAACACATGTGAAGAAGAGGAACACATGTGAAGAAGAGGAACACATGTGAAGAAGAGGAACACATGTGAAGAAGAGGAACACATGTGAAGAAGAGGAACACATGTGAAGAAGAGGAACACATGTGAAGAAGAGGAACACATGTGAAGAAGAGGAACACATGTGAAGAAGAGGAACACATGTGAAGAAGAGGAACACATGTGAAGAAGAGGAACACATGTGAAGAAGAGGAACACATGTGAAGAAGAGGAACACATGTGAAGAAGAGGAACACATGTGAAGAAGAGGAACACATGTGAAGAAGAGGAACACATGTGAAGAAGAGGAACACATGTGAAGAAGAGGAACACATGTGAAGAAGAGGAACACATGTGAAGAAGAGGAACACATGTGAAGAAGAGGAACACATGTGAAGAAGAGGAACACATGTGAAGAAGAGGAACACATGTGAAGAAGAGGAACACATGTGAAGAAGAGGAACACATGTGAAGAAGAGGAACACATGTGAAGAAGAGGAACACATGTGAAGAAGAGGAACACATGTGAAGAAGAGGAACACATGTGAAGAAGAGGAACACATGTGAAGAAGAGGAACACATGTGAAGAAGAGGAACACATGTGAAGAAGAGGAACACATGTGAAGAAGAGGAACACATGTGAAGAAGAGGAACACATGTGAAGAAGAGGAACACATGTGAAGAAGAGGAACACATGTGAAGAAGAGGAACACATGTGAAGAAGAGGAACACATGTGAAGAAGAGGAACACATGTGAAGAAGAGGAACACATGTGAAGAAGAGGAACACATGTGAAGAAGAGGAACACATGTGAAGAAGAGGAACACATGTGAAGAAGAGGAACACATGTGAAGAAGAGGAACACATGTGAAGAAGAGGAACACATGTGAAGAAGAGGAACACATGTGAAGAAGAGGAACACATGTGAAGAAGAGGAACACATGTGAAGAAGAGGAACACATGTGAAGAAGAGGAACACATGTGAAGAAGAGGAACACATGTGAAGAAGAGGAACACATGTGAAGAAGAGGAACACATGTGAAGAAGAGGAACACATGTGAAGAAGAGGAACACATGTGAAGAAGAGGAACACATGTGAAGAAGAGGAACACATGTGAAGAAGAGGAACACATGTGAAGAAGAGGAACACATGTGAAGAAGAGGAACACATGTGAAGAAGAGGAACACACTGTGAAGAAGAGGAAACACATGTGAAGAAGAGGATACACATGTGAAGAAGAGGAACCACATGTGAAGAAGAGGAACACATCGTGAAGAAGAGGAACACATGTGAAGAAGAGGAACACATGTGAAGAAGAGGAACACATGTGAAGAAGAGGAACCACATGTTAAGAAGAGGAACACATGTGAAGAAGAGGAAACACATGTGAAGAAGAGGAACACATGTGAAGAAGAGGGAACACATGTGAAGAAGAGGAACACATGTGAAGAAGAGAAACATGTGAAGAAGAGGAACCACATGTGAAGAAGAGGAACACATGTGAGAAGAGGAACACATGTGAAGAAGAGGAACACATGTGAAGAAGAGGAACACATGTGAAGAAGAGGAAACACATGTGAAGAAGAGGAACACATGTGAAGAAGAGGAAACACATCGTGAAGAAGAGGAACACATGTGAAGAAGAGGAACACATGTGAAGAAGAGGAACACATGTGAAGAATGAGAGAACACATCTTGTGAAGGAAGAGGACACACATGTGAAGAAGAGGAACACATGTGAAGAAGAGGAACACATGTGAAGAAGAGGAACACATGTGAAGAAGAGGAACACATGTGAAGAAGAGGAACACATGTGAAGAAGAGGAACACATGTGAAGAAGAGGAACACATGTGAAGAAGAGGAACACATGTGACGAAGAGGAACACATCGTGAAGAAGAGGAACACATGTGAAGAAGAGGAACAACATGTGAAGAAGAGGAACACATGTGAAGAAGAGGAACACATGTGAAGAAGAGGAACACATGTGCAAGAAGAGGAACACATGTGAAGAAGAGGAACACATGTGAAGAAGAGGAACAAATGTGAAGAAGAGGAACACATGTGAAGAGAGGAACACATGTGAAGAAGAGGAACACATGTGAAGAAGAGGAACACATGTGAAGAAGAGGAACACATGTGAAGAAGAGGAACACATGTGAAGAAGAGGAACACATGTGAAGAAGAGGAACACATGTGAAGAAGAGGAACACATGTGAAGAAGAGAACACATGTGAAGAAGAGGAACACATGTGAAGAAGAGGAACCACATGTGAAGAAGAGGAACACATGTGAAGAAGAGGAAACACATGTGAAGAAGAGGAACACATGTGAAGAAGAGAACACATGTGAAGAAGAGGAACACATGTGAAGAAGAGGAACACATGTGAAGAAGAGGAACACATGTGAAGAAGAGGAACACATGTGAAGAAGAGGAACACATGTGAAGAAGAGGAACACATGTGAAGAAGAGGAACACATGTGAAGAAGAGGAACACATGTGAAGAAGAGGAACACATGTGAAGAAGAGGAACACATGTGAAGAAGAGGAACACATGTGAAGAAGAGGAACACATGTGAAGAAGAGGAACACATGTGAAGAAGAGGAACACATGTGAAGAAGGAACACATGTGAAGAAGAGGAACACATGTGAAGAAGAGGAACACATGTGAAGAAGAGGAACACATGTGAAGAAGAGGAACACATGTGAAGAAGAGGGAACACATGTGAAGAAGAGGAACACATGTGAAGAAGAGGAACACATGTGAAGAAGAGGAAACACATGTGAAGAAGAGGAACACATGTGAAGAAGAGGAACACATGTGAAGAAGAGGAACACATGTGAAGAAGAGGAAACACATGTGAAGAAGAGGAACACAATGTGAAGAAGAGGAACACATGTGAAGAAGAGGAACACATGTGAAGAAGAGGAAACACATGTGAAGAAGAGGAACACATGTGAAGAAGAGGAACACATGTGAAGAAGAGGAACACATGTGAAGAAGAGGAACACTATGTGAAGAAAGAGGAACACATGTGAAGAAGAGAACACATGTGAAGAAGAGGACCACATGTGAAGAAGAGGAACACATGTGAAGAAGAGGAACACATGTGAAGAAGAGGAAACACATGTGAAGAAGAGGAACCATGTGAAGAAGAGGAACACATGTGAAGAAGAGGAACACATGTGAGAAGAGGAACACATGTGAAGAAGAGGAACACATGTGAAGAAGAGGAACACAGTCTGTGAAGAAGAGGAACCACATGTGAGAAGAGGAACACATGTAAGAAGAGGAACACATGTGAAGAAGAGGAACACATGTGAAGAAGAGGAACACATTGTGAAGAAGAGAACACATGTGAAGAAGAGGAACAATGTGAAGATAGAGGAACACATGTGAAGAAGAGGAACACATGTGAAGAAGAGGAACACATGTTGAAGTAAGAAGGAACACATGTGAAGAAGAGGAACACATGTGAAGAAGAGGAACACATGTGAAGAAGAGGAACACATGTGAAGAAGAGGAACACATGTGAAGAAGAGGAACACATGTGAAGAAGAGGAACACATGTGAAGAAGAGGAACACATGTGAAGAAGAGGAACACATGTGAAGAAGAGGAACACATGTGAAGAAGAGGAACACATGTGAAGAAGAGGAACACATGTGAAGAAGAGGAACACATGTGAAGAAGAGGAACACATGTGAAGAAGAGGAACACATGTGAAGAAGAGGAACACATGTGAAGAAGAGGAACACATGTGAAGAAGAGGAACACATGTGAAGAAGAGGAAACACATGTGAAGAAGAGGAACACATGTGAAGAAGAGGAACACATGTGAAGAAGAGGAACACATGTGAAGAAGAGGAACACATGTGAAGAAGAGGAACACATGTGAAGAAGAGGAACACATGTGAAGAAGAGGAACACATGTGAAGAAGAGGAACACATGTGAAGAAGAGGAACACATGTGAAGAAGAGGAACACATGTGAAGAAGAGGAACACATGTGAAGAAGAGGAACACATGTGAAGAAGAGGAACACATGTGAAGAAGAGGAACACATGTGAAGAAGAGGAACACATGTGAAGAAGAGGAACACATGTGAAGAAGAGGAACACATGTGAAGAAGAGGAACACATGTGAAGAAGAGGAACACATGTGAAGAAGAGGAACACATGTGAAGAAGAGGAACACATGTGAAGAAGAGGAACACATGTGAAGAAGAGGAACACATGTGAAGAAGAGGAACACATGTGAAGAAGAGGAACACATGTGAAGAAGAGGAACACATGTGAAGAAGAGGAACACATGTGAAGAAGAGGAACACATGTGAAGAAGAGGAACACATGTGAAGAAGAGGAACACATGTGAAGAAGAGGAACACATGTGAAGAAGAGGAACACATGTGAAGAAGAGGAACACATGTGAAGAAGAGGAACACATGTGAAGAAGAGGAACACATGTGAAGAAGAGGAACACATGTGAAGAAGAGGAACACATGTGAAGAAGAGGAACACATGTGAAGAAGAGGAACACATGTGAAGAAGAGGAACACATGTGAAGAAGAGGAACACATGTGAAGAAGAGGAACACATGTGAAGAAGAGGAACACATGTGAAGAAGAGGAACACATGTGAAGAAGAGGAACACATGTGAAGAAGAGGAACACATGTGAAGAAGAGGAACACATGTGAAGAAGAGGAACACATGTGAAGAAGAGGAACACATGTGAAGAAGAGGAACACATGTGAAGAAGAGGAACACATGTGAAGAAGAGGAACACATGTGAAGAAGAGGAACACATGTGAAGAAGAGGGACACATGTGAAGAAGAGGAACACATGTGAAGAAGAGGAACACATGTGAAGAAGAGGAACACATGTGAAGAAGAGGAACACATGTGAAGAAGAGGAACACATGTGAAGAAGAGGAACACATGTGAAGAAGAGGAACACATGTGAAGAAGAGGAACACATGTGAAGAAGAGGAACACATGTGAAGAAGAGGAACACATGTGAGAGACCACATGTGAAGAGGAGGACACATGTGAAGAAGAGGAACACATGTGAAGAAGAGGAACACATGTGAAGAAGAGGAACACATGTGAAGAAGAGGAACACATGTGAAGAAGAGGAACACATGTGAAGAAGAGGAACACATGTGAAGAAGAGGAACACATGTGAAGAAGAGGAACACATGTGCAGAAGAGGAACATCCTGCTGAAGAAGAGGAACACATGTGAAGAAGAGGAACACATGTGAAGAAGAGGAACACATGTGAAGAAGAGGAAACACATGTGAAGAAGAGGACACATGTGAGAAGAGGAACACATGTGAAGAAGAGGAACACATGTGAAGAAGAGGAACACATGTGAAGAAGAGGACACATGTGAAGAAGAGGGACCACATGTGAAGAAGAGGAACACATGTGAAGAAGAGGGACACATGTGAAGAAGAGGAACACATGTGAAGAAGAGGAACACATGTGAAGAAGAGGAACACATGTGAAGAAGAGGAACACATGTGAAGAAGAGGAAAACATGTGAAGAGAGGAACACATGTGAAAGGAAATTGAAGAGAAGAGGAACACATGTGAAGAAGAGGAACACATGTGAAGAAGAGGAACACATGTGAAGAAGAGGAACACATGTGAAGAAGAGGAACACATGTGAAGAAGAGGAACACATGTGAAGAAGAGGAACACATGTGAAGAAGAGGAACACATGTGAAGAAGAGGAACACATGTGAAGAAGAGGAACACATGTGAAGAAGAGGAACACATGTGAAGAAGAGGAACACATGTGAAGAAGAGGAACACATGTGAAGAAGAGGAACACATGTGAAGAAGAGGAACACATGTGAAGAAGAGGAACACATGTGAAGAAGAGGAACACATGTGAAGAAGAGGAACACATGTGAAGAAGAGGAACACATGTGAAGAAGAGGAACACATGTGAAGAAGAGGAACACATGTGAAGAAGAGGAACACATGTGAAGAAGAGGAACACATGTGAAGAAGAGGAACACATGTGAAGAAGAGGAACACATGTGAAGAAGAGGAACACATGTGAAGAAGAGGAACACATGTGAAGAAGAGGAACACATGTGAAGAAGAGGAACACCATGTGAAGAAGAGGAACACATGTGAAGAAGAGGAACACATGTGAAGAAGAGGAACACATGTGAAGAAGAGGAACACATGTGAAGAAGAGGAACACATGTGAAGAAGAGGAACACATGTGAAGAAGAGGAACACATGTGAAGAAGAGGAACACATGTGAAGAAGAGGAACACATGTGAAGAAGAGGGAACACATGTGAAGAAGAGGAACACACTGTGAAGAAGAGGAACACATGTGAAGAAGAGGAACACATGTGAAGAAGAGGAACACATGTGAAAGAAGAGGAACACATGTGAAGAAGAGGAACACATGTGAAGAAGAGGAACACATGTGAAGAAGAGGAACACATGTGAAGAAGAGGAAAAACATGTGGAAGAAGAGGAACACATGTGAAGAAGAGGAAACACATGTGAAGAAGAGGAACACATGTGAAGAAGAGGAACACATGTGAAGAAGAGGAACACATGTGAAGAAGAGGAACACATGTGAAGAAGAGGGAACACATGTGAAGAAGAGGAACACATGTGAAGAAGAGGAACACATGTGAAGAGAGAACACATGTGAAGAGAGGAACACATGTGAAGAAGAGGAACACATGTGAAGAAGAGGAACACATGGGAAGAAGAGGAACACATGTGAAGAAGAGGAACACATGTGAAGAAGAGGAACACATGTGAAGAAGAGAAACACATGTGAAGAAGAGGAACACATGTGAAGAAGAGGAACACATGTGAAGAAGAGGAACACATGTGAAGAAGAGGAACACATGTGAAGAAGAGGAACACATGTGAAGAAGAGGAACACATGTGAAAGGAAGAGGGACACATGTGAAGAAGAGGAACACATGTGAAAGAAGAGGAACACATGTGAAGAAGAGGAACACATGTGAAGAAGAGGAACACATGTGAAGAAGAGGAACCACATGTGAAGAAGAGGAACACATGTGAAGAAGAGGAACACATGTGAAGAAGAGGAAACACATGTGAAGAAGAGGAACACATGTGTAAGAAGAGGAACACATGTGAAGACGAGGAACACATGGAAGCAAGAGGAACACATGTGAAGAAGAGGAACACATGTGAAGAAGAGGAACACATGTGAAGAAGAGGAACACATGTGAAGAAGAGGAACACATGTGAAGAAGAGGAACACATGTGAAGAAGAGGAACACATGTGAAGAAGAGGAACACATGTGAAGAAGAGGAACACATGTGAAGAAGAGGAACACATGTGAAGAAGAGGAACACATGTGAAGAAGAGGAACACATGTGAAGAAGAGGAACACATGTGAAGAAGAGGAACACATGTGAAGAAGAGGAACACATGTGAAGAAGAGGAACACATGTGAAGAAGAGGAACACATGTGAAGAAGAGGAACACATGTGAAGAAGAGGAACACATGTGAAGAAGAGGAACACATGTGAAGAAGAGGAACACATGTGAAGAAGAGGAACACATGTGAAGAAGAGGAACACATGTGAAGAAGAGGAACACATGTGAAGAAGAGGAACACATGTGAAGAAGAGGAACACATGTGAAGAAGAGGAACACATGTGAAGAAGAGGAACACATGTGAAGAAGAGGAACACATGTGAAGAAGAGGAACACATGTGAAGGAAAGAGGAACACATGTGAGAAGAGGAACACATGTGAAGATAGGAACACATGTGAAGAAGAGGAACACATGTGAAGAAGAGGAACACATGTGAAGAAGAGGAAACACATGTGAAGAAGAGGAACACATGTGAAGAAGAGGAACACATTGAAGAAGAGGAACACATGTGAAGAAGAGGAACACATGTGAAGAAGAGGAACACATGTGAAGAAGAGGAAACACATGTAAGAAGAGGGAACCATCTGTGAAGAAAGGACACATGTGAAGAAGAGGAACACATGTGAAGAAGAGGAACACATGTGAGAAGAGGAACACATGTGAAGAAAGAGGAACACATGTGAAGAAGAGGAACACATGTGAAGAAGAGGAACACATTGTGAAGAAGAGGAACACATGTGAAGAAGAGGAACACATGTGAAGAGAGGAACACATGTGAAGAAGAGGAACACATGTGAAGAAGAGGGAACACATTGTGAAGAAGAGGAACACATGTGAAGAAGAGGAACACATGTGAAGAAGAGGAACACATGTGAAGAAGAGGAACACATGTGAAGAAGAGGAACACATGTGAAGAATGAGTAACACATGTGAAGAAGAGGAACACATGTGAAGAAGAGGAACACATGTGAAGAGAGGAACACATGTGAAGAAGAGGAACACATGTGAAGAAGAGGAACACATGTGAAGAAGAGGAACACATGTGAAGAAGAGGAACACATGTGAAGAAGAGGAACACATGTGAAGAAGAGGAAACACATGGAGAAGAGGAACACATGTGAAGAAGAGGAACACATGTGAAGAAGAGGAACACATGTGAGAAGAGGAACACATGTAGAAGATAGAGGAACACATCGTGAAGAAGAGGAACACATGTTGAAGAAGAGGAACACATGTGAAGAAGAGGAACACATGTGAAGAAGAGGAACACATGTGAAGAAGAGGAACACATGTGAAGAAGAGGGACACATGTGAAGAAGAGGAACACATGTGAAGAAGAGGAAACACATGTGAAGAAGAGGAACACATGTGAAGAAGAGGAATACACATGTGAAGAAGAGGAACACATGGTGAAGACGAGGAACACATGTGAAGAAGAGGAACACATGTGAAGAAGAGGACACATGTGAAGAAGAGGGACACATGTGAAGAAGAGGGAACACATTGTGAAGAAGAGGACACATGTGAAGAAGAGGAACACATGTGAAGAAGAGGACACATGTGAAGAAGAGGAACACATGTGAAGAGAGGACATCAGGGAGAGGAGGGAACACATGTGAAGAAGAGGAACACATGTGAAGAAGAGGAACACATGTGAAGAAGAGGAACACATGTGAAGAAGAGGAACACATGTGAAGAAGAGGAACACATGTGAAGAAGAGGAACACATGTGAAGAAGAGGAACACATGTGAAGAAGAGGAACACATGTGAAGAAGAGGAACACATGTGAAGAAGAGGAACACATGTGAAGAAGAGGAACACATGTGAAGAAGAGGAACACATGTGAAGAAGAGGAACACATGTGAAGAAGAGGAACACATGTGAAGAAGAGGAACACATGTGAAGAAGAGGAACACATGTGAAGAAGAGGAACACATGTGAAGAAGAGGAACACATGTGAAGAAGAGGAACACATGTGAAGAAGAGGAACACATGTGAAGAAGAGGAACACATGTGAAGAAGAGGAACACATGTGAAGAAGAGGAACACATGTGAAGAAGAGGAACACATGTGAAGAAGAGGAACACATGTGAAGAAGAGGGACACATGTGAAGAAGAGGAACACATGTGAAGAAGAGGGACACATGTGAAGAAGAGGGACACATGTGAAGAAGAGGGACACATGTGAAGAAGAGGGACACATGTGAAGAAGAGGAACACATGTGAAGAAGAGGGAACACATGTGAAGAAGAGGAACACATGTGAAGAAGAGGAACACATGTGAAGAAGAGGGACACATGTGAAGAAGAGGAACACATGTGAAGAAGAGGAACACATGTGAAGAAGAGGAACACATGTGAAGAAGAGGAACACATGTGAAGAAGAGGACACATGTGAAGAAGAGAACACATGTGAAGAAGAGGAACACATGTGAAGAAGAGGAACACATGTGAAGAAGAGGACACATGTGAAGAAGAGGAACACATGTGAAGAAGAGGGACACATGTGAAGAGAGGGACACATGTGAAGAAGAGGGACACATGTGAAGAAGAGGGACACATGTGAAGAAGAGGGACACATGTGAAGAAGAGGGGACACATGTGAAGAAGAGGGACACATGTGAAGAAGAGGGACACATGTGAAGAAGAGGAACACATGTGAAGAAGAGGAACACATGTGAAGAAGGAGACACATGTAGAAGAGGAACACATGTGAAGAAGAGGAACACATGTGAAGAAGAGGAACACATGTGAAAGAAGAGGGAACACATGTGAAGAAGAGGAACACATGTGAAGAAGAGGAACACATGTGAAGAAGAGGAACACATGTGAAGAAGAGGAACACATGTGAAGAAAGAGGACACATGTGAAGAAGAGGAACACATGTGAAGAAGAGGAACACATGTGAAGAAGAGGGACACATGTGAAGAAGAGGGAACACATGTGAAGAAGAGGGACACATGTGAAGAAGAGGGACACATGTGAAGAAGAGGGACACATGTGAAGAAGAGGGACACATGTGAAGAAGAGGAACACATGTGAAGAAGAGGGAACACATGTGAAGAAGAGGGAACACATGTGAAGAAGAGGAACACATGTGAAGAAGAGGGAACACATGTGAAGAAGAGGAACACATGTGAAGAAGAGGAACACATGTGAAGAAGAGGAACACATGTGAAGAAGGAGGAACACATGTGAAGAAGAGGAAGACACATGTGAAGAAGAGGAACAATGTGAAGAAGAGGAACACATGTGAAGAAGAGGAACACATGTGAAGAAGAGGAACACATGTGAAGAAGAGGAACACATGTGAAGAAGAGGAACACATGTGAAGAAGAGGAACACATGTGAAGAAGAGGTAACACATGTGAAGAAGAGGAAACATGTGAAGAAGAGGAACACATGTGAAGAAGAGGCACAATGTGAAGAAGAGGGACACCATGTGAAGAAGAGGGACACATGTGAAGAAGAGGGAACACATGTGAAGAAGAGGAAACATGTGAAGAAGAGGAACACATGTGAAGAAGAGGAACACATGTGAAGAAGAGGAACACATGTGAAGAAGAGGAACACATGTGAAGAAGAGGAACACATGTGAAGAAGAGGAACACATGTGAAGAAGAGGAACACATGTGAAGAAGAGGAACACATGTGAAGAAGAGGAAACACATGTGAAGAAGAGGAACACATGTGAAGAAGAGGAACACATGTGAAGAAGAGGAACACATGTGAAGAAGAGGAACACATGTGAGAAGAGGACACATGTGAAGAGAGGAACACATGTGAAGAAGAGGGACACATGTGAAGAAGAGGGAACACATGTGAAGAAGAGGAACACATGTGAAGAAGAGGGACACATGTGAAGAAGAGGGACACATGTGAAGAAGAGGAACACATGTGAAGAAGAGGAACACATGTGAAGAAGAGGAACACATGTGAAGAAGAGGAACACATGTGAAGAAGAGGAACACATGTGAAGAAGAGGAACACATGTGAAGAAGAGGGACACATGTGAAGAAGAGGGACACATGTGAAGAAGAGGAACACATGTGAAGAAGAGGGACACATGTGAAGAAGAGGGACACATGTGAAGAAGAGGGACACATGTGAAGAAGAGGAACACATGTGAAGAAGAGGGACACATGTGAAGAAGAGGGAACACATGTGAAGAAGAGGAACACATGTGAAGAAGAGGGACACATGTGAAGAAGAGGGACACATGTGAAGAAGAGGAAACACATGTGAAGAAGAGGAACACATGTGAAGAAGAGGGACACATGTGAAGAAGAGGGACACATGTGAAGAAGAGGAACACATGTGAAGAAGAGGAACACATGTGAAGAAGAGGGACACATGTGAAGAAGAGGAACACATTTGAAGAAGAGGAACACATGTGAAGAAGAGGAACACATGTGAAGAAGAGGAACACATGTGAAGAAGAGGAACACATGTGAAGAAGAGGGACACATGTGAAGAAGAGGGACACATGTGAAGAAGAGGGACACATGTGAAGAAGAGGGACACATGTGAAGAAGAGGGACACATGGAAGAGGGACACATGTGAAGAAGAGGAACACATGTGAAGAAGAGGAACACATGTGAAGAAGAGGGACACATGTGAAGAAGAGGGACACATGTGAAGAAGAGGAACACATGTGAAGAAGAGGAACACATGTGAAGAAGAGGAACACATGTGAAGAAGAGGAACACATGTGAAGAAGAGGAACACATGTGAAGAAGAGGAACACATGTGAAGAAGAGGAACACATGTGAAGAAGAGGAACACATGTGAAGAAGAGGAACACATGTGAAGAAGAGGAACACATGTGAAGAAGAGGAACACATGTGAAGAAGAGGAACACATGTGAAGAAGAGGAACACATGTGAAGAAGAGGAACACATGTGAAGAAGAGGAACACATGTGAAGAAGAGGAACACATGTGAAGAAGAGGAACACATGTGAAGAAGAGGAACACATGTGAAGAAGAGGAACACATGTGAAGAAGAGGAACACATGTGAAGAAGAGGAACACATGTGAAGAAGAGGACACATGTGAAGAAGAGGAACACATGTGAAGAAGAGGGACACATGTGAAGAAGAGGGACACATGTGAAGAAGAGGAACACATGTGAAGAAGAGGGACACATGTGAAGAAGAGGGACACATGTGAAGAAGAGGAACACATGTGAAGAAGAGGAACACATGTGAAGAAGAGGGACACATGTGAAGAAGAGGGACACATGTGAAGAAGAGGAACACATGTGAAGAAGAGGAACACATGTGAAGAAGAGGGACACATGTGAAGAAGAGGAACACATGTGAAGAAGAGGAACACATGTGAAGAAGAGGAACACATGTGAAGAAGAGGAACACATGTGAAGAAGAGGAACACATGTGAAGAAGAGGGACACATGTGAAGAAGAGGGACACATGTGAAGAAGAGGGACACATGTGAAGAAGAGGAACACATGTGAAGAAGAGGGACACATGTGAAGAAGAGGGACACATGTGAAGAAGAGGAACACATGTGAAGAAGAGGAACACATGTGAAGAAGAGGGACACATGTGAAGAAGAGGGACACATGTGAAGAAGAGGAACACATGTGAAGAAGAGGAACACATGTGAAGAAGAGGGACACATGTGAAGAAGAGGAACACATGTGAAGAAGAGGAACACATGTGAAGAAGAGGAACACATGTGAAGAAGAGGAACACATGTGAAGAAGAGGAACACATGTGAAGAAGAGGGACACATGTGAAGAGAGGGACACATGTGAAGAAGAGGGACACATGTGAAGAAGAGGGACACATGTGAAGAAGAGGGACACATGTGAAGAAGAGGACACATGTGAAGAAGAGGGAACACATGTGAAGAAGAGGGACACATGTGAAGAAGAGGGACACATGTGAAGAAGAGGAACACATGTGAAGAAGAGGAACACATGTGAAGAAGAGGACACATGTGAAGAAGAGGGAACACATGTGAAGAAGAGGAACACATGTGAAGAAGAGGAACACATGTGAAGAAGAGGAAACACATGTGAAGAAGAGGAACACATGTGAAGAAGAGGAACACATGTGAAGAAGAGGAACACATGTGAAGAAGAGGAACACATGTGAAGAAGAGGAACACATGTGAAGAAGAGGAACACATGTGAAGAAGAGGAACACATGTGAAGAAGAGGAAACACATGTGAAGAAGAGGAACACATGTGAAGAAGAGGAACACATGTGAAGAAGAGGAACACATGTGAAGAAGAGGAACACATGTGAAGAAGAGGAACACATGTGAAGAAGAGGATCACATGTGAAGAAGAGGAACACATGTGAAGAAGAGGAAACACATGTGAAGAAGAGGAACACATGTGAAGAAGAGGAACACATGTGAGAAGAGGAACACATGTGAAGAAGAGGAACACATGTGAAGAAGAGGAACACATGTGAAGAAGAGGAACACATGTGAAGAAGAGGAACACATGTGAAGAAGAGGAACACATGTGAAGAAGAGGAACACATGTGAAGAAGAGGAACACATGTGAAGAAGAGGAACACATGTGAAGAAGAGGAACACATGTGAAGAAGAGGAACACATGTGAAGAAGAGGAACACATGTGAAGAAGAGGAACACATGTGAAGAAGAGGAACACATGTGAAGAAGAGGAACACATGTGAAGAAGAGGAACACATGTGAAGAAGAGGAACACATGTGAAGAAGAGGAACACATGTGAAGAAGAGGAACACATGTGAAGAAGAGGGACACATGTGAAGAAGAGGGACACATGTGAAGAAGAGGGACACATGTGAAGAAGAGGAACACATGTGAAGAAGAGGGACACATGTGAAGAAGAGGGACACATGTGAAGAAGAGGAACACATGTGAAGAAGAGGGACACATGTGAAGAAGAGGGACACATGTGAAGAAGAGGGACACATGTGAAGAAGAGGAACACATGTGAAGAAGAGGGACACATGTGAAGAAGAGGGACACATGTGAAGAAGAGGGACACATGTGAAGAAGAGGAACACATGTGAAGAAGAGGGTGTTGTAATTGTACACTATATACAACATTCATAGGCTAGAATAGGTGTAGTCCTTTAGGTTCTTGGGGGGTTGGGTGTACACTCCAACCACACTTTGTGGTTGGTCAAGATTGGATTTGGTCTTGGCCCTTGGTTGGCACTTGCCAACTTTTGGTCCTTAGACCAACCAATCCCAACCTAGCCACATTGTGAGGTTGCCTACTCCACAAGGCACCTCACCCATTGGCCAACTTATTGGCCAATAGGGTTAGCTCCTCCTACAACCTTCTCTTCCTTGCATGCTTGTATTATAGAGCCTTGTTGGCTCATTACTAATCATACTCTTGAATTCTATCATGGTATCCAGAGCCAAATGGCTCACGCCGTCCTCTCTCGATCCTTAGACTGTTTTTTACTCCCCGCTCCTCTACCCTAGCGGATTATGACATACATCCGCCCTCCCGCACCTCAGATCTAGCCTTCCGCGGCTCAGTACCGCCCTCCCGCACCTCAGATCTAGCTTTCCGCGGCTCAGATCTACTCCTCCGCGGCCTCAATCCTCCCTCCCACGGCCTCAATCCTCCCTCCCGCGGCCTCAATCCTCCCTCCCGCGGCCTCAATCCTCCCTCCCGCGGCCTCAATCCTCCCTCCCGCGGCCTCAATCCTTCCTCCCGCGACCCTAATCCTCCTTCCCGCGGCTCTGCCCACCGTCGCGGACGACCGACGCGCCGTCGCGGACGACCTGCGCGCCGACGCGGACGGTCAGCGCGCTGTCGCCAGCGACCTGCGCGCCGACGCAGCCGGCCAGCGCGCAACCGCTGACGACCCGCGCGCTGACGCGGACGGCCAGCGCGTGACCGCCGACGACCCGCGCGCTGACGCGGACGGCCAGCGCGCAACCGCCCGAGCCGCGCGCTGACGCAGACGGCCAGCGCGCGACCGCCGACGAGCCGCGCGCTGACGCGGACGGCCAGCGCGCGGCCCCGAACGACCCGCGCGCCGACGCGGACGGCCAGCGCGCGGCCGCCGACGACCCTGCGCCGACGCGGACGGCTGGCGCGGAGCCGCGGCTGACCTGCGCGCCGTCGCGTTCGGCTGCCCGCGACCTCCACGACCCCGCAACCCTAATCCTCCCTCCTCCCCCTATCCTGCCCCACACCCGCGCCCCTCCCCACACTTCCGCACCAGCCTCTCTTCCCCCCCCCTACCTCCTCCCCCTACTCCACCCTTAACGGCAGCGGCAGCAGCGGCGGCAGCAGCAGCAGCATCGGCGCCGGCAGCAGCAGCAGCATCGGCGGCGGCAGCAGCAGCAGCGGCATCGGCGGCGGCAGCAGCAGCGGCAGCAGCAGCGGCACCGGTAGCGGCAGCAGCAGCGGCACCAGCACCGGCAGCAGCGGCATCAGCAGCGGCGCCTTCACCACTCCGCCGTCATGGCGTCGTCGGACTCATCGGTCGATCTAGCGACCATTGACGCTCTCGAGCTGCTGGGCGACAACTCGGCCGCCAACTGGCACTCCTATGCTCACTCCGTCGAGGTGTTGCTCTCCTCGGTCATCGTCAGCGGATATACCCTCCGCTCCGTCGTGTTCCAGGAGGAGGGTGGACTCCAGCCCATCGCTCCTTCCGCCCCCACTGGACCTGCTCCCGATGAGCCCGGACCCGAACCCGAGCCTCCTGGTGATCCCCCCTCCTTCGCGCCGGATGTTCACAACCCACAAAGCGTGGAGTCTGCCATTCGTGCCTATCGCACCTCACTCAACGACCACCTTCGCCGCCAACTGCGCTACGACGATGACAAGCGCATCTACGACAGTGCTGCTGCCCTCCACCGTGAATACCAAGCCCAGTTCACCACTTACACTACCCGCCTCACCACCTACACCACTAATATCGCAGCGTGGCGCGTTGCTGATCGTCGCGCCCTCGCTATCCTCCTCGCCACCATCCCCTCCTCCCTCAAACGAGAGCTCTCCCCCACCTCCTCCTCCCACCTGTGGCAACTGTTAGTCGACCTCTTTGACCGACAGGACATCGCCACTCTCTATGCACTCATTAAGGAATTCGGATCCATCACCATGGATTCCACCGCCGGCGCAGCTGCCTTTACTCGCCGAGTCCTTGACCTCGCTCGCTGCCTTGCAGCGCTCGGTGTTGTCTACCCTGACACCGTCATCTGCTGCCACCTTCTCGAGGGTCTCACCCCTGCCTTCGATGCCCATAAGCTGGCATACATGCAGCTCCTCTCCAAGCATGACACTCCCGCTCAAGTTGCGCAATGGATCATCACCACTGAAGCTGAAATCCTGCGCCACTCCTCCTCCACTGCCGCAGCAGCACAGCAGCGCAGCAGCAAAGGCGGGCGTGGGGGGGGGCGTGGAGGTGGGCGTGGTGGTGGTCGAGGCGGCTCTGGCGGTCGTGGTGGTGCGGGTCGTGGTGCAGCGGCGGCCTTCCCACCCTGTCAGTATCTTCCCCTCTATGGCCCCACCCGAGGCCAACGCTGCAATCAAACCACTCATGCGACTGAGACGTGCTTCAAGGCACTCAGCGATGAGTGGTTCGCTCGTGGGAACTCTGGCACCCCTCCTCGCTGGTCCGCCCTCAACCCCCGCCCCACTCCCCTGGATGTCCGCACCTCTCCCCTCTACGCCCCTTCCTCCTCCTCCCAGGCCCACCAGGCCTTTGCTCTCCCCTCTCACCAGCAGCAGCAGCAGCAGCAGCAGCAGCAGCAGCAGCACCAGAGTGTCCAGCAGCAGGGGCCGCAGCAGTACGGGCAGCAGCTTCATCAGCTCCAGCAGCAGCTTCAGCAGCTCCAGCAGCAGCTTGACCTCCAGCCCCAGCTTCCTCTCCTCCCTCCTCCACCTGTCCCCCAGCAGCAGCCGTTTCCCAGCTGGACCGCCGGGAATGTGGCCTCCGCGGCCCACCTCTCCGGTCCATCCCCTGCGCCGTCTACAGGTGGCAGTGTGACCCCCTTTCCCTCCTCTGGCTTTGTTGGTCTGCTTAGTCAGCCTCCTTCCGTTGCATCCCCTATGTATGCCCCTGCTATTAATGAAACTTCCATTCAGTACTCCGCCTCACCCTCCTCCACCCTTGAGTTCGTCTTGGACAGTGGAGCCACTGACAATGTCTTTCGCGATGCCGGAAAACTCCATCCTCTCCCCACACCCACGTCCCTCCTTGGCGCTGATAGCAGCTTTTCCATCCCCTGTCACAACACGTCCACCCTTCCCTGTCCTCTCTTTCCCTCAGGTACTGTCACAGGTCTTCACATTCCCTCCCTTCGCACCAACCTCCTCTCCCAAAGGTCCCTCCAACAATCCATGATCACCACTGTCACCCCAGGTGGTGCTAACCATTGTGACCTTTACCAAACCTCCACAGGTCGCTTCCTCTCTCGCATTCCCTACTGTCCCCGCTCCCGTCTGTACACCCTTCGGGTTCCCCGCCCCCTCACCTTCCAAGTTGCCTCCCCTCCCCTCCTCCCCCCCCCTCCTCCCCTCCCTCCCACTAACCCACCCGTCCCCCCCCGCCCCCCTGACTCTGCCTGCACATGTCGCTCCCTCTCTCACCCTGCCATCCTTCTCCATCACAGGCTAGGCCACCCCAACTTCGCTACTCTGCGCTCCTCTGTCTCCTCAGGTCTCCTCCACGGTCTCCCCTCCTCCCTCCCTCCCCTACCCAAATCCCCTGCCCCCCCTTGCGCCGTCTGTGTTCAGAGCAAGCTCAAGCAGCAGCCGCACCGGAGCTCCCCCTCCGCTGCTGCCCAGCCACTTGACCTTGTTCACATGGACCTCTGGGGCCCTAATCCCTCTCCCACTCGCCAGGGCCATCGCTACCTTCTCGTGCTCGTCGATGATCACAGTCGGTACTCGTCCGTCTCTCTCCTTCGAACGAAGGCGGACGCCCCGCCTGCGATCATTGCCTGGCTCGAACAAGCGAACACCCATTTTGGGCGCCCTGTTCGCCGCCTTCACTCTGATGGTGGCGGTGAGTTCCTTAACAACCTAATCTCCTCCTATTGCCAATCCCGCGGCATTCTTCAGACTTACACCCTCCCACACTCCCCACAGCAGAACGGTGTCGCTGAGAGCCGTGTTCGGGAGATCACCAAAACCGCTCGGTGTCTTCTTGTCCACGCCTCATGCCCCCCTTCTCTGTGGGGCTATGCCCTCCTTCATGCCGCCCTCCTTACTAACCTTTACCCTCACCCCCTCCTCCCCTCCACCACCCCCACTGAGCTATGGACAAAGACCAAACCCGATGTCTCCCCTCTTCGAGTCTGGGGCTCAAAGGCATATGTCCTCATTCACCCGTCTGACCGATCCCGTTCCCTGGGAAAGCTTGCCCCTCGTACCCTTCCTTGCATTTTCCTTGGTCATAACCCCTCTTCCCCCGACTATCTTTTCCTCCACCCCCCTTCCGGTCGACTATTTCGCAGCAGAGATGTCGTCTTTGACGAATCCACCCCGTACTATTCCTCTCCTCCGTCCACTGACCCTCTCCCACCTCTGACTCGTCCCCTTGTCTGGTCTGACACCACCCCTCCCCCTCTCCTCCCTCCTCCCCCCATCCTCCCACCCCCTCCCCCTCCGCCCTCCCAGTCCCACGGTGTCCCCCCCTCGTCTGGTGACATCTTTGACCCGGACCCCCTGTCTTCCCCTGTCTCCCCCGCTCACTCCTCCCCTGGTGCCCCTCCTCCCCCTCCCTCCCAACCCTCACCTCCCTCCCCCACTCCCCGCGCCATACTCACCCGGTATCCTCACACCAGGTCACGTGACAGTATCCTTGGTGCACCGCCCCCTGTTACCCTCTCTACCTCTACCCTCCCTCCTCTTTCCCCCCTCCTTCACTACTTCTTCCAGGCTGTCTTGCATCCAGCCCCCTCAACCACCTCTCCAGCAGCAGCAGCAGCAGCTCCAGCAGCAGCCACCGCAGCGGCACCAGCAGCGGCACCAGCAGCGGCGAGTGCAGCGGCAGCAGCGGCATCGGCAGCGGCACCAGCAGCGGCATCCGCACCAGCACCAGCAGCGGCACCAGCAGCGGCACCAGCAGCGGCACCTGCGGTCATCCGCGCCTTCCACACCTCCCTCTCTGAGGACTCCCATGAGGAGTTCCTTGACCTCCACCTCTCTGACCCCTCCCTCCTTCCCATCACCTTTGACCTCTCTGGAACACCAGTCTTCGCCTTTTCCTCTGCTCCCTCCACCTTCATCCCAACCACGTATGAGGAGGCCATGGCTTGCCCCGACGCCCCGCTCTGGCTCGCCGCCATCATCAAGGAGCTCGAGGCATTTATTGCCAACTCCTCCTTCGTTGATGTGCCTCGCCCTCCCTCCTCTACGAACGTGGTAAAGGGGAAGTGGGTGTTTCGCGTCAAACAGCTACCAGGAGAGCCGCCCGTCTACAAGGCCCGGTATTGCGCCAAGGGCTTCACGCAGCGGTATGGCTTTGACTTCTTCGACACCTTCTCCCCCACCGCCAAACCTGCTACCGTTCGCGCCGTACTCGACCTCGCCGCTCGCCTCAACATGGAGATCCACTCGATGGATGTCTCCAACGCCATCCTGCAAGGCGTGCTACGTGAACTGATCTACATGGAGCGCCCAGCGGGCTTCCACCTCCCCTTCCCCGCCGACTCCGTCTGGCAGCTGCGCCGACCAGTGTACGGGCTCCGCCAGGCACCCAGGGAATGGCATGCCAAGCTTGCTGCCACCCTTGCCGAGCTTGGGTTTCACACCTCCCGCTCTGACGCCAGCCTCTTCCTCCGCACCTCCCCCTCCCCCTTCTACATCCTCGTCTATGTTGACGATATGATTCTCCTCACCGCCGATCTTGCCGAGCTCGAGAAAGTCAAGACCGAGCTGGGCACACGGCTCAAGTGCAAAGATTTGGGAGAGCTGCAGCACTACCTCGGCATGACCATCACTCGCGACCGCTCCGCCCGCACCATCTCCCTCTCTCAGGGTCACTATCTCCAGCAAGTCTTGGACCGGTTTGAAATGGCGCGCGGCAGCCCCCAGCCCACTCCACTCTCAGTTGGGCACCACCTCTCCCCACCCTCCTCACCCTCTGCCTCCTCCCATCCTTATCCTGAACTCATCGGCTCTCTCATGTATGCCATGGTTTCCACTCGTCCTGACCTTGCCTACCCCATCAGCGTCCTCGCTCGCTTCGTTGGCGCTGGCAAGCACACAGAGGAACACTGGCAGGCCGCCAAGCGCGTCCTTCGCTACATTCGTGGCACAAAAGACTATGTCCTTACCCTTGGCGGCCCCTCCCATCCCCTCCTCAATGGCTACAGTGATTCTTCCTGGGCTGACTCTCGCCCGGACAGGCGGTCCTCTCAGGGATATGGCTTCTCTCTGGGTAGCGGTCTCATCAGCTGGCGGTCCACACGCTCTTCTGTCGTCGCCCTCTCCTCCTGCGAAGCAGAGCTCTACGCTGCAACCATGGCTGCGCAGGAGGCGCGCTGGCTCACCTTCCTCCTCGATGAGCTTGGTGCACCCCAGCGTTGTCCCACAATCTGGTGTGACAATGCCAGCACCATTCACCTCACTAAGGATGCTGTGTATCATGGGCGTTCCAAACACATTGAACTTCGCTACTTCTTCATTCGTGATCTCGTTGAGGCCGGGCACCTTCGCCTTGGCAAGATCGACTCGGCGGCCAACCTCGCTGACATCTTCACTAAAGAACTTCCCCAAGCACCTCACTCCTTCTTTCTGCGTCTCCTTGGCCTCACCCCTCCTCCAGTTGTGACGGCCTCCTGATTACATCTTCTAGCCTTATGCATGTTGGGGGGTTGTGTTGTAATTGTACACTATATACAACATTCATAGGCTAGAATAGGTGTAGTCCTTTAGGTTCTTGTGGGGTTGGGTGTACACTCCAACCACACTTTGTGGTTGGTCAAGATTGGATTTGGTCTTGGCCCTTGGTTGGCACTTGCCAACTTTTGGTCCTTAGACCAACCAATCCCAACCTAGCCACATTGTGAGGTTGCCTAATCCACAAGGCACCTCACCCATTGGCCAACTTATTGGCCAATAGGGTTAGCTCCTCCTACAACCTTCTCTTCCTTGCATGCTTGTATTATAGAGCCTTGTTGGCTCATTACTAATCATACTCTTGAATTCTATCAGACACATGTGAAGAAGAGGGACACATGTGAAGAAGAGGGACACATGTGAAGAAGAGGGACACATGTGAAGATGAGGGACACATGTGAAGAAGAGGAACACATGTGAAGAAGAGGGACACATGTGAAGAAGAGGGACACATGTGAAGAAGAGGGACACATGTGAAGAAGAGGGACACATGTGAAGAAGAGGGACACATGTGAAGAAGAGGGACACATGTGAAGAAGAGGGACACATGTGAAGAAGAGGGACACATGTGAAGAAGAGGGACACATGTGAAGAAGAGGGACACATGTGAAGAAGAGGGACACATGTGAAGAAGAGGGACACATGTGAAGAAGAGGGACACATGTGAAGAAGAGGGACACATGTGAAGAAGAGGGACACATGTGAAGAAGAGGAACACATGTGAAGAAGAGGGACACATGTGAAGAAGAGGGACACATGTGAAGAAGAGGAACACATGTGAAGAAGAGGAACACATGTGAAGAAGAGGAACACATGTGAAGAAGAGGAACACATGTGAAGAAGAGGAACACATGTGAAGAAGAGGAACACATGTGAAGAAGAGGAACACATGTGAAGAAGAGGAACACATGTGAAGAAGAGGAACACATGTGAAGAAGAGGGACACATGTGAAGAAGAGGGACACATGTGAAGAAGAGGGACACATGTGAAGAAGAGGGACACATGTGAAGAAGAGGGACACATGTGAAGAAGAGGGACACATGTGAAGAAGAGGGACACATGTGAAGAAGAGGAACACATGTGAAGAAGAGGAACACATGTGAAGAAGAGGGACACATGTGAAGAAGAGGGACACATGTGAAGAAGAGGGACACATGTGAAGAAGAGGAACACATGTGAAGAAGAGGAACACATGTGAAGAAGAGGAACACATGTGAAGAAGAGGAACACATGTGAAGAAGAGGAACACATGTGAAGAAGAGGAACACATGTGAAGAAGAGGAACACATGTGAAGAAGAGGAACACATGTGAAGAAGAGGGACACATGTGAAGAAGAGGGACACATGTGAAGAAGAGGGACACATGTGAAGAAGAGGGACACATGTGAAGAAGAGGGACACATGTGAAGAAGAGGGACACATGTGAAGAAGAGGGACACATGTGAAGAAGAGGGACACATGTGAAGAAGAGGGACACATGTGAAGAAGAGGGACACATGTGAAGAAGAGGGACACATGTGAAGAAGAGGGACACATGTGAAGAAGAGGGACACATGTGAAGAAGAGGGACACATGTGAAGAAGAGGGACACATGTGAAGAAGAGGGACACATGTGAAGAAGAGGGACACATGTGAAGAAGAGGGACACATGTGAAGAAGAGGGACACATGTGAAGAAGAGGGACACATGTGAAGAAGAGGGACACATGTGAAGAAGAGGGACACATGTGAAGAAGAGGAACACATGTGAAGAAGAGGAACACATGTGAAGAAGAGGAACACATGTGAAGAAGAGGAACACATGTGAAGAAGAGGGACACATGTGAAGAAGAGGGACACATGTGAAGAAGAGGGACACATGTGAAGAAGAGGGACACATGTGAAGAAGAGGGACACATGTGAAGAAGAGGGACACATGTGAAGAAGAGGGACACATGTGAAGAAGAGGGACACATGTGAAGAAGAGGGACACATGTGAAGAAGAGGGACACATGTGAAGAAGAGGGACACATGTGAAGAAGAGGGACACATGTGAAGAAGAGGGACACATGTGAAGAAGAGGGACACATGTGAAGAAGAGGAACACATGTGAAGAAGAGGAACACATGTGAAGAAGAGGAACACATGTGAAGAAGAGGAACACATGTGAAGAAGAGGAACACATGTGAAGAAGAGGGACACATGTGAAGAAGAGGGACACATGTGAAGAAGAGGAACACATGTGAAGAAGAGGAACACATGTGAAGAAGAGGAACACATGTGAAGAAGAGGAACACATGTGAAGAAGAGGAACACATGTGAAGAAGAGGAACACATGTGAAGAAGAGGAACACATGTGAAGAAGAGGGACACATGTGAAGAAGAGGGACACATGTGAAGAAGAGGGACACATGTGAAGAAGAGGGACACATGTGAAGAAGAGGGATACATGTGAGGAAGAGGGACACATGTGAAGAAGAGGGACACATGTGAAGAAGAGGAACACATGTGAAGAAGAGGAACACATGTGAAGAAGAGGGACACATGTGAAGAAGAGGGACACATGTGAAGAAGAGGGACACATGTGAAGAAGAGGAACACATGTGAAGAAGAGGAACACATGTGAAGAAGAGGAACACATGTGAAGAAGAGGAACACATGTGAAGAAGAGGAACACATGTGAAGAAGAGGAACACATGTGAAGAAGAGGAACACATGTGAAGAAGAGGAACACATGTGAAGAAGAGGGACACATGTGAAGAAGAGGGACACATGTGAAGAAGAGGGACACATGTGAAGAAGAGGGACACATGTGAAGAAGAGGGACACATGTGAAGAAGAGGGACACATGTGAAGAAGAGGGACACATGTGAAGAAGAGGGACACATGTGAAGAAGAGGGACACATGTGAAGAAGAGGGACACATGTGAAGAAGAGGGACACATGTGAAGAAGAGGGACACATGTGAAGAAGAGGGACACATGTGAAGAAGAGGGACACATGTGAAGAAGAGGGACACATGTGAAGAAGAGGGACACATGTGAAGAAGAGGAACACATGTGAAGAAGAGGGACACATGTGAAGAAGAGGGACACATGTGAAGAAGAGGGACACATGTGAAGAAGAGGGACACATGTGAAGAAGAGGAACACATGTGAAGAAGAGGAACACATGTGAAGAAGAGGAACACATGTGAAGAAGAGGAACACATGTGAAGAAGAGGAACACATGTGAAGAAGAGGGACACATGTGAAGAAGAGGGACACATGTGAAGAAGAGGGACACATGTGAAGAAGAGGGACACATGTGAAGAAGAGGGACACATGTGAAGAAGAGGGACACATGTGAAGAAGAGGGACACATGTGAAGAAGAGGGACACATGTGAAGAAGAGGGACACATGTGAAGAAGAGGGACACATGTGAAGAAGAGGGACACATGTGAAGAAGAGGGACACATGTGAAGAAGAGGGACACATGTGAAGAAGAGGGACACATGTGAAGAAGAGGGACACATGTGAAGAAGAGGGACACATGTGAAGAAGAGGGACACATGTGAAGAAGAGGAACATATGTGAAGAAGAGGAACACATGTGAAGAAGAGGAACACATGTGAAGAAGAGGAACACATGTGAAGAAGAGGAACACATGTGAAGAAGAGGGACACATGTGAAGAAGAGGACACATGTGAAGAAGAGGAACACATGTGAAGAAGAGGAACACATGTGAAGAAGAGGAACACATGTGAAGAAGAGGAACACATGTGAAGAAGAGGAACACATGTGAAGAAGAGGAACACATGTGAAGAAGAGGAACACATGTGAAGAAGAGGGACACATGTGAAGAAGAGGGACACATGTGAAGAAGAGGACACATGTGAAGAAGAGGGACACATGTGAAGAAGAGGGACACATGTGAAGAAGAGGGACACATGTGAAGAAGAGGGACACATGTGAAGAAGAGGGACACATGTGAAGAAGAGGGACACATGTGAAGAAGAGGGACACATGTGAAGAAGAGGGACACATGTGAAGAAGAGGGACACATGTGAAGAAGAGGGACACATGTGAAGAAGAGGGACACATGTGAAGAAGAGGGACACATGTGAAGAAGAGGGACACATGTGAAGAAGAGGGACACATGTGAAGAAGAGGGACACATGTGAAGAAGAGGGACACATGTGAAGAAGAGGAACACATGTGAAGAAGAGGAACACATGTGAAGAAGAGGAACACATGTGAAGAAGAGGAACACATGTGAAGAAGAGGAACACATGTGAAGAAGAGGGACACATGTGAAGAAGAGGGACACATGTGAAGAAGAGGGAACACATGTGAAGAAGAGGAACACATGTGAAGAAGAGGGACACATGTGAAGAAGAGGGACACATGTGAAGAAGAGGGACACATGTGAAGAAGAGGGACACATGTGAAGAAGAGGGACACATGTGAAGAAGAGGGACACATGTGAAGAAGAGGGACACATGTGAAGAAGAGGGACACATGTGAAGAAGAGGGACACATGTGAAGAAGAGGGACACATGTGAAGAAGAGGGACACATGTGAAGAAGAGGGACACATGTGAAGAAGAGGGACACATGTGAAGAAGAGGGACACATGTGAAGAAGAGGGACACATGTGAAGAAGAGGGACACATGTGAAGAAGAGGGACACATGTGAAGAAGAGGGACACATGTGAAGAAGAGGGACACATGTGAAGAAGAGGGACACATGTGAAGAAGAGGGACACATGTGAAGAAGAGGGACACATGTGAAGAAGAGGGACACATGTGAAGAAGAGGGACACATGTGAAGAAGAGGGACACATGTGAAGAAGAGGGACACATGTGAAGAAGAGGGACACATGTGAAGAAGAGGGAACACATGTGAAGAAGAGGAACACATGTGAAGAAGAGGAACACATGTGAAGAAGAGGAACACATGTGAAGAAGAGGAACACATGTGAAGAAGAGGGACACATGTGAAGAAGAGGGACACATGTGAAGAAGAGGAACACATGTGAAGAAGAGGAACACATGTGAAGAAGAGGGACACATGTGAAGAAGAGGGACACATGTGAAGAAGAGGGACACATGTGAAGAAGAGGGACACATGTGAAGAAGAGGGACACATGTGAAGAAGAGGGACACATGTGAAGAAGAGGGACACATGTGAAGAAGAGGGACACATGTGAAGAAGAGGGACACATGTGAAGAAGAGGGACACATGTGAAGAAGAGGGACACATGTGAAGAAGAGGGACACATGTGAAGAAGAGGGACACATGTGAAGAAGAGGGACACATGTGAAGAAGAGGGACACATGTGAAGAAGAGGGACACATGTGAAGAAGAGGGACACATGTGAAGAAGAGGGACACATGTGAAGAAGAGGGACACATGTGAAGAAGAGGAACACATGTGAAGAAGAGGAACACATGTGAAGAAGAGGAACACATGTGAAGAAGAGGAACACATGTGAAGAAGAGGGACACATGTGAAGAAGAGGGACACATGTGAAGAAGAGGAACACATGTGAAGAAGAGGAACACATGTGAAGAAGAGGGACACATGTGAAGAAGAGGGACACATGTGAAGAAGAGGGACACATGTGAAGAAGAGGGACACATGTGAAGAAGAGGGACACATGTGAAGAAGAGGGACACATGTGAAGAAGAAGGACACATGTGAAGAAGAGGGACACATGTGAAGAAGAGGGACACATGTGAAGAAGAGGGACACATGTGAAGAAGAGGGACACATGTGAAGAAGAGGGACACATGTGAAGAAGAGGGACACATGTGAAGAAGAGGGACACATGTGAAGAAGAGGGACACATGTGAAGAAGAGGGACACATGTGAAGAAGAGGGACACATGTGAAGAAGAGGGACACATGTGAAGAAGAGGGACACATGTGAAGAAGAGGGACACATGTGAAGAAGAGGGACACATGTGAAGAAGAGGGACACATGTGAAGAAGAGGGACACATGTGAAGAAGAGGAACACATGTGAAGAAGAGGAACACATGTGAAGAAGAGGGACACATGTGAAGAAGAGGGACACATGTGAAGAAGAGGGACACATGTGAAGAAGAGGGACACATGTGAAGAAGAGGGACACATGTGAAGAAGAGGGACACATGTGAAGAAGAGGGACACATGTGAAGAAGAGGGACACATGTGAAGAAGAGGGACACATGTGAAGAAGAGGGACACATGTGAAGAAGAGGGACACATGTGAAGAAGAGGGACACATGTGAAGAAGAGGGACACATGTGAAGAAGAGGGACACATGTGAAGAAGAGGGACACATGTGAAGAAGAGGAACACATGTGAAGAAGAGGAACACATGTGAAGAAGAGGAACACATGTGAAGAAGAGGAACACATGTGAAGAAGAGGGAACACATGTGAAGAAGAGGGACACATGTGAAGAAGAGGGAACACATGTGAAGAAGAGGAACACATGTGAAGAAGAGGAACACATGTGAAGAAGAGGAACACATGTGAAGAAGAGGAACACATGTGAAGAAGAGGAACACATGTGAAGAAGAGGAACACATGTGAAGAAGAGGGACACATGTGAAGAAGAGGGACACATGTGAAGAAGAGGGACACATGTGAAGAAGAGGGACACATGTGAAGAAGAGGGACACATGTGAAGAAGAGGGATACATGTGAGGAAGAGGGACACATGTGAAGAAGAGGGACACATGTGAAGAAGAGGAACACATGTGAAGAAGAGGAACACATGTGAAGAAGAGGGACACATGTGAAGAAGAGGGACACATGTGAAGAAGAGGGACACATGTGAAGAAGAGGAACACATGTGAAGAAGAGGAACACATGTGAAGAAGAGGAACACATGTGAAGAAGAGGAACACATGTGAAGAAGAGGAACACATGTGAAGAAGAGGAACACATGTGAAGAAGAGGAACACATGTGAAGAAGAGGAACACATGTGAAGAAGAGGGACACATGTGAAGAAGAGGGACACATGTGAAGAAGAGGGACACATGTGAAGAAGAGGGACACATGTGAAGAAGAGGGACACATGTGAAGAAGAGGGACACATGTGAAGAAGAGGGACACATGTGAAGAAGAGGGACACATGTGAAGAAGAGGGACACATGTGAAGAAGAGGGACACATGTGAAGAAGAGGGACACATGTGAAGAAGAGGGACACATGTGAAGAAGAGGGACACATGTGAAGAAGAGGGACACATGTGAAGAAGAGGGACACATGTGAAGAAGAGGGACACATGTGAAGAAGAGGAACACATGTGAAGAAGAGGGACACATGTGAAGAAGAGGGACACATGTGAAGAAGAGGGACACATGTGAAGAAGAGGGACACATGTGAAGAAGAGGAACACATGTGAAGAAGAGGAACACATGTGAAGAAGAGGAACACATGTGAAGAAGAGGAACACATGTGAAGAAGAGGGACACATGTGAAGAAGAGGGACACATGTGAAGAAGAGGGACACATGTGAAGAAGAGGGACACATGTGAAGAAGAGGGACACATGTGAAGAAGAGGGACACATGTGAAGAAGAGGGACACATGTGAAGAAGAGGGACACATGTGAAGAAGAGGGACACATGTGAAGAAGAGGGACACATGTGAAGAAGAGGGACACATGTGAAGAAGAGGGACACATGTGAAGAAGAGGGACACATGTGAAGAAGAGGGACACATGTGAAGAAGAGGGACACATGTGAAGAAGAGGGACACATGTGAAGAAGAGGGACACATGTGAAGAAGAGGGACACATGTGAAGAAGAGGGACACATGTGAAGAAGAGGGACACATGTGAAGAAGAGGGACACATGTGAAGAAGAGGGACACATGTGAAGAAGAGGGACACATGTGAAGAAGAGGGACACATGTGAAGAAGAGGGACACATGTGAAGAAGAGGGACACATGTGAAGAAGAGGGACACATGTGAAGAAGAGGGACACATGTGAAGAAGAGGGACACATGTGAAGAAGAGGGACACATGTGAAGAAGAGGGACACATGTGAAGAAGAGGGACACATGTGAAGAAGAGGGACACATGTGAAGAAGAGGGAACACATGTGAAGAAGAGGAACACATGTGAAGAAGAGGAACACATGTGAAGAAGAGGAACACATGTGAAGAAGAGGAACACATGTGAAGAAGAGGAACACATGTGAAGAAGAGGAACACATGTGAAGAAGAGGGACACATGTGAAGAAGAGGGACACATGTGAAGAAGAGGGAACACATGTGAAGAAGAGGGACACATGTGAAGAAGAGGGACACATGTGAAGAAGAGGGACACATGTGAAGAAGAGGGACACATGTGAAGAAGAGGGACACATGTGAAGAAGAGGGACACATGTGAAGAAGAGGGACACATGTGAAGAAGAGGGACACATGTGAAGAAGAGGGACACATGTGAAGAAGAGGGACACATGTGAAGAAGAGGGACACATGTGAAGAAGAGGGACACATGTGAAGAAGAGGGACACATGTGAAGAAGAGGGACACATGTGAAGAAGAGGGACACATGTGAAGAAGAGGAACACATGTGAAGAAGAGGAACACATGTGAAGAAGAGGAACACATGTGAAGAAGAGGAACACATGTGAAGAAGAGGAACACATGTGAAGAAGAGGAACACATGTGAAGAAGAGGAACACATGTGAAGAAGAGGGACACATGTGAAGAAGAGGGACACATGTGAAGAAGAGGGACACATGTGAAGAAGAGGGACACATGTGAAGAAGAGGGACACATGTGAAGAAGAGGGACACATGTGAAGAAGAGGGACACATGTGAAGAAGAGGGACACATGTGAAGAAGAGGGACACATGTGAAGAAGAGGGACACATGTGAAGAAGAGGGACACATGTGAAGAAGAGGGACACATGTGAAGAAGAGGGACACATGTGAAGAAGAGGGACACATGTGAAGAAGAGGGACACATGTGAAGAAGAGGGACACATGTGAAGAAGAGGGACACATGTGAAGAAGAGGGACACATGTGAAGAAGAGGGACACATGTGAAGAAGAGGAACACATGTGAAGAAGAGGAACACATGTGAAGAAGAGGGACACATGTGACTTCAATTGTCCTCCATTGAAGAGGAAAGTGTGGCTGGGTGGGCTGGAAGAGGATGCGTGCTGAGGTCCCCAAGGTTGCCTGTGCTGTTGCTGTGCAGTCTGAGCGATGACGGTGAGCGGGGATGGTGAGCGAGAGAAATGGAGGACAATTGAAGTCAACTTCGGCACGGCCTCCTCTTGGCACAGCCTTACTCCAAATGATGGGCTCACCTCATCATAGACGGTCCAGTTGATGGGCTCACCTCATCATAGACGGTCCAGTTGATGGGCTCACCTCATCATAGACGGTCCAGTTGATGGGCTCACCTCATCATAGACGGTCCAGTTGATGGGCTCACCTCATCATAGACGGTCCAGTTGATGGGAACGGCAAAGAGATCGTCCTTGCTCTTGGGGATGGAGTCGATCAGCGACTTCACATCCACCACCGCCTTGGGCTTCGCCTTCTCCTTCTCTCCCCCACCCGCACCCGCATCTCCCCCTCCGCTCCTCCTCCTCTCCTCGTCCTTGCCTGCCCCGCCTCCCTGAGACAGCCGCTTGGCAAACTCAGCCGCCGCAGCAATGCTGGCCGCCAGGCCTCCACCCGCACCACCACTCGCTGCAGCCCGGGAAGGTGAAGGGGAACCCCTGTGCCCACCAGCACCAGCACCGGCAGCAGCGACAGCAGCGCCAGCAGCATCACTGCCACCGTCGTCATAGTCGATGGGAACGAGGGGCCGCAGTTTCTTGCGCGCCAGCTCCTCCTCGTCCTCCTCCGCGCCGAACACAGATGCCAGTGTGCGCGACTTTTTGGACGGTGCTGGCGCTGGGGTGCGGGAGGGTGCGGTGGAGGGGTGAGCAGCAACGGTGGCGGGTGGCTGGGGTGGAGGTGCTGGGGATGCTGCTGCTGGTTCCGCAGGTGATGCTGTCGCTGCTGCGTCTGCTGATGCTGCTTCGGGTGCCGGTGCTGCTGCCTCAGCTGGTGCTGGTGCTGCGGGTGCTACATGGGGTTGCGCGTGGCCCGCTGGTTTTCCAGAGCAAACGATGGGAGAGGGTTCGTAGGAGGGTCACGAGTAGGAGTGGAAAATAGGGTGGTGAGAAAAAGAGGGTTGGGTTGAAATAATAAATCTGGATGGTGAGAACAACAGAAGCACACAGACTGGAAAAGCAGAGAAGGTGGAAAACTGTGAGTTGGAAAGTGCGATCCCAGGCAGGACAACCCGTCCTTCTTCCCACAGCCTTAGAAACAGCCCTACCTGGATGCAGCCTTACCCAGTGCGACACCTTTGCACCACTGCCAACCGTTGCACGTTAAAATACCGTACTGCGCACCCCTTCCTGTCCTTGGCATGCGCAGCCACAGGTTGCATTAGTGCAGCCGCTTCCGACTCCCTGCCCCTCCCTCCCTGCCCCGCCCCCCGTGCGAGTTGTTTTCTGATAAGCCTAAGAAGCCAACACCACTGCCAAATCTGGCAAGTTACACACCCAACCCAACTCATAAAACCGTACCTGCACGCCCCTCCCTGTCCTTGGCATGGGCAGCCACAGCTTGCACCAGCGCATCCACCTCCGACTCTTTGCCCCTCCCTCCCTGCCTCGCCCTCCCTGCCCCTCCCTCCCTGCCCCTCCCTCCCTGCTAGTTATTCTCTTAAAATCAACAGTGCTGCCAACCTAGCATGTTACATACACAGGCAACCCAGAATTCCCTACCTGCACGCCCCTCTCTGTCCTTGGCATGGGCAGCCACGGCTCGCACCAGCGCTGCCACCTCCGACTCCCTGCCCCTCCCTCCCTGCTGCGAACCCCCTGCTAGTTGGTTTCTGAGAATCCTCAGAAACCAGCACTGCTGCCAACGCTGGCACTTTACACAGGCAGCCACAGCTCACACCCTGTCAACCCTGAGAATTCCCTACCTGCGCGCCCCTCCCTGTCCTTGGCATGAGCAGCCACAGCTCGCACCAGCGCATCCACCTCCGACTCTCTGCCCCTCCCTCCCTGCCGCGACCCCCCTGCTCCCTCGCCTCCCGCCACCTGCCCTGCCGCCCCCCCCCCAGGGGACCCAGCAGCGGCGGCAGAGGGCGGGTGGAGGGACGGCAGGAGGTCCGCTAGACTGGGTAGAGAGATCTTCACTTCGGGGAGGGGCGGGGGGACAGGCGCTGGTGGTGATGCCGGCGCAGCAGCAGGAGCAGCAGCAGTGGCAGGTACTGCTGCTGGTTCCGTATCCTCTGCTGCTGCTGAAGCGAACCCATTGGTCGCTTCGCTCGTGATCAACCCATCTCCTCCTCCAATTCCGTGGGCACCTCCCACCCCACCTTCACCCGTATCCCCTGCTGCTGCTTCCAGACCGGCTCCTGCACCCATGTGCCCCACCAGCAGCACACTCGCCTCCCCCACCGCCTCACTCACAAACGCCACTGCTTCCCTCCTCTGCTGCTCCTCCCTCTCCTTCGCCTCCTTCCTCTCCCTCTCCTCCTTCTCCCTGTCCTTCGCATCCTCCTCCTCCTCCCTCGCCCGCACCCGCCTCCTCTCCTCCCAATACCCATCCCTCACCCTCCTATAAATCCTCTCCTCCTCACTATCCTCCTCCTCCTGCTGCCGAATCAGCGCCCGCCTCTCCCTCTCCGCCTCCCGCTCTCGCTCCCTCTCATACGCCTTAGCCCGGTCCTTCTCCTTCTCCTTGTTCTCCATCTCTCTCTCCCTCTGATCACTCAGCCGATCAAGCTCTCGTATGTTCATCTCTCTATCTCGCTCCCTGCGGCCCCTCTCCCTCTCCCTCCTCTTCTCCAGTCGCTCATACTCCCTCTCCTTGCCCCTCTCCTCCCACTCCTTCTCCCGCTGCTCCCTCTCCTTCTCCCACTCCTTAGCACTCTTATGCTCTCTGGGTTTCTCCCGCTCCCTCTCCCCATCCCTCTCCTTCTCTCTATCGTGTTCATCACCCCTGTCTCTCTCCCTGTCTCTGTCTCTCTCCCTGTCCCTCTCCCTGTCCCTGTCCCTGTGCCGGGACCGCTCGTGCCCAGCATCATCGTCAGAATCAGCATCTTCCCTCTCTCTCTTTCTGCCCTCCCGCCTGTGCCCATCACCTTCTCGTTCGCTTGATTCTGGAGTGACACATGGAAACAGCCGCCATACAGCCATGGAAGCGAAAGAAGGAAACAATGACCAGAAACTCGGAGAAGAAGAAAAAAAAAAACCACAACATTAGGCAACGTGCAAGCTCACACACACCAGATACATGCCATTACACGTGCACAGGCACACACAGCGCCTCTGAGATGCAAAGAAAGAGGGTGTTATGATCACCATAACATGCAAAGCATACTCACCAGCAACAGACACGTCGTTCTCCTTGCTGCTGTCCTTGAGAGGCGGTGGGGGTGGCGGTGGCAGCAGCTTCGCCCTGCAGGAGGATACATTCACACAAGGAGAATCAAGAAAAGGAGAATTAAAGAGACGGAGAATCGGGCCACGGGGAACAGAGCGACACGTCAGCAGGGCCAACACCTCTAAACTGTTAGTCAGCTCTAAGCAATTATGTGGCCACCATACCTGTGTGACCATCACTCCAATTCAACCAACCTCAGCGTGCACGGTGACACATCTACACCCCACCCCACAGCATATGCAGCCCTTCCATTCTCAACACCTCACTTGCCTATGCATGCCAAAGGATTTTACGTCACTGCAACACGCTCTCACCTCTCTGCACCCATTCTTACCTCTCCTGCAGCATGCCATTGAGCTTCGCCAGAGCAGCCTCATCCTTGTCCTTATCGTCAGGCGTCACCAGCCCAAACACCCTCGCCTCCTCCTCCTTCCTCCTCTCCTCCTCATCCTCCTCCTTGCCCTCTCCCTCCTTCTCCTCCTTCTCATCCTTGCCCTCTCCCTTGCTCCCTTCCTTCCCATCCTCTTTCCTTCCTCTCTCATCTTTCGCCTCCCCTCCCTCTTCCCCTGCCTTTTCCCCATCAGCCTCTTCACTCTTCTCGTCCTTCCCATTCGCCTTATCCCCTTCGCCCTCTCCCTCCCCTGCCTTCCTGCCCTGGTCCGCCACCCCTTTCCTGGAAGCTTCGAGGGCGGCAAAGGAGGCTTTCCTGGAAGTTACCACGCGCTCTAGGTACTCCCTGGTGGCGGCATTTACGTTCAGCTGTTCCCACACAGTTGAGGTTGGGGAAAAGAGAAGGGAGAGGGGGGTTGGAAGAAAGCGGAGATGACGGAAGAGGGAGGAGAGGCAGGGGAGAAAAGGAAAACGGGGGAAATGAGGAGAATTGGGGAAAAGGGGGGAGGGAGGGGGAAGAGCACGCGAGATGCATTTACAGTAGCTCAGGCAAAGTGCACGTAGGGTGTGGATGGGCACACAACAGCAGCACGCATCAGGTTAGCAGCACACCCCCCTGCCAGCAGTACCCACCAGCAGGTTCTGGCCGTCGATTTCACGGCGGTTAAGCAGGTGCTGCAGGGCGTGCAGCACCCCGCAGGCCACCAGCAGCACACACCAACTAGATCAACCGCAGCAGCAATACCCACCCCAGCAGGATCACACACCCCCAACAGCACCCACCAGCAGGTTCTGGCCGTCGATCTCGCGGCGGTTGAGCAGGCGCAGGGCGCGCAGCACCCCATCAGCCGTCTCAAACTCGCAGAACCCAAACCCCTTGGGACTGCCGCTCGTGGGGTCCGACGCCCGCTTCCAGCTCCTCAACGGCCCGCACAGCTGAAAGGGTGGGGGGGGGGGGATGGGGAGTTGGGGGGAGGGAGGAGGGGGTAAGGGAAGGGAGCGACTGTGCTAGGTGCATGCCCCCCTTGGGGCTGCCGCTCGTAGGGTCCGATGCTCTCTTCCAGCTCCTCAACGGCCCGCACAGCTGGAGGGACGGGGGGTGGGGGGGGGTGTGGGGCGGGAGGAGGGGGTAAGGGAGGGAAGCGACTGTGTTACGTGCATGTCACCCTCCCTTGGGGTCCGACTCTCGCTTCCAGTCCAGCTCCTCAACGGCCCGCACAGCTGATACGGCTAGTTTTGAGGCGCCTCAAAACTAGCCCGCACAGCTGATACGGGGAGGGAGTGGGAAAAATGGGGGGAAGAGGGGCGTGTGGAAGGGAGGTGAGGGATCGGCTGTGTTACGCTCTCATGTTTGCGTGCCTGCACTGCCCGGTCCAGCATGTCAACCTTGGGTTGGGACTCCGCTTGTGATGAGACGAGTTTTGAGTCGACTCAAAACTCGTCTCATCACAGGTGGGGGATCGGCTGTGTTACGCTCTCATGTTTGCATGCCTGCACTGCCCGGTCCAGCCAGCATGCCAACCTTGGGACTCCCCTAAATTTATCCAACCCACCTTCCCCCTCCCTTCATCCCCTCCCTCCCCTTTCCTCTCCCTCTCCCAGCCCCTCCCCGCCCCTCCCCTTCGCCCCGTTTCCTCTCCCTCTCCCTTTTCCCTTCTCCGCCTCCCCCCTGTCCGTCCCCATCCGCCCTCACCTCCAGCAGCTTCACCACCAACGTATCGTCCACAGAGGGCGCAAGTTTCCCCACATACACAGTCGTCTGCGCCTTCTCCCCCCCCGCTCCCCCCGTCCCCCCCGCGCCCGCCCCTCCCCTCGACGCAGCAGCCGCCAGGAACGAGCTCAGAGGCGCGCTTCCCCCATGCGGGGGCGTGGGGAGGCGCATGTTGGGCGGAGGAAGGGAGGGCGGACGCGCCAGGGCGTGGGGGAAGGGGCTGGGCGCGCGGGGCATGCCGGGGAAGGGGAAGGGGAGGGGGGAGGCGCCGGGGGGCGGGCGGAAGTGGTGCATTGGGGCTCCCGGGGGCGGGCGCATGAAGATGAAGTGATGCATTGGCATGCCTGGTGGGGGAAAAGGGGGTGAGGGAGGGGGGGGGAGGGGGAAGTGGGGATAGGAGGGGAGGTGGGGTTGGGAGGAAAGAGGAGGGAAAGGGGACAGAGAGGATACATCACTACAAAGCGAACCTTGTACATTGTATGGCATGTAAAAGCCATTGATAACACCGTATGCAAATGTACACTAGCGTATGCGAACGTTTATGACCATATGCTGATGAATAATAGGGTATGCTAATTAGTATTCCAGCATGCGGATGAATATTACTGTATGTGATACATCATACATCAATGCCGCATGTAAATGAACACTACGTACACACATGAATACCATTATACCAACCTGCGCGGATGGAAAGCTGTTGATCATACATGGCCCACCAACGGTACCCATCTTACCAGATAGTCCGTGGGGTTATCTGCCCGCCTGCCTGCCTGCCTGCTTGCCTGTCCGCCTGCATGCCTGTCACGGACTGGTGAATCACTCTACAAAAACTGCTGCAGCAATTCTTCCCACAATCGCAAGTGACGCACAAACTCAGAAAGCCAACGCTGGGATATTCAAAGCCCTCACTCCTGTAACGAAACCTCTCTTACCGGATAATCAGTGTAGGTGACTGGCTCTCTGTCTGCTCGCATTCCCCGCATGCGCTTGCCTGTCACGAGCTGGCAGAAGGCTCATCCCGCCTTACATGCAGGATTACTTAAGTACCTCGATACTTCGAATTTGAAACCGCACTGGATACAACCTGGCCTGGCCTGTACTGGAGAGAGAGTCAGCCCACTGCTCCTTACATGCACTAAGGAAAGGACACTATTAGCGTCTCCTTTCTTTGGCTTGTGCCCTCCCACACAACAAGTCTACGACACGCTACTTATGCAAAGGGCGTTCAAACTGAACGCTGGCTGATGTGACGGCGCTTTAGGGCACGGAGGTAGGAGTGGGACGTGGTGAGGAACGGTGAATGAGAGAACGGTGCGGAGAGGTGACAAAACGGAGAGGAGGGAGAAGAGAGGACGGGTGCACGACGAGATGAGGAGACGGGCAGGAGAGGAGAAGGAGACGATGGAGGGATGGCGACGATACGATCACGAGGCGTCGGGTACAACGAGAACGGTTGGAGGGGACAGGAGGAAAGCATAACGACCAGACAATCTAAGCAGAAGTCATACCATGATGTGGGTTTGAAGGAGTTGAATCGGCATGGCAGCATCAGCATGGCAGCATCAGCACCACCACTCATCCATACGGACGCGTGACTGTGTGCAAAGAGAAAGAGCAGCGCTCGGTTCCCCATATTAGGGTTTCCTTCCCGTCTCCTTAACTCAGAATCACGGCGAGCATAAACTGAATCCACCGAGAATTACGCTAGGGTAAACAGATAACGTTCTACAGATCTAAGCCGAGTGGAACTTGAGAATCGGTGAGGAGAGTGAAACAAAATCAAAACTTGCGGCGGCTCTACCTGGGGGGGGCATGGATCGCATCCCCATGGGAGGCGGAGGCGCGCTCGCATAGCCTGAAGTGGACGGCGGCGCGCCCATACCCATGGGCCGGCCGGCAGACGGATATCCCGACGGCGGCACGGGTCCACCTCCTCCTCCTCGCCCCGCTCCGCCGGCCTGATTGCCGTCGCCGCTGCTCATTGCCTTCTCGCGACGGCTTCACCCACCGACGCGTGTCGACAGCTGTGGGACTTCGGGGTCGAGTCCAAGCAGCAGGATGGAACTCGATAGTCGTCGCATGCAGCTAACGGGAATTCGTGGTGTGACAAATCGTTTTTGCCGTCGTAGGCCTAGCCAACAAACCTAAAATCAATGCAAAGAAATCCGCGAGACTCGAGGGTTGTCGCTCAATAGGGAGCAGATTTCAAGGTTTCTGAAAACCTCGAGAGACTGGCCGAAGTGATCCAACGGCTGAACAAGAACATCAAGATTCTGATATGTAAATTTTAGAGCGCGTTCTTGATATCTAAACCTCGGTTTGAGATTGTCAACAATGCACATGATGAATCAGCCGTCTGTAGCATGTATTGGTGCAAATCTCGTCGTCCAGTAGCACAAGGTCTCGGTTACGAGAGTCGTGGCGAAACCGGGTGCGACCTGCGAAACGTGGTTCCTGAAAATGCCACAATTTGCCCGTAGCAATTTGGCGAATCAAAACAAAAACTTTTGGTAGATTTCAGTCTGAAGGTTTTCGCGTGAATTCTGCAATTTTGATAACGCATTCCCACAAAGTTATGAACGAGGAAATTTGAATTTGAAACTCGAACCGAAACTCCAAGCTGCGACGAACCCGAGGCACAGGCGGCAATCCCAAGGCTGTTTTTCATTTTGACAGCCTTCTCTCCCTCTCTCAATCCCGGGCCGGAACTTCTCACCTGCGCTGCGATCATGCCCGCGACCAGCAGCGCACTTTGCGCCGGAAAGGCGTTTTTACCGCCTGCTGTAGCTTCCTGTTCGCTTTTGCGAGCGCGATTGTCCGGTAGCCAATCAGCCGTTCCAGAACTGTGCGTATCGAGATCGCGGCTCGCAGCTTTCCCCGCTGCTTGGTCTATTCGCCTGCGTCCCTCAACTGTCGCCGTTTCTTCCGCTCCGTGCCGTCACTCTCGCGGCGGGCTAGCTCGCTGCTCCTTGCGGACCAGCGACCCAACCATGGATCGCCACGTGTACGCTCTGGATTTCGACGGCGTTCTGTGCGACAGCTGCGGGGAGAGCTCGCAGTCGGCTTTGAAGGTGAGGCGCGGAGATCCCAAGGGAGGCAGCGCGAATCGACGACTAATGATGAGTCGAGGCGAGGAGAATTGCAGATAGATGGATCCAAAGAGAGTCGAGGAGATGATGACATCGAGGGAAGGTGACCTGAGTGGGGTGATTGCAACGAGCAGAGGAGTGAGTAACGGTGTATGAGGTGACTATAACGAGCGTACGAGTGAGTGACAGTATACGACGTAACGATAACAGCCCTTTTGCCAGTCTCCACAACTGTCTTCCGATTGTCCACAATTCACCCAATCAATCCCCTACTTCCCCTTTTCCCCCCTCCTTTCGTCATTGCCGACACTTCATGTGCTCACCACAGGCTGCCAAGGTGCGGTGGCCGTCACTCTTTGCTGACGTGTCTGCTGACGTGGAGGAGACGATCCTGATGCAGATGAGGGAGGTGAGGCGAAGCGAGGCGAGGTGCGGTGAGGTGAGGCGAGGTGAGGCGAGGTGAGGTGAGGTGAGGCGAGGTGAGGTGAGGTGCGGTGAGGAGGAGAGATGTGGAGCGTTCAGGCGTCAGCAGATCTGACGCTGACTGAAGAACTGACTTGTGATTGAGCAGGAACTTGGCTGTGAGCCTTGGCTATGGCATTTGGTGGAGGGAGGGAGGGACCTAAGGAACCGGTTGCCAGAGTCTCTCGCCTCTCATGATGCACGTGGCGACGGCACCACGTGGTGTGGTGCAGCCTGTGCAGGAGTACAGCTGGTGTAGTTGCTTCTTATTCTGAAATCGGGGGAATGTGAGAACCCAAGCATATAAGAATCTGAGTTCGTGAAATGGCTAAGTGTGAGAATGATATGATGGTGTGAGAATGCTTCCAATGTGTGTGAACTCTTTGACTGCAGGTGCGGCCAGTGGTGGAGACGGGGTATGAGAACATTCTGACTTTTGAGTCGACAAGAGTAGGAAGAGTTTCGACCGCAGCAAGCCCACGGATCTCGCGTCAGTAAAAAACTAAGACTATTTTACGCGTACTAGGGGTAACGTAGGTAGAGATCGTAAAATTGGGTAGAGTAGAAGACAAGTAGTCAACTAGTAATTCTGACATGGGGTATGAGAACATTCTGAATTTTTTAGTCGACTCAAAAGTCTCCCAATGTGTGTGAACCCATTCACTGCAGGTGCGGCCAGTGGTGGAGACGGGGTATGAGAACATTCTGCTGGTGCGCCTGCTGCTGGAAATGGCATGTGAAGACAAGCGCCAGTCCCAGGTGAAAGGCACAGAATTTAGTATCAGGTGAAAAGAACAGAAAAAAGCTGTGACATGAAAAAATCCATGGGTCTATGTACATGTGAAGTCATGTTGCGTGAGGGAACCAGGAGAAGCGATGAGCATATTCATGTTCATATGCACATACATATGCACATACATATGCACATACATATGCACATACATATGCACATACATATGCACATACATATGCACATACATATGCACATGCATATGCACATACATATGCACCCGGACATTCACATGCACATGCACGTTCCTCTTTCTTTAGAAGCTTTCACGCATTCCTTCCCGTCGTGGCTCACATCACTCCCTTCACTCCCCTCACTCTCCTCTCTACCATTGCTCCCCTCACTCCTCTCTCAGCCCCCCATCAGTTGTCCAAGTCAGGCAAACTCAACCTAGAGGCGATCCTGAGTGGGTGAGAGCGCGAAATCAAGCCGGCGGTGATGGCGGAGTGGGGCGAGGAGGGGCGGAGGGAGGAGCTGGTGGAGCTGTTTTGGGCGGTGAGGGACGAGTGGATGCGCCACGACCTGCCAGCAGTGATGGCGGAGTGGGACCAAATCCCCTCCCCTCACTTCCTCTTCCTCTTTCCCCGCTATCTCTCGCGCACTGCCCCCTGGCCTGGCTCTCATCACTCCCCTCAAACTCCCCCCACTGCCCTCACTGCCCTCACTGCTCGCATTGCCCCCTCATCAGCTGTCCAAGTCAGGCAAACTCAACCTAGAGGCGATCCTGAGCGGGTGGGAGGGGGAGATCAAGCCAGCAGTGATGGCGGAGTGGGGCGAGGAGCGGCGGAGGGAGGAGCTGGTGGAGCTGTTTGGGGCGGTGAGGGACGAGTGGATGCGCGACGACCTTCCTGGGTGGATTGCGGCCAATGGCATGTATACCGGCGTGCCTGAGGCGCTTCAGAAGGCAGAGTGCCCGTTGTATATAGTCACCACAAAGCAGGTGTGTGTCTCTATCGTTTGCGCTGAAAATGCCCCGCACTGTGATCACGCCAGCGACGATACTCCCCATTCGCATCCGTGCACACCTGCACACTCCCCCCCACCCACCTCCGCTACCTTGCTCTGCCTTGCACTGTGTGTTTCCACTTCTTTGTATCACCACCAGTTTGTTTGACTGGTGAGCAATTTTTTCAGAGTAACTTCAGCGCATCCCTATTCAACACCCGCCCCTACTTTAAGGGTGGTTGATGTTTGAAACATTTCAGAAGCTAACTTCTCTGGGGCTCTTTGTCCTCCCTGTGCGCCCCGTCCTGTGTCCCCAGACCCGCTTTGCCCTCGCGCTGCTGCGCGAACTGGCAGGCGTTGATTTCCCAGAAGACAAGGTCTTCGGGCTTGGTACCGGGTGAGTGGTGTCAATAGGTGGGTACTATCGACCCAACTCAGCAGGGATGACTTTTGAGTCGACTCAAAAGCCATTCTGAGTCGACTCAGAAGTCATTTTGAGTCAACTCAGAAGACAAGGTCTTCGGGCTTGGTACCGGGTGATTGGTGCCAGCAGGGAGGTACTATAGACACAACCCAACAGGGATGGGTACTGGCTCAAGGACTATGGAGAGCGTGTGGGAGAGGGACCTGTTGGGCAAATGGTACACTCTCGCAATCTTTATGGGTGGGCAGAAGAGCATGAGAAGCCCGATGTTGTTGGGCCCATGCAACAACAGACCTTGTTACCTGGCCTTATGCGCCATGGTTTCCCATACAGACCCATCCTTCCCACATGCTTGCACCATGCCTTCTACTTCATTCCCACACTCCTCTAGGCTGGGAAACAGCCTCCCGTCCATCCAATCCTAATCCTCCACACCTAGGGGTCAGATAATGCGCGGCCCTGCCTCGCTCCCTTGTCTCCTCCAGGCCCAAAGTGCAGACGCTGCAGCACCTGCAGTCGCTCCCTCAACACCAAGGCTGCTCCTTTCAGTGCGTCCCCTTTTTCCGTACATTACTTGCACGTTTCTGCGTGTTTCTTATCCACAAATCTGGTTATGTCTTCAATGGTTCCCGCCTTTTTCGTCTTTGGTGGCTTTCAGCAGCCGAGTGCGTGCCTCCTCACAACTCTCATGCTTGCCTCACCCCTTGTTGCGCTGATTCCACGGCAGCTTTGTGGAGGATCGACTAGCCACGCTGCGCAATGTCATCAGCACACCACAATTGGACGGGTGGCATCTCTACCTAGGTACGGTTGTCGCCATGCTTTGTGCTGTCACCGCCACACTGTTTGCTCAGTTTCGGTCATTCACTCTTCTCTACAACAGCTCTGCCGTCGCACAATCATTCAGTCAGTTCGTCACTCTGTTGTGCGAACATCCTGTTGGTCCTACTTCCTTTCGTTCCCCAACCCCAACTCTATCCACCCACCTGGTGCAACGTGTGTTTCTCCATGTCCTTGCAGGCACATGGGGCTACAACACAGAGCAGGAGAGGCAAGAGGCAGCACAGGTTCACAGAATCCAGATAGTGGACCTGCCTGACTTCTGCGGCAGCCTAAAATGAAGAAGCGGCCTTGCGATTAGTTGGATTTCTTTGTTGACCCAATCGTTGTTACGGTATCCAAGATGAATGTGATTCATTTGTCAGTAGTACTCCCTCCAAAAAATCCGATACACTTGGTTTACATCGTACTACTCTTTTGGGCATGACGTGCCCATCCCACTAGGTCAAAATTGGCATCTCTAGTCATGCAACAGCTCATTGCCGCCAACCTGCCAGGACAGTTCAGTGGTTAACCTTGCGATTGAATCACTTTCTTAGCCCAATTTGATACAATACAGCAATGCATCAGTAGGCAGCCAGACCATTATCACAAATGGCAAGACTAAGCACTTTGTTGTACTCTTGATTGCAACCTCTCCCTCTCCCTTGCAAGCTGTCAATGAAGGGACCGAAATGGGAGGGCAGGGCCGGCACAGCAATGTGGGGAAGGTGAAAATGACGCTGTAAGAGTGCATACAAATGGGCAGGGCATCAGGGCAATAGGTATTGGTTGCATGGCAAAAGTTGGGATGGAGAGGTAGGGCACACCTATTAGAGCATACACATTAGTCACTTTCCCTCGCTTTCACTCCCCTCCTTTTTCATCCTCTGTCGCCCTGCAATGGTCACTCTTATACTCACTCTTCCTTCTTCTCCCGCTAGCCTACTATGTCATCTGCCATTTCTTCCCCCCCACCCCCCAACCCCCCCCCCACCCACCCCAGATTCACACTCAGTCCATCTCCTTCCCCATCTCTCCATTCATGAACGCATTGTAAGATACTTTGTCTCCTTCATTTCGGTCACATTTGCTTTCCAGCCATTCAAACAGTCTGAACTTGTTGTCCCAGTTCCCTGGTAGACAGTGACAGACTGAGACCAGGGAACGAGAAATGCAGGTGTTGCTATGAATTATGGAAAGAAAATTACTTACCACTTTCCTCACTCGTTCGTTGGCTTCAGGCGAGCCTCCAGTCACATTCTCTGGCCTATATGGACTCGGAACCTGAACCTCGTCCATGACAATGATTTTTGTCTTGTCCCATTTGCAAGGTAACCTGCATCCGAATCACAGCATGAGTCAGGAGAATGTGGAAACGGGGTAATGCAATCTAGGAGTCAACTACAGTTAGCCTGCAGCCGAGGTTTATGAAGGCATCTCACGTTTTACAAAGGGCAAAGAATATGTCTTGAGCCTCTGCAGTTACCCCGACTCCTATTCTTTCCGCTTCACCCTCCGCTTTCCTGTCATCAGCCAGACAAAGCATTCAGAGTTGAATCCTGGCTGATTTCGAAATGCACACGCAAACACCCTTAGATTCTGGAGTTATCTAGGTTTTACCTGACAGCGGCGTCCTCCTTCGCGTGCAATACTGCTAGGTCTACATACGGAAGACGAAGGGAAGCGATCTCCTCTGTTCTACCCAAAACGGAGAACTCCTCGATCCGATCGGCCTTTATAAATCGTATGTTCCTCTTCGGTCCCCGGCTGTTTAGATCTTGTGTGCAACGAGTTAAGGAAGAAACCCTAGAACGATGGAGTGGAAGAGAAGAAAGCAGTTTGCGTACAAGACAGGATCCAAGGCAATTTCAAAACATCAAAATGGAATTGTAGAGCAGGAATGGGAGAGAAGTAAGTGAAAGGGTGAGTTGTTGAAAGGATATGAAGTATGACGCAATCTGTGGAGGCATCGAACGCGAGGACCTCCCCTTCCAGCTGCTCCCCTAAGGTCGTCTTCAGTTTGAGCTTGCAACCCACTTCGAAGCCGCTGCCGGGGCCATCCATGAAAGAAGATGAGGAATCAGCGGGTATGCCTGCAGGACCAGACTTTCATTCCCTAATTAGCACCGAATGCATTCCCAGGAGATGAAGGATCCACCTGTTGCGACCATAACACCAACCAAAGAGGAAACTAGTCTCTGCAAAATTTACTTCCACTAACAGATGCAGACCAGCAGAATCTGCTAACTTCCACTCACAGATGCAGACCAGCAGAATCTGCTAGCTCTTCCTTTTTGCTAGCTTCAAGCCCATCCCCGTACGTCTCTTGGCCTGGAGCCTGGATCATCGTTTCACCCGACGATCTCAACAACCGTGGCTCACAACCACAGCAACAAGCTGCTGAGCTACACTTGAACGGCTTTATACATCAATTTATATATCATAAGGATTTGTTTTTTTTTCTTCAGGCTGCTGGATAAACCTGTAAATCTCCTGTTGCGTTTTCTGTTACGAATAGTGATTATTGAAACACTATTGTGCACTCCTCACCGTAGTAAGCGAAGCATGTACTACCGAGGACGAAGATGAAAGGGCGGAAGTAATGCGAAGGGACGCACGGTTACGAGGAGCATCTGGACCGTCGGGCAGACAGCATCAGGCAGCAGCAGTGGCGAGGATTCTGCGCGAACAGTTCCGTAACTGTCTGGAGTCGCACGGTTGGACTTCGCTGCAATAAGGGAATGTGCCCCTTAGAGTACATGGCTAGTTAGGTCGTTTCGAATTCCCTTGTAATCCTATTTATATTTCTTGTACTGCATGTTTTTATTATCTCAAGCATTTACATTCACTCTGCTATTGAGGTCAAGGGCCCACCACCACTAGACTACAACTGTGTCAACCTTCCTGAGGTGATCCTGAGGGCGATCAACTTCTAATCGCATCATGGTATGAGAGCGACTCAGGAATCCTTCGCACTGCCACCTCCGAAATCTACGACATTCGGAAAGTGGCGTCCGGCACACGATCGCGTGTAAGAATGGCCGGAGGATCTGGAGGTCGGACGAATCTGACGGCTGAAGCGCAGCCCAACCCGGCTGCGACAAGCGAGGAAACGACGACAATCCCGTCCGTCGTCCTCGCACAACTGCTTCAGCGACTCACGAGCCTGGAGCAAGGGCTCCAAACATTGCTGAATGGCGATGCGGGAACATCTTCCCAACCCACTCAACTGGCCTCGAACGGCCAGAACTCCGCCCCGCAAGGCTTCTCTCTTTACACAAACGGCTCAACACCCAAGACTCCCTGTCCCAGCGATGAAGCAATTCTCTCTGCGCAATCAAGGTTTTTAAGCATATCACTAGCAAGAATGAGGATACAAATAGCAAACCCTAGAAGGATTGTACTCGCTATAGAGCACCCCACTACAGGCTAGACCATAATATTCTGACAGGTAGAGTTAGGAGCCATAGCTAGGTAAGTCCTAGCTAGGCAAGAGAAGTTTAGGCAAAAGAGAAAGAGTTCATTAGCAGCAATGAGGATACATATAGCAAACCCTAGATGGGTTGTACTCGCTATAGAGCACCCCACTACAGGCTAGAGAATAACATTCTGACAAATTCCAGCTTCGACGAATTTTCGCCTGCACTGCGACAATCAGAGCGCGATCAGGATCGCGAACAAGCCGGGATTCGTCAATCGGACCAAACACATCGCGCTGCGGTACTTCTTCGTCAAGGACGAAGTTGACAAGGGCAAGGTTGACCTAACTTACTGTCCGACGGGTGACATGGCAGCTGACTTCCTCACGAAGAAGCTGTCACGTCAGCAGTACCAGCACTGCTCCGAACTCAGCGGGGTAGTCAAGCGGGTCAAGACTCGCTACGGCCAGGAGTGAAGGGGGGTGTTACGAATAGTGATTATTGAAACACTATTGTGCACTCCTCACCGTAGTAAGCGAAGCATGTACTACCGAGGACGAAGATGAAAGGGCGGAAGTACCGGTAATGCGAAGGGACGCACGGTTACGAGGAGCATCTGGACCGTCGGGCAGACAGCATCAGGCAGCAGCAGTGGCGAGGATTCTGCGCGAACAGTTCCGTAACTGTCTGGAGTCGCACGGTTGGACTTCGCTGCAATAAGGGAATGTACCCCTTAGAGTACATGGCTAGTTAGGTCGTTTCGAATTCCCTTGTAATCCTATTTATATTTCTTGTACTGCATGTTTTTATTATCTCAAGCATTTACATTCACTCTGCTATTGAGGTCAAGGGCCCACCACCACTAGACTACAACTGTGTGAACCTTCCTGAGGTGATCCTGAGGGCGATCAACTTCTAATCGCATCATTTTCCTCACGTGCTTGCCATTTCTCATCAATTGTATCAGCCAAATGTATACTTCTGATATCTTTGTATTGCTGTGTAGTATTGATAAATATTTGATTGAATCTGATTTTTTATTACACAGAAAATGTTGCTTTGCTTATTCATTATAGATATGTCGAAAGGTTTCTGCATGCCGAAATCCTCTGAAAGTCATATTCAGACTACAAGCAGTTTCTTCCCGCATCATAATCAGTTTATACACTGAAAGGTCTCTTACTGCAAATATTCCGTTTATTCTCCCCGAAATCCGATCGACACCTCAGTGGATATCAGCACGAACCTAAGCCGTCAGATCCTTCCCCCTTGCACACTGCCTGCATCATCCTTGGAGGTTGAACTCCATTGGCTGTTCCTGTCCAGCCGAATTCCTAGGGCTGGTTCAAGGGCTATCAGCAATGCCCTGCCCTGCTCGCACATTTCATGGCAGTCCCAACCAGATTTCAGCCACATTTCACTCCATCATTCATTCCAATCCCAAATCCTTAGCAGTTAGTCATCCTGTTGGGACCAGGATTCTGCTTCTAGTGTTGCGCAAGTTCGTCTCGAACATGGCTGCGATTTCTCAAGCCTCCCATGCAGCTGCTCTTAGAGTTCGGTCACAGTCTCCTGGCGTAAGCCACAGCAGCGGTGGTTCATCTTGCCGTCAGGTTCGTTACGCTAATGTTTGACCTTTATTGATCGCGAAGGCTTACTTGGTCAGTGAATTGATGGTCCTTATGCTTGACTGGTCCAAGTGCTCTGGCTCATCGTTTATCTCTCTCTGATAGAACTCGCATTGTAGCTCGCTGACCTTATTCTACCTCAGGCTGTTCGCGACTTACCGTCCTGATTACCTCGCATTGTCTGGCCTTTTCGTCTAACCACCGCATAATTCCTGTTACTCGCTTTAGCCACACTACTGCGCGCTATTCTGAATGCATCTGCACCGTCGTCTGTCGACTTGCATCCCTCCTGCGTCTATTCGGCCCGTCAGAGACCATCCAGCGCAGCTTTCAGTCGCTCGTTTCAGTCGACGACGCGCCAGCAAGCATGCAGCAGCAGACGCCAAGCGGCACTCGTGCATGCATCGACCGTAGCCACCGACCTGAAGCAGGTGAGTGTTGGTGATGGTATATTGTACTAGCAGGTGAGTGTTGGTGATGGTATATTGTGCTGGACAAGGTAAAGTTTAGCTGGTGAGAGTCAGTGATGGTGAATAGTACTAAGGTTACTTTTGGGAAGAAAGTGGCTTTTGCTTAATGCCCTGGTAACTTAGTTCGTGGCAAGTTTGAGCAACAACAAGTTTCCATCTTGGCATTGGCAGGCGTTGCAGCAGCATCAAGACTTCGAGGACCAACATGAAGAGCCTCGGTGCTAGCTAACAGCAGCCTTGTAAAATGCATTTCCATGCAGAACCACACAACTGTTTCTTTCTCCTGTGTACTCTCTCCTCACTTGGTCTCCTCTGTCATTGACGCCATTCACGCCGTTGCTGCTCCCCCAGGTGATTCAGCAGCTAATAGAGCGCAAGGACCTGACACAGGAACAGGCGCAAGCGGCAATGGAGGGTCTCATCGCGGGAGCAGAGGCGGCGCAGATCGGCGCCTTCCTCGTGCTGCTGCGCGCCAAGGGGGAGACGCCTGAAGAGGTGAGCACGGAGGATTTAAAATTTGAAGGAAGAGACGGTTCGGGGTGGCTGATGGTGAGAATGGATGATGTGAGTGGGAGTGAAGCAGATGAGGTGGCGGACACAAAGCACGAATTCTGACCTCCTTCAGCCTGGTAGCTCTCTTCTTTCTGGCACGCAAAGCCTATTAGTAACAGGAGAAGGTGGCAACTGAAGGTGGTAACAACAACAGGTGGTGGTAAACAACACCAAATCTTCTCTTTCTGAGGCGTTTGGGTGAACCCAGGAGGAGGAAAACAGCACAAGGTGGTTGTAGTAGTAGCAGCGGGTGGTAACAGCAGAAAAGAACATGCTGGCTGAAGAGGATTCATTTTTCTCCCGAACGGTCCTTGCATTAATATAAGCGACAGTATACAGACATGCATGAGAGTACCTTTGCAAAACGTGCAGTAACACAAAACAATAGATAAAACACCCTACCTGCCAACCCCCTCTAAGGGAGTTCTAGTGCAGGTTCTAAAATGGCGAGGCAGTCCCCAAGGAGCAGGGCCTCGCCTGGGGCAGCCACCGGCGGGTTCTCTGCCGCCAAATTGCACCGGCCGCCAAATTGCACGTGGGCTTTTGGATTGGTATCACATTGTCTCTAGGTGGCGGGGCGGGCGGCGGCCATGAGGAGCATGTTTGTGGAGGTGGCATCAGGGGACAACACACACCTTTGCCATGGGGCTAGATTCCTCCCTTTCTCCCTTCCACTCTTTTCTTTATCTTCAGGTGGCAGGGCTGGCGGCGGCCATGAGGAGCATGTGTGTGGAGGTGGCAGCAGGGGACGACACGTTGGACATAGTGGGCACGGGGGGCGATGGCTTTGACACTGTCAACATCAGCACTGGCGCCTGCGTGCTCGCTGCTGCCTGCGGTGCCCATGTCGCCAAGGTGTGTGGGTCTGGCTGGCAGGACAGTAGTTGGGTTCGGCACGCCAGGGCCTTGCTAAATTGCTTGCGCTTTCCCCACTTGGGGTTTGGCGCTCGATGCACACAAGAGTGTTGATGGGATTCTAGCTGCTGATTTACTACGCTGTACGCCCCCCCTCACCCCATCCTGCCCGCCCTTGCCCCTGGAGCAGCACGGCAACCGCTCGGTGTCGAGTGCATGTGGCAGTGCGGACGTGCTAGAGGCCCTCAATGTCGAGGTGGACCTCGGTCCTCAGGTCAGAGCTGGGGTGAAAGGACCTTGGTGCCTGGATATGGGTGGAGTGGAACGGAGTGCAGATGATGTGTAAGGGATTAGGTGTTCTTTTATATATCAATGTTTGACTATGTGTTTTTCTGCTCCGACTCGAACGTTTTCTACCTGCCAAAAATCTGGTCTTACTTCATCGCTTAGCTTTCTCCCCTTGCTGATTCACTGTTCCACCCTTTTGACAAGTCTCAATTGTAACCACCATTTCTCTTCCCCACCCCACCAGGCAGTGGCGCGCTGTGTGCAGGAGGCGGGGGTGGGCTTCATGTATGTGTCCTGCTTTCACCCCATTTGAATCACCTCCAACCATCTTTCCTCCTCCCATCTCTCCATCCCCCTTCCGTACCTTTCTCCCCTTCCATCCCTCCATCCCCCTTCCATTCCTTTCTCCCCTTTCCATCCCCCCCCATCTCCCTTCCATCCATTTCTCCCCCTTCCATCTCTCCCATCCCCTTCCATCCCTTTCTCCCAATTTCATCCCTTCCTCCCCCTTCCATCCCTCTCTTCAGCCCACCAGGCAGTGGCGCGCTGTGTGCAGGAGGCGGGGGTGGGCTTCATGTACGCCCCTCGCTTCCACATAAATCCCACTTGACCCCCTTCCTGTATTCCCGTCGCTGTTCCCCTCCCCACCCCACCAGGCAGTGGCGCGCTGTGTGCAGGAGGCGGGGGTGGGCTTCATGTATGCACCGCGCTTCCATCCCGCCATGCGCATCGTGGCTCCCGTGCGCAAGGCACTCAAAGTCAGAACCGCATTCAACCTCCTCGGACCCATGCTGAACCCCTCCTTCGCCCCATACGCCCTTGTGGGAGTCTTCAACCCGGAAACTGTGCGTATCCGAGCATCCTGAAATCATAACCTCGAAGCCCACGAATAGGTCAGCACTGAGCCATTGAGTGCTACGTTACCTCTGCAGGCCTTTCAAACACTGTCTAGATCTTACCGTGTATACAGTCTTTCAATATGGGAGTTGTAAGGTGCTTCAAAGGTAGAGTGGCTGACAGGGTGACCTGGGCAAACTGTTTCGGTTTGGGTTCAGGTGACCCTCACGAGACATGTGAAGTTTGCAATTTGCAGAATCTACATGCCCGGGGATTTTTGCAGTTACTCGGTAAGGTCAACAGACTGCAAGCATTGTGTAACCTTCCGCACTCCGCTCTTCATCCCTCCCCTCTGCACCCCTCTGCACCCACCAGGTGGACCTCATGGCGCGTTCGCTGCAGCGCCTGGGCATCCGCAGAGCGCTGGTGGTGCACTCCAAGGGGCTCGATGAGATCTCCCCCATGGGTCAGTCCACCTACCCGTACAAATCTAGATCCACATGACAGTACCATGGGACAATGCCACACCCCTATGATGTGGGGCCCCTGAAAGCATGAACTTTTGGTGTGTCAAATGTTTTTCCCCTGCAGCATCTTCTCAGAAATGATCTCAAAATATCAGCTCAGCACTGTGAGTTCTCGTCCGATCCGATGCTGTCCAACAGCTTCTCCTACTGCTTCTCCTTTCCCCCACAACCTACCAGTGTCTTCCATGAAACCCTTTGACCTGTTCTTTCGGGTCTGTCTGTCTCACTCCTCCATCCCCTCCCACCCTGTCCCTCCCCCCCTGCATCCTTACAGGTCCGGCAGACATGCTTGAAGTGACACAAGACTCGGTTCGCCCCTTCCGTGTCGACCCATGTAAGCACTTCCATACCTGACTCCGTGTCGACCTCCTGCACTCCATGTATGCATGATGAGAATTTCCTGTTGTGCCACTGCTTTCCGATTTACATCCATACATTTCTTCTCACACAGCATGGACCAGTTCATTTCTGCGCCCTCTTCTAACGCCAAGCTCTCAATCGTTCCCAAGCATCTTCAACCTGATTCACACATTTATACCCTGTGCAGTGGACTGTAGCACAACGTGTTAAAACGTAGAGGATTATGGAGGGCGGATGCTGAGACTCGAGTGTTAACTCGATTGTTGACCTCCTCCCCTCTACCCAACACCACGCACCCTACGCTGAGCAGTGGACTACGGCATAGCGCTGTGCAGCATAGAGGACCCCAAGAGCAGCAAGCTCTGAGAATATGCCATGCCATAGAGGACCCCATTGACCCGCCAATAGACTCTAGCGCCTTCCATTGTACCTCTTTCACACGTTCTTAATCCTGCCCTGACCAGACGGCATAGCGCGGTGCAGCATAGAGGTCCCCAAGGAGGGGGGACAAGCTCTGAGCATGTCTCATGTACCCACCTGTAGACTCTAACCACTTCCCTTGTGCCCTGATTCACACACCCGCGCCCTTGGCAGTGGACTACGGCATAGCGCGGTGCACAATAAAGGACCTCAAGGGCTGCAGATTCTGAACATGTCACAAAGACGTGCCGTCGACTCTGATGGTGTCCCTTGTACCCTGTGTCGAACATTCTTCTGTCTCCCCCGTGGCAGTGGACTACGGCATAGCGCGGTGCACAATAGAGGATCTCAAGGGCGGGGACAAGGCACTCAACGCGCAGCTTCTCAGAGACGCCTTTGGCGGGCAGCAGGGGGCCATCGCTGATGCGCTCGTGAGTGCCAGGGAGGGCAGCGGGGAGAGTGCGTGAGAAGAGGGTTCTGGTTGCCCATGGCCTAAAGCAATGTGGGTGAAGTCCCAGCTCTTTGTGACATGTAGGGAGTGCATGGCGCTGAATCAGATGAGAAAAGGCCTGGCTGCAGCTACAGTACCATAAGCCAGCGACTGCCTGCTTCCGTTTCCCTCACTCTCACATCCTTCTCCTCACTCTCCGTCGTCTCCTCTCCCACCCCTTCATAATTCCCCTCAGAAGCTCCTTTTGAACCTAGCATGTGGGCTGGAGTCTCACAGCAAGTTGACTTTTGAGTTGACTCAGGATTCTCACAGCACGTGGAGCAACCAGCAAGCCCACACAGGGAAGGCCCATGCCACAGCATCATTCGTTACCCCACGTTCCTGGTTCTTCGCTCCTCTCGCCCCTTCCCCACCCTGCAGGTGCTGAACGCGGGCACGGGGCTGGCAGCGTGTGGGGTGGCAAGGGACGTGGGTGAGGGCATAGCCATGGCGCAGGAGGCGCAGCGCAGCGGCAAGGCCCTCCATGTGCTTGACCAATGGGCCGCCCTCTCTCAGGTGACCAATGGGCCGCCCTCTCTCAGGTGACCAATGGGCCGCGCTCTTTGGATGTGTTTCTTGCGGTAAACTCTTTCATGGGTGCATGAGGCCGCTCCTGTGCCCGCCACCTCCCTTCCCAACCACATATCGTTTTCCTGCCTTTCTCTCTCCCTCTCCGTATCTCTGCATCTCCCTGCCCCTCTGTCCCCCTTTGATGCATGGTTCTCCGTCAAACAGGAGCTCAAGAAGGCTGAGCAACTTGCAGTTGCATGAGATGGGTTATGACGATAAATAATCGTAGCGGCTTTGCAACAATAGATTTGTACTTATTTGGCACATTGTTGCTGTTTTTATTGCATCGAATCAGTTCCACCTGTTCCATCCAGGCTACCAGTTCCACACGGTCCCTGCCAACATGGTCAGCACTGCTACTGTTGATGTTTTTTTTGCAAGGCAGGAGCCGGAAAGAGAAAGGGCAGGAGTGGGAAGGTGAAAGCTGGAGAGGAGCAAGGCACCTGTTGTTGGTGCTGCAGAGGGCTCCAAAGCAACGAAGAAGCAGAAGCAGCTGCAGCACAGCAAGGAGCATGGTTCAGGTGTAGGGGCAGCTATGGAGGCGAGGTGACATGAACAACACTGGGACGACTGGGTCAAACAGCAAGCAGCAATTAAGGCTGCTGCAGTAACCGCAATTGTCCTCCCTTGTGCCTGGTTCCAGTACGGTACATTAGAGCCTTTAATTTTCTTGCCACAACTGAACGTGCATCCAGTTGATGATAAAACGACTTCTCTTCATCAATCGAAACTCTGGTTTTACTAAGATGGACAGTGGAATGAGCAGTTACATCTAGTATAGTACCGCTCCTATCAACTCATCAGAATGTATCGCCTCATGCCCATCCAAACATTGGCCGGGCTTTTATTCACTGCGTTGCACACCACCATGCCAAGGCGGCTGCATTATTTGCAAGCACTCTCGTGCAGCACACGTCCGCGTTACAGCGCATCTCGTTAGAAGTTGGTGCCGCTCTCGTAGGTCTTCCCGCTGCTCCACTTGCTCGGAATCACGTCTTGCAGCACCACCTGCTGCCCGCCGCCCGTCGCCGTCACGCGCACGCTCACCTTGCGCCCCTTATCCACGATGTCCTTGGCGGGATTCAGTGTCCACGTGGCGCCCCATCCGTTGTTCGTCATGCTCTTCCACTGCTTCCCGTCGTTTGATATCTCCACCTTCTCCACGCCTCCGCTCTTCGCCGCGCCGAGAATCTGAACCACGAAATTGTACACGTTGCTGTTGTTTTCGATTCTGACCGCCATGGTGCGGCTGCTAGGGCAGTCCACGCTGCGGTAATCGATCTCCACGTTACCCACGTTACGGTCCTTGACGATTTTGTCCCACGCGGGAAAGTTGAGGTTGAAAATGCCGCTCACGCCGACCGCTCGAACCATCACGCTGCCCTTGGTGCAGCTCGGACTGTTCTTGCAGGTAACTTGGTAACACGTTCCGCACCCCTTGCCGCTGTTGAAATTGCTCGCAGGCACCTGCGCGACCATGCCCTTGTCGAAATAAGGACTGTCGGCGTAGCTGAACTGGCCCCAGTAGCATGTGCCCTCGCGGTTCAGATCGCCTAGCGCGGCTTGGATGGCATCGGCAGGTGAGAGGGCGAGAGCTAGCAGGACGAATCCCACGCACAGCAGGCCGCCGACCTTAGAGACGAGAGCCATCGGAGAAAAGATGCAGAGAGAAAGGAATTGCTACGAAATTGCGAGATCTTTTTGCTGCAACTAGGAACAGCTGAGTCTGGAAACCAAACTAAGCAAGCGGGCTTGATTATTAGACACTGGACTGGACGGTTGGAGTGCAGTGGTCGATTTCGATTATGATAGGAATAAGTCGTAGGAGACTAATATAGTTGCGTGAGTAGGAGAGAATTGGGAGTTGGAAGCAAAGAGCGGCTTCGAGTCGCCCTCATGAAATTGCCCTCGAACAATAATTGTGCTATTTTCGCGAATCGACGGGTTCGCGAGGCGACGAAATCGGTTGTAACACGATTCGCGAGTCGAAGATTGGAAAGGCGATTGGCTCGATAATAATTGTTACGAGGGGAGCGGTATCGTCGGATCACCCTTCCCTTTTTGCAGCCGAAACGAGAGCCTGAACGATTATTGTAGCCTCACCTCACAACGTCTTCGTCGTTGGCTGCATGACTGATGGAAGACGAGTCCAAAGTGCGGAGCGAAACAACGATGTGTAAAACCTGGTAACTTCTCTCGTCTGACGATACCCATCACAGTCAAATTTCGCATGTGGTAACACAACCAAATCGAGGACAGTGCAGCAGATAATAAGAGCGTGTCCGAAGTGAAGCGTCGATTGGATGTCGATGGATGTCGGTAAATGTCAACCCTCGGATCGAGAGTTCCAGCCGTCAGGATTTACCGACATCGGATGTCGACGGATGTCGACTTCACTTCGGACCCGCCCTAAGAGACGTTTTCAGATCATGTTCTCGTATCACAACCCATGCGCCACAGTCTCTGACATCTCCCCCCGCCATACTTCCTGCAATCGTAGAATAATATTTTTGAGCGAATGAACTCGCCGTGTTCCGCCATTCACTCAAGTGGCTATGATAGTAACGACGGCGTCACCCGCCGTCCACCCGCCTCCCCCACCGAGTTGCTTCTAAGAAGCACGGACCTTCGCCACCCCAGTGTTAGTAGTAGAGCGATTCGCAGCTGCTAGAGGGAGCGCGTCGTTTGAAAACGACCATATGGGTGCTAATGGTGGTAGCGAATCGAGAAGGCCCACGTGGATCTGGGATCAGGCCGCGGCGTAGGGTTATGACCGGAGTCCCAAACAGCCCAAAACGGCCTCTAATAAAATGTTCTTTATATATCTTTTTTAAATGATGTTAAGGCCTCTAATATTCTAGTTTCCACTTTCCTACTGAACGTTTCTCTGCGCGTTTAGTGTACCGCTCGCACTTGATCGAAATAGAAAGGGATAACAGTGAAAGGAAACAGAGAGCTCGCAGCGGCAACGCTTAGCTAGGACCAGCGGCTACCTAGCAGAATGAGCAATCACTTCTAGCATCTCTCATCGGAACACACAAAGCCAGCCGATCCACCTCCATAGAGGACGGGGCTTTTATTTACTGCTTTGCATACTAGCATATGCAAGGTAGCTGCATTATTTGCAAGCACTGCTTGAGCGCCGCACCACCTCGTTACAGGGCGTCCAGTTACAAGCAGCAACCGTTGCACCTGTACACCGCCATCTCGCAACGACTTCTCCTAGAAGTTGGTGCTGCTCTCGTAGGTCGTCCCGGCACTCCATCCGCTCGGAATCACGTCTTGCAACACCACCTGCTGCCCGCCGCCCGTCACGCGCACGCTCACGGGGCGCCCCGCATCGACGACGTCCTTGGCGGGATTGAGCACCCACGTGGCGCCCCATCCGTACGTCGTCATGCTCGCCCACTGCGACCCGTCGTTCGACAGCTCGACGTTCTCCACGCCTCCGCTCCCCGCCGCTCCGAGAATCTGAAGCGCGAAGTTGTACGAGTTGCTATCGTCCACGAGTCTGACCTTCAATCCGCCGTTGCTAGGGCAGTCCACGCTGCGATAGTCGATCTCCACGCGCCCCGCGGCCCGGTCGGCGACGATTCTGTCCCACGCGGCGAAGTTGAGATTAAAGTCGCCGTTCTGGCCGACCGCTCGCACCAGCACGCTGCCCTCCAAGCAGCTCGGGTGGTTCATGCAGGAGACTTCGTAGCACCTTCCGCAGCCCTTGCCGCTGTTGAAATCGCCCGAAGGCACCTGCGCTTGCCGAAGTCGAAATCCGAGCTTTCGCCGTAGCTGAACTGACCGCGGTAACACGTTCCCTCGCGGTCCAGATCGGCGGACGTGGCGTACATGGCGTCTGCAGGGGTGAGGGCGAGAGCTAGAAGCAGGACGATTCCAACGCACAGTAAGCCGCCGACCTTGAAAATGCGAGCCATCGGAGAAAGGGAGCTGAGGGAGTGGCTTAGAGATTGCGGGAGCTTTCTGCTGTGACTAGGAACAGCCCAAGTCTGAAAACTAGAACTAAGCGGGCTTGAATATCAGACACACTAGACGCTTGGAGGGCGGTGATCGATTTACATAGTGGTAGTGAAGTAGTAGGAGATTAATATAGTTGTGTGAGTCGGGGAGAATGGAGAATTGGGACTAAGGGTGTTCAAGAGTGCGGCTCGAGTCGCCCCAGTGCAGGTGAATTTCCTCTCCTTGAAAGTTGGGGCTCTGCTTCAGAACAATAATTTTGTTTATCTTCGCAACATGACTGTTGAGCGATGGCCACGAAAACGGCTGTAACAAAAATTTTGAGTCGAAAGTTGGGAAAGCGAGTGGTTCGATGATAATTGTTTCAGGGAGCGGCTTCATTCAGCGATTTGCTGGCAATAATTTCCATGGAAGCGGCTTCCTCATGCTTCCCCAGGCGTGGCGTGGCGAGATGCTCAACGATTATTGTAGCCCCGCCCGCAACGCCATGGAATCTAGTATCTGGTGGGCCTGGTGGGCAGGAGTGCTCGCTAGCAGAGTTTGCAGTCAATCGAGCACACAAATGCAGCAAGAAACATATACGAGGCGCGTTCCTTGACTCCGAATTGGACATGAGCTCATTCTAGGGTTTGGTAGCACCTTCGTTCCTTGTGTTTTACATTCCATGCGCCATAATCTCACTCGGCCTAGTATTTTTTTTTTTGCGTTGTAAGAATGATGTTTGAGTGGATGAAATTATGCCGTTCACTCAAGTGGCGACGATAGTAACGACATCCTCACCCGCCGTTCACCACTCTTCTTCCAGCGAGTCGCACTTTATTAGCACACCCTCTGCCACTCCAGTACTAGTAAAGCGATCCGCGGCTGCTACTAGCAGTAGGATCGCGTCGTTGAATAACGTCAACGTGGGTTTTAATAGTAGTAGCGAATCAGGGAGGCCACGTCATCATCCAGCGAATCTAGGGTAAGGCGGAATGCTCCGACCTATCCCGTTCGAGACGCGGATCGCGCCGACGTGGGAGCGACACGGCCTTTAGGGCCTCTTCGCGCTCTCGTCAGTGACATGTTTTGAAGCATGTCCTTAGCTTTTTTATTTAGTTTCTGTTTTCTCATGAACATGCCTTTTCCTAGAATGACGAGAACTCAAATGGGCAGGGGTTCCCGCGTGGGTTCGAACCCTCCACGGCGCGTTTGTGAGCACGAGGACAGGCTGGTGTGGGGAGATAATGCGGGCAGGGGGGTGGGCGATGATGAGGGCAGGGGGGTGGGCGATGATGAGGGCAGGGGGGTGGGGGATGATGAGGGCAGGGGGGTGGGGGATGATGAGGGCAGGGGGATGGGGGATGATGAGGGCAGGGGGGTGGGGGATGATGAGGGCAGGGGGGTGGGCGATGATGAGGGCAGGGGGGTGGGGGATGATGAGGGCAGGGGGGTGGGGGATGATGAGGGCAGGGGGGTGGGGGATGATGAGGGCAGGGGGGTGGGCGATGATGAGGGCAGGGGGGTGGGGGATGATGAGGGCAAGGGGGTGGGGGATGATGAGGGCAGGGGGGTGGGGGGTGATGAGGGCAGGGGGGTGGGGGATGATGAGGGCAGGGGGGTGGGCGATGATGAGGGCAGGGGGGTGGGGGATGATGAGGGCAGGGGGGTGGGGGATGATGAGGGCAGGGGGGTGGGGGATGATGAGGGCAGGGGGGTGGGGGATGATGAGGGCAGGGGGGTGGGCGATGATGAGGGCAGGGGGGTGGGGGATGATGAGGGCAGGGGGGTGGGGGATGATGAGGGCAGGGGGGTGGGGGATGATGAGGGCAGGGGGGTGGGGGATGATGAGGGCAGGGGGGTGGGGGATGATGAGGGCAGGGTGGGTAGGGGGGGGGATGGCTTTAACACTGTCAACATCAGCATTGGCACCCATGCTGCTTGTGTGTGGGGTGTGGGCTGTTGGATAAGGCAAGGCGTGTGGGGTATGGCAGGACAGCAGTGCAGGTGAATTTTGCGCACTGGGACCACGAGGTTTGGGGTCCGTGTGTGTGTACTGAAGATTGTACGCAGCACCCCATGAATGAGGAGGAACGCAACCCAGAGGCTTGTCCGAGTGCTTCCCCCTTCCCACTCATCCCTCTCCCTCCACCAGGCAGCGGCGCGCTGTGTGCAGGAGGGGGAAATTGGGAGATGTGACTTACACTATCGTCCTCACACCATGCGTCGCACACCATGCAACACACACCATGCGTCGCACACCATGCAACACACACCATGCGTCGCACACCATGCAACACACACCATGCGTCGCACACCATGCAACACACACCATGTGTGTGACTTGACAAGCATAACATGGCTGGGTTGTCTATGGTACCTCTGCTATTGAATCAACAAGATCACCCAACCACAACCAATGTGTAACTTCCTGCAGCATACCGCTGCACCTCTGTGCACCCGCTCCACACCCTGCACCACTCTGCATCCCTCGGTGAACCTCTCTGCACCGTTCAGGTGGACCTCATGGCTCCAAGGGGCTCGATGAGCTCTCCCCCATGGGTATGTCAGTCAATTTCATGGGTCAGTCCGTCCAACAACCCCATGGGTCAGTCAGTCCTCCTCACCCCATGGGTCAAACCACCCCAGCTCCTGCGGGTATGCACATGCATGGAAATGTGAAGCATACCTTGGGTACCTGGACGGTGGAAGTTTCCAGTCGACTCGAAACTATTTCCCTGTGGGTCAATTCACTCGAGCTCCCTCTATTGATCCACGGTCAGCCACCTTTATTGCAAAAAAAAAAGGCGCCCGAAATTCGTTTCTTCTTGCAGATTTTGTGCAAATCAACATCCAGCTACCTTCATAGCTGCACCAATACATGAAGCATTGATGCAGTCTGTTGGAGTTTCGGAATTTTTGTGTTCACATGGATTCGGTTATACGCCTAATGCCGCATGTGTTTCTGTATTACTGCTCTTCCTCTCAGTCTCATCTCCCTTCAGTTTGTCTTTCTGATCTCCCTCTCTTTTCCCTTTTATTTGTTTATTCTGTTCTTTTCTCTCCTACTACTCTTCCTCTCAGTGTCGGCTCCCCAAGTCCTGCCAGTGTCTGTAAGGGGTTTCTTCACTTGTTCTATCTGTTCTCCCTCACTCCATCCCTCACTCGAACCGCGGCACCCTCGCCCTCCTCGGGCCCTCTCTTCCCGCTTGTCCCTCTCTCCCCTTGTCCCTCTTCCTCCCGTGACCCTCCCCCCCCTGCCTCTCTGACAGGCGCAACGGACATGCTTGTAAGTGACAAGACTCCGTGTCGACGCCTATAAGCACTCCCTTCCATGCCCTCGTGCATCCCACTATAAAATTAATCCTTCTTTCGTTCTTCCTGCTGCCTTCGGCCGATTTCATCTGTTTTTTCTTACAGAGCATGCAATGAACAAGGAGTCGAAGGCACTTGAGCTTGCTTTTGTCAATAAATTAGCAGTTGTGCAACAAGTGCTACTATGTTCATTGTGTCTGTAAATAACACAATAGAATGATCCCACATTCTGTTCACCTCCTGTAGTCAAAGGGCTAAATGATTACATGTTTTACCGTAGATGCTCTAGGCTTCCAACAGTTTGCCTCTGTAAACAATATCTGTATCCATTTGTATGTTGTGCATTATGTAGTCAATCCAGGTCGCGGTAACTGCCCTCTCACCGTCAAGCTCGTCAACTAGATTCGGATATTGTCATAAACATGCCAGTTCATCCATATCGAGTTCGCCAGTTTTCGCTTGACTGACCGACCAATCCTAGGGCGCTGTCACTCACCAAAGCACAGGGGGTCTGGCGCATATTTGCATGGTAACTGACATCCCAAATTCGTCGAGTCTGTGGTGTTCCGCTCACGAACACTTGTCCCCAGTTTCGTTGTTCGCTTCCCCACCCTTCTAGCTTCGTGAACTGACGTGGGCTTCCTACTCATCCATTCCATGCTTGGATGTCACTCATCAAACTGCTGTTTGTTCTTTTTCTTCTCACCATCCTAGTTCTCAGGCCCAACCAGCAGATTGGTAAAAAGCGCTCTACACGGTAGCTAGCAATCATCTAGTGGTCGCATATTTAGCCGCAAAGTAATTCTGGAACCTTTTATTGTTCGGTTTTCGCTTCGAACATGCTGCCGGTATTTTCAATGATTCTGGACCATCAACTGAGAGGACTACAAGGTAGGCCCACTTCCACTACAAAAAACGTAGACCCAAAACTTAGTCCACAGAATTCACGAACAATCCCCGAAGTACCTGCTGACATCACTTGTTGAGATTAACTACACGAAATGCTCCTACAAAGGGTGGGTATGTTTGGGAACTGTTCACAGAACCGCGTGCATTCATTAGGGTTTGTGCAGAGTGTGTGCGAAGGCACCCCGAAGAGAGCGTTGCGCTGAAAGGAAGGCGCTAAGTTAGTTCATCGCGGAGCCTAAGGTACTCCATTTATATTAAACGCGCCCTATTGAAACCACTCAATGGGCGAATCATGTAGGCTCGCGGATTTCGCCGCGGCATACTTGCCAAACCAACCTCTTCTCTGTTGGTTGTTTGTTTTTTTCTTTGCTTATCATATCAGCAGCGATGCCCTATTCCCCCACTGATTTATCATCTCTGTACGTGCTGGGTACACACCACCCTTGACGCAGCTTCAGGCACCCCGAGCGTTTCATCCGCCCAGCGACAGGAGCTTCCCCCGCAGAGGATATCAATACCCAAGGGCTTCCATTTGCCCAGAGGCAGGGGTATCGTCCGCACCGGACACCCTGTTCTCAGGAAAATATTTTTACAATGTATATGAATAACGTCTTGGCCATTGTGTCAGGGATTGTGGTTGGTGTCGTACTGCTCCTGCTTATGCTGGCCTGTTTTTTCAACGCTCGGAAAAACATATGGGCTGGCTTGGTGGGTTTCTTTGATCTTGCAAGCAAGGGTGGGGACATGGATCTTGAACCGATGCCTGTAGGGTCCGCAGCGAAACCCTCCAAGTTTACACCACCATCCAAGGAGTATCGTTTGCCACGTGTCACGCCACCACCAGTCAAGCCGCCGCCAAAACGAATGACATTAGTACCCACGGCAGAGGTACCCAAAAAGTTGACCGGGGCACCTAAAAGAAAGACAGCACCAGCAGCACCACCATCAGCGGTAGCAGCAGCGGCAGCAGCAGGAGCTAGAGTGGTCCGAGGGCAGGTGGTTGTTGACATACCCTCTGCATCAACAATGGCAGCGAAAGAAGCAGCAGCAGCAGCAGCAGCAGCATCAGAGGTGGCTCAAGCAAGAATCACAGGACGATCAAGCGAAGCATTGTACCAAGTAGGGCGTTCAGCAACACCAGCAGTGGTGGGTGCAGCAGAAGAAGCAGCAGCAGCTGCTGCTGCTGCAGCTGCTGCAATGGCAGTGGCAGCAGCGCCAGCAGTGCAACCACTCCTTTGTGCTGCAGCGGGTGCTGGGCCAGACGTGTGCCAGCGATTCACTCTGCAAGAGATGGCTCGGGCGACAGAGGAGTGGGCAGAGAGCAACCGCATAGGCAGCGGCAGCTTTGGCGATGTGTACAGGGGGGTGAATCCGCGGAACCCCAAGGAGGTGTGGGCTGTGAAGCGAGCCCGCGTGCTCACCAACGACTTCCGGCGCGAGGTGAGACGCCCTGCCATGTTCTGTATCCGCTTGGTAGTTTCAAAACTATCCACTCCGTGTTACTGGGTGAGAGTGGTGTGTTGTTGGCCAACGTTTTCCGCAGGGTGTCTTCCTCCGCTCCAACATGTTTCCCCCCAACATGTTTCCCCCCAACCTGTTTCCCCCCAACATGTTTCCCCCCAACCTGTTTCCCCCCAACATGTTTCCCCCCAACCTGTTTTCCCCCAACCTGTTTCCCCCCAACCTGTTTTCCCCCAACCTGTTTCCCCCCAACCTGTTTCCCCCCAACCTGTTTCCCCCCAACCTGTTTCCCCCCAACCTGTTTCCCCCCAACCTGTTTCCCCCCAACCTGTTTCCCCCCAACCTGTTTCCCCCCAACCTGTTTCCCCCCAACCTGTTTCCCCCCAACCAGTTTCCCCCCAACCTGTTTCCTCCCAACCTGTTTCCCCCAAACCTGCTTCCTCCCTCCCCGATCAGCAAAATGGCGACCAAGGGCCATCCGAACCAGGTGCCGCTGCTGGGGTGCGAGTGATGTTCGGTTGTCCAACCTAAATTGTATTTCTTCCACCCGCTCTGATCTGATTTCGCACCCCCCCACGGCCCTGCAGATCAACGAGATGGCGACAAAGAGCCATCCGAACCTGGTGAGGCTGCTGGGGTACTGCTTTGACATGAGCTACGAGGCGGAGCGCATGGAGCAGATTGTCGTCTATGAGTTCATGGCCAATGGCGACCTCGACCGCTGGATCGGACCCGGTGAGTCAACATGGCTTGTTGTGTTGTACAAGGTGGGTGGATTGGATGTAGGAGTGTACATTCTAGAAAGTTCCTTTTTTTTCTTAAGCTGAAAACAAAAAAGGCAAAACAAAACAAAACAAAGGAAGAGGATCTTGTCTTCAGCATCCAGTCATGTATGCATTGTTCACGTCAAGCTCGTACTTTCTATGTAATACATATGCATGGCCCACCCCCTTGATACTGCCCTCTCTGCTCCCTTTCCTGTTCCAGTTTTAGACGCTCATGCAAGCCATTGCTTCCTTGCAATATCAACCTGAACAGCTCTAATGCATTCCAAGACGAGGCTCGCATTCCATCCCTAAACACGCCCAGCTGCCCAAACCCCCAACTGCCATTCCTTCTCCTCCCAGACGCACCCCACCAGCTCACAATGCAGCAGCGGCTGGGCATCCTGACGGGCATGGCGCGGGGGCTGGAGTATCTGCACAGCTTCAGCATCGTGCATCGCGACATCAAGCCCGCCAACGTGCTGCTGGACGCGCGCATGCACGCCAAGCTCGCTGACTTTGGGCTGGTGCGACTTGGGGAAGGTACATCTGTGGCCGCTACCCGAGTCATGGGCACGCCGGGCTATGTGGACCCCGCTTACTACCGCTCCCACAAGGCCACTCCCAAGGCCGACGTGCACAGGTGTGGGTGATATGGTACAACAGTGCGGAGGAATTTACATGCACTTTCGCATGTGTTGATTGCTGCTTTTCTTTATTGCTCATAAAAATCCAAGCATACGCACTAGGGGTGCCATGCATGGCACTTGCAGAATAATCCCATACCTACACCAGCCTATCTGGCGCTTGGCACAAGATGATGGAACTCGCTACTCTGATGTTCTTCTTCCCTTCGCTGCCGCCAACCTTGCTCTCTTACGTTGCTGCCTGCCTTTGCTTATTTATTTGCCTGATTTCTCTCCCCTACCTACCTGCAGCTTTGGTGTGGTGATGCTGGCGGTGGTCATGGCTCCCCTTTCCCTACTCACTGCCTGTTGTTTTTCCTCCCTGCTGCCCGTTCATTGCTGCCTTACTTCTTCTCCTGTTTGCAGCTTCGGTGTGGTGATGCTGGCAGTGATCACGGCTCGCAAGGCCATCTACAACCAAGTCAACCTCAAGCAGTGGGTGGGTGCCACACCAAACCCATCGCCCTCTTTTCACATTATTATCCTCCTTTCCTTCCCCTACGGTATGTTTGCACATCTGTTCATTCTTGCCAAAAATCTGCATTCCCCCGTCCTCTCCTCTCCCTCTTCCCTCCTCTCTTCCCTTTCTCCCCCCGATTCATCACTGGCAGGTAGCATCCCTGGTGGCAGCAGGGGACGTGGCGGCACTAAAGGACCCGCACCTGCAAGTACCGGACGACCTGGTGCTGCGCATGGCACGCCTGGCGCTCACCTGCACCGCCATGCCCACGGCGTCCCGCCCGGGCATGAGCCGTGTGCTGGCAGAGCTGCTGCTGCTCAAGGAGGAGTTCTTCGGGGAGGACGAGGACCGCATGGCTGCCCGCATCGACCACGAGATTGAGAGCTCCGAGCAGGTCGACTTCAGCTTGGAGCTGGCTCGTATTGAGGGCATTCAGCATGTGAGTTAGTGACTCCAGTAGAAAGCAGAAAGTTGCCTGCAGATATTAAAGGGGGGAGAAAGGAGAGTTGGGAAGAGTGGAATGGAAGTGCGTGTTGGTTATTACCACAGGCCAAAGCCGCTCAACAGGTGTCTCCAGGCAGGTATTGGCATTTGCAGACATTTGTAGAAAGCGGTGTCAATAAAGTCACTCGTTTTCATAACAACATGCAGATTTGCATAGTGAAGCATTCCTTTTTCGTTTTCAGGAATGATGTATTCACTTTCTATGTTAATAAGGTTGTCTAGTTTTCTTGACACACCTGAACATGTATTCACTTTTCTATGAAACGTTTTTCTGTGTGTGCAGTGACCCGATCTCATTTGACTGAAAACTGAAAAGGATGACAGTGGGAGAGCAAAATACTAGCGGAATGAGCAATTACTTCTACCATCTCATCGGATCACCCTGTAGGGCTGATAAAGCCTCAACCCATCCACCCCCACAGAGGCTGGCTGGGCTTTTATTCACTGCCTGCACACCACCATGCCACGGTGGCTGCATTATTTGCTAGTACTCAGTGCGCCGCACCACCTCGTTACAGTTCGTCACGTTATTAGCAGCAACCGTTGCACCCATACGCCCATCTCGCGACGACTTCGCCTAGAAGTTGCTGCCGCTCTCGTAGGTCGTTCCGGCGCTCCATCCGCTCGGAATCACGTCTTGCAACACCACCTGCTGCCCGCCGCCCGTCACGCGCACGCTCACGGGGCGGCCCGCATCGACGACGTCCTTGGCGGGATTGAGCACCCACGTGGCGCCCCATCCGTACGTCGTCATGCTCGCCCACTGCGACCCGTCGTTCGACAGCTCCACGTTCTCCACGCCTCCGCTCCCCGCCGCGCCGAGAATCTGAAGCGCGAAGTTGTACGAGTTGCTATCGTCCACTAGTTTAACCTTCATCCCGCCGTTGCTAGGGCAGTTCACGCTGCGGTAATCGATCTCCACGCGCCCCGCGGCCCGGTCGGCGACGATTCTGTCCCACGCGGCGAAGTTGAGGTTGAAGTCGCCGTTTTGGCCGACCGCGCGCACCAACACGCTGCCCTGCAAGCAGCTCGGGTGGTTAATGCAGGAGACTTCGTAGCACCTTCCGCAGCCCTTGCCGCTGTTGAAATCGCCCGAAGACACCTGCGCTACCATGCCGAAGTCGAAATCCGAACTCTCGCCGTAGTCGAATTGGCCGCGGTAGCACGTTCCCTCGCGGTTCAGATCGGCGGACGTGGCGTACATGGCATCGGCAGGGGTGAGGGCGAGAGCTAGCAGAACGGTTCCCACGCAAAGTAAGCGGCCGATGTTGAAAACGGGAGCCATTGGAGAAAGGGAGAAGAGGGAAAGAATCGCTGAGAGCTAGCGCCGGGAGCTTGCTGATGTGAAGACGGGGCTTGAATATCAGAGACACTGGACGCTTGGAGGACAATGATCGATTTAAATGATGATAGTGAAGAAGTAGGAGATTATTATAGTTGCGTCAGTCGGGAAGGATCGGGACTTGGGAATCTGGAAGTTCTAGGGATGGAGCTGCTCGGCTCGAGTCGCCCTCGTGAATTCCCCCTCATCGAAAGCGCACTGGAAGATCGCCCTCAGAACAACCAATAATTTTGTTCAATTCGCGAACTGACTTCTTGGCGATGGCGACGAAAACGGCTGTAGTTACCTTCGTGAGTCGAAGGTTGGGAAGGCGATTGGCTCAATGATAATTGTTTTGGGGAGTTGCGTCATTTTGTTCCGTCATTCTTGGTGAGTCTGTTTCGGGCACAGTTCCCGCTGGGAATAATTCTCCAGGCAGGGCGAGGGGCTTCACGATTATTGTAGCGGCGCAACGCAAAATTTTAGAGTCGTCGTTGGGTGCAAGGCTGGTAACTCGGCTCATTTGACGAACCCAAACGAAGCGTTTCGCATGCGGTAACACAAATACTTTGTCCTCCTTGCTGTTATAGCCTTTCGCATCCCCACACTCAGCAGACAAATGCAACGAGTACATAATACGAGGCACGTTTCCCAAATCTGTCTACGTATTACGAAGCTCATTCTAGGGCAAAATTGCGCAACGCGCCGGCGCGCGAACTTCTCTCAATCCTATCGACCAAGCTCGCACCGCAGGTAGGGCGACCGAACCCCTCGCAAATGAATCGACCTACATGCGCTTACGCGATATTGACAGCCAGGCCCTCAGATTGGTTTCAGGGTATGCTGATCGATCAGTGTGCAGTGTCCAAAGTGGTGTCCAAATCAGCGTTGGGGGTTAAACTTATGCTGATTTCTTCAGTGTAAATTTTCAAGGGAAACTGAAATTTAGTGTACAATATCTCACTGCAAATATCAAACGGTGTTCTGCCATAGTTGTTTGGATTATTCATGTAATCGCGAAGGTCTCGGGTTCGATTCCCGTAGGCGGGAGCTATCTGAGTGGGCCGTGAGTTCTTCTTGCGGGAATCTGGTTTGAACACCCCCTGTACACCCATACCCTATCATGTCCGAATCAGTGTGACTCGTTACACTATACTGATTCGTCAGTGTTACTTGTACGGTAACACGCAAAATGGTCAGTGTGACAAAATAGGTTATACTGAAATTTCAGTGCAAAATCGAAGCATATGCTGAATTTCCAGGGAAAACGAAAATCTGAGCTACAAAATCAGCGCAATCAGCGTGTTTTACGCTGATATCTGAGGGCCTCTTGAAAGCCTATTTAATATGTAAGAATTTGTCTTCTTCAAAATTGTCACTGTTTCGCGTGGGATAATGTTTGCCAGGTGGTTTTCGTGTTTTCGTAAAAACAAGGTAGCAATTGTGGCTACATTGCCGTGACCTTACAAGTTTCGGTTGTTTTGTCTGTTTCTGATGGCGCAAAAATGTTTCGTGCGCGTCACGTTCTTTGTCTACATGTTTTTTTTTTCCGCGTTTCAATCGCGATTTTCTGAAACATCTACGGAGCTCTGAATCTAAGCAGGGGCTGAAAAAAAAATAAACCCCTAAAGGCAGGAACGCAATTTGGGAGGCATCAACCCTACACACGGGAAGCATGTTGTTTAGGGTTAATGCCTTGAATGTGGTGCAATTCGGAAGCAATCAACTCTAAACACGGGAAATGTCAAGGTGTTTAGGGTTGATGCATTGAAAGTGTGCCTGGCTCCCTACGGGGTTTAGTTCGTTTTACACCGTATAAAAAACCAGACCAAACAAAAACAGCATAAGACAAGCCTTGTCCGCTCGACCAGACTGAAGTGACGTAACACGTCGCAAAATTTGTCTTTGATGGAAGGATCGAAACCCCAAGCTGTAATCCCGCGATTCTGGCCGTAAAACCAAAAGGCACCTGTAACGTTGATACGACTCGTCCGCAGCATGAAATTAACGTGAAAGCGCGTGTAGGTCGATCCATTTGGACGAGGTTTGGTCGCCCTACCTGTGGCGCGAGCTTGGTCGGTGGGATTGAGAAAAGTTCGCGCGCCGGAGCGTCGCGCAATTTTGCCTCATTCTAGGGTTTGGTGGCAACCTTCTTGCCTCGATGTAACATTTCATGCGCCATAAACTCAGCGAGTTCCTCAGCCTATTTTTTTACGATGTATATATTATGTTCGAGCGGTTAATTTCTTCGAGTCTGCCGTTCACTATCGTATTTACCCACCGTTCACCACGCTACTCAAACCGAATCGCTTATTAGTATCACATCCTCTGCCACCCATTACTAGTAAGGCAATTCGCAGCTGCTACTATCAGCAGTAGCGCGTCGTTCATAACGACAACGTGGGTGCTAATAATAGTATCGAGTCATGGAGGCCATGCAAATCTGGGGTAAGGCGGAAGGCTCTGACCTACCCCGTCGATACGCGAATTGCGTCGACGTGGGAGCGTTGCGTCCTTGAAGGCCTCTTCGCGCTCTCGTCAATGAAAGCGTACTGATTTGAAGCTTGTTGTTACATTTTTTTTTTGCTTTTTTATTGTTTCTGTTATCTCATGAACATGGCTTTTCCTAAAATGATGAGAACTCAAATGGGCAGGGGGTCGCACGTTGGGTCGAACCCCCCACGGCGCGTTTGTGAGCATGAGGACAGGTTGGTGTGGGGGGGGGATCATGGGGGCCTGGGGGTGGGGGATAATGCGGGCAGGGGGGTGGGGAATAGTGAGAGCGAGGGGGTGGGGGGTATTGAGGGCATGGGGGTGGGGGGTATTGATGGCATGGGGGTGGGGGGTCTTGAGGGCATGGGGGTGGGGGATATTGAGGGCATGGGGGTGGGGGATATTGAGGGCAGGGGGTGGGGAATTATGCGGGCAGGGGGGTGGGGGGTATTGAGGGCATGAGGTCCTTTTTAAGTACAGTGGTAGGTAGGACAGCTTGGGGATTTTCAAGCTAGAATGGGAATGGGCGTGGTGCAAGTGGTCCACTTGCGTCTCACCCCTACACAGTTTCCCTGCTCTTCTCATGCTCTCCCATCTCTCCTAGTCATGTATCTTAGGTTATGGTTCTCCTCCCCCCACACTCCCATTCACGTTTTCTGACATGTTTCTACTTTCTTCCTCTCAGCGCTCTTCTCTTGTGAACAGGTTATGAGTAGGGCTGAGCAACTAGCATTTGCTTGGGATTGAACAGGCTAACTACTAGCATTCAAACCAGACAACTCGCCAGTTCATTATGTTAGAAGATCACCAACTACCGTAATAGAGCAGGCAAAAGATGAACCGGGAGTGAAAAGTTACTGTTCTGAGGACTAACTGCGCGCAGATGGTCCAGTTTGGGAGTACGATAACGCCGAACGTGGGGTTCGAACCCACGACCACAAGGATAAGAGCCTTGCGCTCTACCAACTGAGCTAGGGCGGCTGTGTTTTTCTTCTTCCTTTAAATTTATTAACCAAGTACAATGCATGGATACTTTCTGACGTGGCTGCCATGTTCCTGGGATCACGTGAGAAAGCGCAGCGGCTTTGGAGATTTCCTGATTATTTGGTATCTTGGCCTCGTCAGCAGCG